CAAGTGGCTTTCTGGTTTTGACTGCGAATTAAGGCAGGAGCAAAAGGACGAAGGACGCAGGATGCAGGACGAAGGACGAGGCCGGCTCTCTGGGCCACAATTTGTTTTGGCCCGTTTTTATTTGGCTGTCTGAAGCTGAAGCTGGTGAGGCTGCGAAGAAAAAAACATTTAGGCAACTTGGCCCTTTGAAGGCTCGTGGTCATAAATTCCATTCTCACCACATTTTCTCCCTGCCCTTTCCTTTCCCCTTCTGCCGCCCGTTTTTCCTGCGAGTCCTGCGTTTTTCATTTATTCGTTTTCCCTGCCGCCTTTTTGTTTGCCATTGGCAAGGGGCCGGCACAAACATTTTCGTCTGCCAAGGTGCAAAAAAAACTGTGGCAGCTAAAAATTTAATTCCACGAGCAAAAAGTCGAGCCTTAAATGCCCTGTAATATTTAAGAACATTTTTTATGGATTATTATTATGGGTTAGAAAGTAAATACTACACCCAACAAAAAATTGACACGAAGCTATGATCAATTTGGTATCAATTTTGACTTGAAATGCGGCATCTTAACTTGATATGCTCCTAAAATTAGTTCTCACCAGAGAATTCCTCCTTGGAACTTTCCCTAGATTTCTTATAGTTTTTATTTAAATTTAAATAAATTCTATTGACACATGCTTTCAGCCTTGAATATTATTTTTACACCAAATTATCAGATTTGCCTAAACAATTTAGTAGGAAAGAAGCTCCATTTGAGTCGGCCTCTCCTTTGGCAGGGAAAAGCCAAACAAAGCATATTTCTGAGTTGACTTCGCCTTCGGTTTCGCCCGCCTTTGGCTTCGGCCCCTCGTCCTCCTGGCTCCTCGTCCTTTTCGGCCAGAAAAAGAGACTGCGATAGAGGGAAATAAGGAATCTAAAATGATAATAAAATATTCATATTAATCTGCTTGGCTCATAAAATATTCAGCTGCGTAATTGTTGGCATTACGTTCGAGTCGAGATCCGGGGCAGCCAGCTATGACGACAGTCGTGTGCCGGGAGTGCCATCATCATCATCATGATTTCCCCCCCCCCCTCCCCTTTCCGCCGGCAGAGGAGGAAATGCCAGGCGGAATCTTACAAGTTTTGTAATTTACACCTGGCTGCCCACATCGTATTTCCCCCTGCCCAAAGAAATATCTCAAAAAATCTGCTTTAAGGTTGGAAATCAGTGGTAAAACAAACAAAGGGAATAATTCAAAATAAAGCATTACAAAAAATTACAAACAAAAATTTAATAACTAAAGAGTAATAATAATTTGGTGGATTTCAGAACAAACCTTTCGTTGCATACTTTTTTAATACCCCATATCCTCTAAACTCCCCAATTACATAGTAAATACTTTGTAATAATACAGCTTTAAGGCTAAACTCAAAGGGGAAATCGTGTCAAAGGATGGGTCGTGGTTGTCTGAACAAAGGACGAAACGAGTGAGCGAAACCAATGCCAGTCATTGGCAATCCCATTAAGCTATTCATAATTGCTCATAATTTCGGTTGATTTCATTAGCATATGTAACATTTTAATTTGATGTGGGAAGCCCCCCTTTTACCGCCACACTCACATTCCGCACCCGCAAAACTCATATGCATAATCAATGGAGCCTCATTAACCTGTCGCTGGTGTCTGGTGTGTTATTGTTGTTGCCCGTTAATTACGCAACCCATAAAATATATATTGCTTCTCATCGCGCTTTACATCAGAATGACGTCGATTAACACCTCATAAATGCCTGTATGTGTGTGTCAGTGTGTAGAGCTGTGTGTAAAACCTGTTAATTGGTTTAACGTTATAAAATTGAAACCGCCGACGTTGTTGTCGGAAGTCGGAAGCCCATGCGGCGTATGCGTAATATATTTCAGAACCGCCGGAAAACGAGGACTTTCCCCTTTTCCCTTTTGCCCTTTCGCCCTTCATCGCAATGAAAACCATCTGTGTTCCCAGGCCTAAAAACATTTTAAATAAGCCAAATATTTTAATAAATAAATATTTATATATTAAAGAGCTTTTAAAGAAAAATAAAAATACAATGATCCAATAGATCCAATGACTAAGCTAAATATATTCCTTTAATCAATTATTGTCTACTGTTCAGCATAATTCCACTGGTCCAATCAAATGCAGACATTTCAAAGAGATTCCATTGAGTAGAACATAGCTGACCATTAATATTAATATGTTACCAATATGTTGGCATACGAAACAGAAAAAAAACAACAGTCTGAACCTAGAGAACCGTACACATTGCATTTAGTGGCTTGTGTTAATTATGACATTTATCCTGCAATTTTGCTAGGACCGCCCTTAGAACACACAGCCCATATATATTCATATCGCTTCTGAAACGGATACAGATGTGGCTTTAATTTGATCTGTTTCCAATAATAATTCATAATTGACTTAATAATGGACTCGATATTAATGTTAATTAAGCCCGAACGCAGGGCAATTAGTTTTGGGCCCAGAAACTAGCAGCTTTGCAAGTTGAGGCCAAGACAAAGCCTCAAGTTATCCATGCAAATGCATGACTTTGTTCGGCATTTCCACTACACTTCCATATGTATGTCTGTATGTAGACACAGATGAGCAAAAATTGAAACATGAAATTGTTGAGCCTGAGACTTCAGCAAGATGTCCGAGGGTTGCGCCAAGACTTCTGAATTTCTAAAGTAAATATTCATATTTTATTATAGTTCCCAATTTTGTTAATTTTGTTAAAATAAAGTCATTGAGAAACAGCCTAAACAGAGAAAAATAGGGTTTTCCCATCCAAACCAAAAGTATAACTAATATAACAATGGTTTAAAAATCCCGAATGTAGCCCCTGCAGGCAAAACGGCTGGACATAAAAATCTAAAAATAAAATAAATATTTTAGAAATATAATCACAAAACAAAAAATCATCTAATTTTCTTCACATTGCCTTTTGAGTCGTAGCAGTTTCACAGAACTCTCCCAAATACTCCACATCAGCCCCTCGATTTTCGACTGACCATCTGACTCTGTCAACTGGCCCAACAGCGCCGCCTCCTTTATCCCAGTCATCGCATCTTTATGAAGCTGAAGACAAAATTGTGTTGCATCGTTAGTCTAATTGCATTTTGCCAGGCGACAGTAACAACAGATTCGTGTTCTGCTCAACAGTTGCCCGGACACACACATGAGGACCTACTGAGTATATCGGATATACATATAAATCCAGTAATACATATATATATATATATATATGTGTATGCAGGCATGCGTGAATGTTGCAGGAATCAAGGCAGCCGGGCAACAGGACACGTAGTCCTCGTTCTGCAAAGGCTGACGGCTGATGGCATTTTTTGGTTATTAAGACGATACGACTTGGACCCACTGCACCGTCATCGCCACACACACAGTCACACGAACACCCAAAGCCACACACACACACCCATGTAATAACTAGTAATTTTGCAACGTTTATGGAAGATGGAGGAGGTCCAACTTTTGACTCTTGATTTCTCTGGCCCAAATGAACCTGACCAACTAGCAATAGCAACAACCGAGCATAACTGGCATTTAGAAAATCGATTGGGCTGTCAATGGTCCTGGGGATATCCTGTAAAATCAGGTGATATTGGAAAATTAAATTTTTTCATATCCTGAATTTCGTATGTTTTTTAGTGGTAAATCATTATAAATTCAAATAATGAAAATAGTTTTATTTTTTATTGATATTCCTTATATTTTAAACGGACCCATGGAAAATACAAAATATTATAAATATGATACGTGGGATCAAAATATAATATTGCATTTTCTATAAACTTATAACCTTTTTGTTAGGATTGAAAATTTGAAAAAAATTCTCAAATATTACTTCTTTATACTATTCATTTAAAAAAGTAGGTAAAAATTAAAATCCGCTTAATACAGAAAATGTTCATCTAGAATCTGGCTTCAAGCTCCTGTGACATTTAAGCTTTGACTCGCTTTCAGAAGGTCCGAGACGCAAATGCTACCCTCTGCCCACCGAAGTGTGGCCCGCAAATGTGTCGCATTCAAATGAACCGAAACTGAATTGTGTCTGAGCCATCAGCCCCCCCTCCGCACGCCACTGGCCACTGAAATCCTGTTGGCACATTTCGTTGTAGATTTTTGATATTTTCATTACGTGCATCTGCCAGTTACGCCTCATTGTGTGGGTGTGCCCTCGTACATATATGTATTCTACACATACGTAAATGGGTTGGGGGCCAAGGAGTACATAGAATGTCGTACATGTGTCCTGGCCTTGGTTAGTTCCATTCTGCCCGGATTTCAGTCGCTTAATCTCTGCTGACATTTGGTGAAACAGCAGGAGCAGCAGCCTCCAGTGAAAAGCGACAGATAAAGAGCGGCCCGGCTGCTTTACAAGCTTATGAATGCGAAAACAACAGGGGGATGTGCAAATCTACAACTAAAATAGGGCTCTTCACTTCTGCCAGGCAGCTTCATCAGCCAGCTGAGCTCGAATATGTCGGGTTAAACAGTTGCAGTTAGTGTCAAAAATGGGGAAATAAAATGTATGATTAATATTAACATAGAGTCTTCTCTTTATCACTAAACCAAATCATTTCGATTAAAAACGACAAATTTTATCTGGACATGCTATCAAAAGTTTTCCTTATCGATTAACAATGATCGATCGCTTGTGGTTGCTGTCTAGTCTGCTCTCCACTCCAGTCTCTTGTCAGATTCTTCCATCTATGTACATTATTTTCAATATCCACTCTCTTCACACTAAAATTTCTTCTATAACCAATTTCTTTTACTTTTTTTTTTTGGTTTTCTTTTAATTTATTTGTTCAATTATTTTTTTGAACCTTCATTTCTATGGTCTTTAGTTTATTTTTATTCTTTTGTCTTCTTCCATCTTTTTATTTGATGTTTTCTGATTGAACTTCTTGTACTTCTCCAGTTTCTACACACTCTTCAGACTTCACACTCTCCACCTCCAGGCTGCCTTCGTCACTGGCCCAATCTCACGGGGTGCCCATCCTGGTGGCGCTTGACCAACTGGATCCTGGGAACGGTGCGCCAGAAGAGAATGGCCCCGCGATTGTGGCCGCCGCGGGCGTAGAGATCGCTGAGGCAGTCGGCCCAGTGGTTGTAGAGCGGCATGCTCGGCGGCTCGCAGGCGGCGAGTGGAGCACCCGTGCCGGCCATGCAGGCGGCGGTCACCTCCAGGGGATAGGCCACTAGGCTGGCCAGCATCTGGATGATCACCGCGTTGTACTGCTGCTGCTGGCGGCTCATCGGAATCAAACGAAGGCAGAGGTGGCTCAGCAGGCTAGTCACCCCCAGAACGCACATCTCGCCCAGCAGGCGTGGCATCATCCCGGCAAAGAGTCCAGCCCATCCCTCCTGCTTCACCAGCGTCATCAGGCTGCCGCAGAGACCCTCGTAGACGCGTTCGCGACCCACAAACTGGGCCACCTGGCGCACCATGACCACGTAGAAGGGTTGCGACAGAGCCACTGCGGTGGCCAGGCGCAGACTGTTCCTCGCGAGATTCCAGCCGAACTCCTTGAGGCTCGGCTCCTCCTTGGCGCCCCGCTTGTAGGGCTTGAAGTGCAGCAGGGCCAGGAGGAGATCCCCCAGCAAATAGTCCACTGTGCTGGCCGCCAGGCGAGCGGTCAGGCCACGATACATGCCACCGTGGCCATCCAGCCGCCGGATGTGCTGCACATACTGGTGGACGCCGGGCAGGAAGAGCCGCGGACGCCGGTGCAGCAGCGGCAGGTGGAAGGGACGAGCCGGCAGCGGCTCGTGGCCCAGCTGGATGAGCACCTTGGCCATTTCGTAGGGATAGAGCAGGGCATTGTAGCCCAGGCGCAGGCAGAAGCGCACCAGTTGATTGGGCTTTCCATGGTTGCTTGCTGGGGATCCCTTGGTGGTTACCTCCTGGCAGCTGGTCACCTCCTCATCCTGGAATCGCGGCTCCACCACCATCGATTGGCGCTGCACCGCTGGCGGCGGTGGTGGTGTTGCTAAAGCTGCAGTGGTGCGGCGCATCAAGGCACTGTTATCCGCATCGCCACCACCACCCAATCCCAAGCCAGCTGCCTGCGAATCGCGACGATTGTACTCCAAGTGGGCCATTGTCTCTCTATCTCTTTGCCAAAAACTCGAATTTAGTCCAACACTCAGTTGATTTAACCGGATTTTTGATTTTTCATTGAAAGTTAAGGCTTATCAATGGGCAAAAAGAATTTGACATAGGAAGCGAAGTTAACTGGATTTCCCAGAAATCACTAGGAATTTTACAAATACATTTTATGTGTAATAATAAAAAATTAAAATTAAAAAATATATTATTATAATCGTTTCTGTAAAATTCTGTATTTTATGTGTACTGTATTTATTCTTATAAAAAATTCCTTAAAGAATTGCAATGAACTCATTAAATTTCCCAACGATTCTTTACTGGGTTCATCCGCTCCTCCTCATTCGTACCCCAACTTGCGCTTTTCTTCTCCACTTGATTACAAATCCCGGAAAATGGCAGCCCATCCCCCCACCCCCCTTGATTTTCCTCCCCTGCCGACGGCTCTCACTTACTTTCGCAACATGAAATTTCAATTAGGCTGACCCCGCAGCCCTTTTGCTGTTTTTCTGGTCAATTAAATGCAACCATATTGGCTGCTCCTGCACTTCGCAGCCTCATCTCAGCCCCCCCTGCCCCTCTTGCCCCATAACCTTTCCACTTTTCATTGGATTGCATTTTATTTTTTGCGAAAGCCGTTAAAACCTAGTACCAAAATCGAGCAAATCAAGTGCACAGAAAGCTTAAAATTCAGTTAAGAGAAATGAAGGGATGATGCTGCTAACAGAAATATGAATAAGCAAGCACTTTAAATACTCGAAAAAACTTGATACGAATTTCCAATAATTACGTTAGAAATACTAAAAATATTTATCTAAGACATCACCAAACGACCTTGAACCCTGGCAAAAGTAATTATCCCGCTGCATATCATTATTTGATGGCCCACAGCAATTTTCCACTTACTTAGATGGTCCGGGTTCTGTTGAGTCAGTTGAGTCCGGCCTCTGGAGCATGGAAACCAATCACACAACCCAATGCCCAATAGCACCCCGCACTTAACCCTTTCCCGCCGCCGCCTTAACCCCCCAATGGCAATCGCATGCAATCCATTCCGACCAAGCGACCGAAAGCAAATGCAACTTATGCGACACGCACAGTTGATTAACAATGTCGCAATTTTTGAACCGAACCAACGTCGAAATCACACCCACGGCTAAAGTACACTAAAAGAAAAAATGAACTTTAATTATAAAAGGAAACGAAACCTGACTAAATAATAAATAGAATTTTTTTAGTACTAAAACTATTTGATAAGTCAAATTATGTAATATTATAATTATAATTTATTTCAATGTAATGGAAAAATAGATGAAATTATAATCTCTGATAAACCCATGTAAATAAAATATTTTAAAAAATATTTGTATTTCGAAAATTTATTACAAGATTATTATTAAGAACTAATTTAAAAAATATACCTATATATTTTCTGAGTTTAGCTAAACTTTGTTATCAAAACTTAATGTACTTTCCTCCTTACCGATTAAAATTTTAAAAAATAAACCACTTCCCATTCGTTTCTTTCTCTGTACCACCCACCCACTGCACCACTAAACCACCCAACCACCCAGCGCCCTTCTCCACACACACTGGCACGATTATTGCACATCACTAATTAGTGATGTGTGCGACGCATCGCGCCTAAAATTTCTGACCATCAAAGGGGGCGGTGGGAGGGTGAAGGGATGGGTATCCAGAGTGGGCGGTGGGTGAGGTGTGGGTGGGGTAGCCGTTGGCAGAGCGAGACCTGACGTTGACATTCCACTAACAGTGAAATTGTTTTCCAAATCCTAAGCTTGCATGTTAGCCACAAGCAACAACAGCAAGCATCATCCCAAAGGGGGTAGTTTGGGTGGTGCTAGTGGGTGGTGGGGTGACTGGGCAACCACGAACGGCAGCAGCGAATGAATGGCAATGAATGCGACACTGGACGGGCGGACCAACTGGACGTTTTCAGCGCCATGGCCATGGCCATGCATCACCGATGGCCACCGCCAATAGAGCACCACCACCCCTTCACTCCATCACCCCACCAACCAGCACCACCCACTCACCAACACCACCGCGCTGCAGCGGATCCCACGTTGCGTGTGTGGTAAATAGTGAACTGTTCGCATTTTCCCTGACTCCCTCGCTTTGGTTGCTGCAGTTCTCTATAAGAAAGAGATCTATTAGCTATTATATGTTGTTTGTTTTTCGTATTGATATTTTGTTATATGTTTTTCTTTTTTATACGTCTTTTTTTAACAAAATATATTTATGTAACCTGCTAAATTTTATTATAATTAAATCTAACGTTTTTGAAATATTTTTGAACTTATTATATTTATTTATTTATATTTTTAGCAATGAAAATTACATGTTAGCCAATCTAGAGTTCTACTCAATGTCCAAAAAAACTCCAACTTCTTGTTGCATTTGCACTCAAACTCTTTTTTTTTTTTTGGAACTGATGGCACTGAGGGTACTGAGAGTTAGTGGACATCGCTGCTGTCTGGGGATTAAAACTGCCGGATGCAGTGCGGAAATCAAAATGCTATGGCGGCCAGCCATCGGACACAACTGACGAGGCGGATGGAGTTCGCTACCGAGGACGAGGACGAAACCCGTTCCCCGGAAAAAAAGGCACCCGGAAAAAAGCCCCCAAACGATTCGAAATCAAAATGGAAGTCGGAATGGGAAACGGACAATCGAGGATTCGGGGGCGGTAACAGCAGTTTAAATGGCAACTAATCGCAAAAGGCAGTAGCTCCAAGCTCTCGTGCAGAGAAAAAAAAAAAGAACTCCCTCATCGAGATGCTTTTTAAATTTTATAATTATTTATTTCAAGCGTATTACAATATTCAATTATAATATATCAATTTATTAATATATAATAATAATATACCTACCTATGTATAAGGTAAATTAAAAGTTAAATTAAACCTATTGATTTACCAAAAATATTCTATATATTTTTTTTAAATTTTAAAAATAAAAGTATACTTTTCTTTCACATTTTCTCTCTGTGTGGCAGAGCGCATCGGACATGGCCACGTTTAGATAGCCATGTGGAGGTGTTTGCATAATGAATGAGCCCCAACCAGCGGCAACAACAGCCGCTGACCATCAACTGCGGCTCCCGAATTGCAAAAGTGGGTGGCTGGAAAATGGAAAAATGGGAAAAGCTGGGAGAGCGAGGGTTCAGAGCCGACTTGGTCTCACGCACAAGACAATGAAATCAAACGACAAACGCAAATGTGATCAATTACAGTTTGTGAATTTTAACGGCAAATGGCCAGAAAGCCATTGTTGTGCATTTGCGGCGGGCATGGTGGATGGCAGATGGTAGATGGTGACTCTGGCAGCCAGGGTTGCCAGCTGCATCTTTGCAGCAGCATGTGACCGAAATTCCGGACAAGCCGACAGTGAAGGGCACGGCAACAAGTCATTATTGTAATTATGTTAATATTCACCCAATCCACATCCCCGATCCCCATTTCCATCCACACGCAGGGCATTCCGGGGAGAGTACGTGCCCCGGGAAAATGGGGCTGTGACAGCCGAGAGGAGACTGGAGACTGGAGACTAAACTGCTTGATGGCCTGGTCATAAGGCCGGAAGTCTGTCAATTTGCGTATAATTTGTTTATGAGCTTCGCACACACACACGCACGCCGCACACACACATCTGCAAAAACGCCTCCAGAACGAACGGATACGGAAGCTGGAAATCAGAGCAAGGAAACGTTTTGATTTCATTCAGCTACCTCCGTGTCTCTGAGTCTCAAAAGCACAATGGTTGCCAAAATAATAGCACTCTTTGGGTTTATTAATAATATAAATATAATGTAAGCTTTAAACGCCAAAGTCACTTCATATATAATTTAAATTAAATCCTGAAATATTTATATTTCTTTAAAAATAATAAGGAAAGAAATAAATTACACAAAGCCATATATTAAATTTAGATAATAATAATAATTTATTTGAATTATTTTCTAAACTATTTCCCTACTTTTCCGAATGCAACTGTGAGCTTATGACACACTTGTTCCTTGGCATTTTTAAACACTTGAGTGGGTCAGGAGCTCATCGGGTGTGGCGCCATGTGGCAAAGTGTATTAAAAATGAAAGCATCAATTTAAACATTTAAACCAAAACAAATGCAGTCAAATCGTAAAGGCTTTAAAACAAGTCTAGGTGAATTCAACGGAAAACAATTCCTTGGAATGGAATGGAATGGAATTCGAGAGTTTGCCAAAGCTGTATTGTCTGCATGAAGTGAATCAATTTCGGGTAAATTGTGGTAAGACACAAAAAATTGATTGAGAGTCTATGGGTAGATTTATAAGAATAAGGTAAATTTATTGGCAAAATATTTTCAAAAATGTATGCAAACAAAAAAGTCGAGGGAAATTTAAGGAAAGATAATAAATTATACAAAGGTAATAAAATATTGCAAAAATAATATACATTAAAAAGGATATTTTAGACATTTTAATTATGATTCTTATTTGTATAAGCCACGTTTCTACATTTTTAAAGTATTTCTTCAAGCAACAATCGAAAAAGTTTTCACTTCACTTCTATTCTAATTCCTATTATGTTCAGGTTCTGATTTCGGAGATCTCTAAGCAATCGCAAGCAAAATTCCCAATAGACAAGCAGGCAATGGCACGGTACCTAGCGCAGATCATAATTTTGGGTGCCCAGGTGGTGGGGCGGGCGTTGGTGAAGACGCTGCGACAGGAGATGCAAGCCTTCGAGGATGCGGCGCGAATGCATGAGACCATGAGCGCCAACTTGCCCAGCAGCAGCAAAGCGAAGGTCAAGGGCATGACCCTGGTGGAGGCCCAGCAGATCCTCAATGTGAAGGACCTGAGTGACCATCAGACCATCGACTCGCATTACCGGCATTTGTTCCAGGCGAACGAGAAGTCCTCCGGCGGCACCTTCTACCTCCAGTCGAAGGTCTTTCGGGCCAAGGAGCGAATCGACGACGAACTGGCCAGGCTGGAGCAGCTGGCCAAAACGAAGATCGATCCCCCTTCCCCGCCAGCATCGCCATCTATAGACCAATCCAAAGAGCCGGGTCATCAGAGCCGGTGATCATTCCCGGCTGAATTCCCGGCCTGGCTTTTCCGTGGCGTGCAATCGATCTGTCCTGTCATGTTAACTACCAAATCGTCTTTCAAGTACATGTGTGCATATGTAAATCGTCAAATAAATAACTTCAAACTCTGTAATATAAAATATAAATATAAATATGTGTAAAAATTTATAAATAAAATCAATATTAATAAAATCTATGAATTTGTAAAATTAATAAACAGGGCACATAAAATGTAAACCATTGTATAACCGATTAAAAGTTCTCAGTCACCAGCTCTCGAATTTACATAAAAACCAGTTAGAACTAATATTATATATTATATCTAAATTTCAAAAATAAAAAAATTATTAAAGTGGAAAAGGTGCACCCTTATTTTGTATTTAAATTATTTATAAAACGAATCAAATTTTCCCAACAATCTAGTGAGTCATGAAATCGAGGCGGCCATGATATCAACTGTCAAATCGAATTTCGATTTGGATTTGGACCTTAGGGCCAGAGACCGAAATATTTTCAGTTTCGTTTTTGGGCTCAACGGAGCAACATCTCCCGTGTTTTATTTAACACAAAAAAGTAAGTGAAAAAGTTAAGTTTTTTTTTTATTCCGGCCTAACAAACGCATTAGTTTTTTGTAGTTTTAGTCATGTGACGTGGAAACGCAGAACATTTACCTGTGAATAGCCCCAGGATAAAATGGGACGAGTCCTTCGCCATAAAAAGGAGGAGGAGTACCCCTTTCGTACACAAAACGACACACAACCAGAGAAAGACCCTCAAATAAGGCGGCTATAACTTAACTAAAACGTGACCATACTTAATGGATTTAATCTTGATGATACATACACGAAATAAGACACGAAGAGAAGAGCTCCACCGCGTGAATCAATTAAGGAACTATTTGGTTTGGCAACTATTTTAAGCCAATTCGATAAATTTGATATAAATGCAAAATCGTTATGGAATATCGCCGGCTACCCGCAACACTGTTTATTGTACTTAAATACTTCAATACTTGTATACTGCTTCTACTTGTATAACACGGGACCAAGTCATCAAGGACTATAACTAGGTAAATGAATTAAGGAAAATCTAACTACGATTTATTAATCGAAGATCTAACTATCCATTTAGAATTTTTAAGCATATATATGGATTTTTTATGTAATGGAGGAAGGACGTCGCCTATTATCCTGAGGATGAGGTTGGTATTGGAATTCAAATATTTGAAAATAGATTAACTTTATCTTTATCTTTATCTATCTATCTTTGCAGCTATTCCAGGAATCTACACACCAATAGGGGCTGCGCGATTCCGGACTGATTTTGCATCGTACTCGCAAAACAAATATTTGAATATGCATCGAATTATATGCATACCAAATTACACATCGAAGTATATATTTATATCAGGAGATACTAAACTAAATATGGAATCATATTATCATAGCCCGATAAACTAAATTACACTTTGAACTATATAATTGTACAGTTAACTCTTAATATTGTAACACACATCGAATCACGTATATCAGTCAAGATTTATTGATTAACAAGAAAATGGAAATACATATGGAATGCATTAAAAAAAACTAGATCGCTTAATCTGTTATTTAAAGAAAGTTCTCTTAAGTATAACCAATACTTAACCGATACTTAATAATTGATAATAAAATGGGCTAATGCTGCATACTCCAAGCACCACTTTAAATATTTAAGTATATACACTAATTTCTTTTTTATTATTTGCCTACGCGCGTACGAAAATGAAAAGAGCAACAATTTACATTCAAATGGCGTTTAATATCTGTTCGGGACATGTCATTGATCTCTATAATGAGGCACGTTTTACCAAAGCAAAAGTTCGCCCATTCACACACATGCATATTGTATTATGGCAATTTTCAATTTGTGTGTGCATTTAAAATGCAATTTTCCCATTTTCCCTGGCAAAGCGAGAGCAAGGCTCAATAAAATTCAAGTGATTTATTTATACGCATTGTTCGACGACTGCAAATTGGCGGGACGAAGGGTGTCGGTGGACCAGGCGAACTCTTAATAAAAACAATTAAGCCAAATTGGCCACAATTGTAGGCAAAAATGAGAAAAATAAAACAAAAAATACGACAAAAATAAAAACCAAAATAAATTGAAACCGAAAACGGAAAACAGTTGAATAAAAAAGAAAAACAGACTCGATCAAGATGGCGGCAAATGAGTGGTGCGAGTGGAAAAGTGTGTGATGGGGCAAAAAAAAAACGAAGAGGCGAGCACTTAAGTGGAAATGCAGTCGAGTGTCGTCATCATCATCAAGGGGACATCGCAGCAAACTCACACACAAGTGCAGAAAATCGAGAAGGGCGACACTCTTACAGGCAGAAAAAACCGACTACCACATGTTTTTATTGATTTGGAATTTGGAATAGTTCATAGCCATTATCAATTATTTTAAAATTAAATATAATATAAAAAAAAAATAATATTTAAAACATTGAAATTAAATACTTTGATTTAATATAAAAATTTCCTAACTACAATTATTTTTTCCAGTGCACTTTCGGATATTGGCAGAAGTGCAGCACCAAATGATGAGCAGCAAAGTCGACGATGCGATTTGCGTTCGTCTTAGCCGTTCTTCTGTTTTTTTTCCCAAGCGCTCTTTTTAACTTCTTAGTGTGGAAAAACTATTCAAGTCTAATGGCACGAAAGAGAATAATGACGCACAATACACTTCGACAGTTTAAGCGGATTCACATGATTACAACCGAGCGGAGGGAGAGGAGAAAGTGGAGCCAAGAGGCGGAGAAAGCGGAGAAAGCAGTAAGTAATGATGTCTGTCGATGTTTGCAGAAACTTGTTAACCATTTGAAGGCGACAAATGTCGAGAGCATTAGACATAGTTAGAAGGGAACAGTGGGAAAAAACCCGAAAAGAATTTTATTTCAAGGAAATTTTTTTTTTAAATTTGCGCGGTATAATAAATGTGACATAATAATTTTATCAAATTGCCAAATTCTTAAGATAAAATATAAATAATATTATATTTTTATCTTAATGAAAATAATAATAAAAAATAAAATAATTTTGTTCGCTAAATAATTGCTTGCACCCCACTGTGCCTGTCCTCAGCTCCAGTCGCCAGTCGCCACTTGCCAGGATCTGGGATCTAGGATCTGGCTCCACTTGAGATGCTGCAAACAAATGGCCAAGGATAATGCATCCCAGGGGTGATGGCAGCTGCCTGTGGGACATGCTAGTTTTCACAAATTTATGGCTTTTAATTGCACATATTTGACAGAAGTTGGCTCGCAAATCGATGACGATAAGTCACAGCCAATCGATTGTTAAATTGAGGAACAAGCCTCAGATACTGCATAAATTCATTGCATTGCGGCTTAAAGTCGGCATAAAAATGCAGGGCATGTACAATATGTGCCTCTCTGTGATTTCCTAATTCAATTATTATTCAAATCATATAATTCCATCTCAATGACGCACGTTGGCAACTCTGGCAGCATGTTATAATCACATTACGTATACGACCGCAGGACCACGCATATAAAACTACAGGGCGAAACGGAACTGGATTTCTGAAGTGCGGAGTGTGGAGTGGGCCAAATCCAATTTCCCGCTGCGCAAACGAAAATTGCCAGCTTCATTCCTTTATTGTATGCCATTTCTTGCCGCCGCTTTGTCTCCGGCTTATCCTTCATTTGCCTGCATTTATTTTATTTTGCATATTAATATTGTTAAAAGCGAGCCGCCCGTTGCGCTCCACAAAATTAGCCCGCCATTCATGTCGCATTCAACGGAATGTCGGAATGCCATCTTGTGTGTGCCTGCTGGATGTGGATGGGCAGCTTTTGTAGGGGGGTGGGGTGGGGTGGGTTCGCCTGGGAACGGAGGCCATATCAATTTACCCACCGGAAGGCACGCAGCAGCAACATCAGCGGCAACAAAAGAATGCGACCCGATTCGGTTTGATTCGCACCGTCTCGGCGGGAGTTCAAAAATCGTAAACATATCCCGGACCGTGGGTTCCGCACCCACCAGCAAATCCCATGAATAAATTACAGCAAAGGGCACACAAATTGCAGGCACTTCAGAAATTTCACAAAACAAAATCAAGATTCTTCAACTGAATAGTTAGAAATATATAAATTAAAAGGCTAAAAAATATTAAAGAAAAAAAGTTAACTTCAGAAAAAAGAATTTGTTTTCAATATTATAAAAAAAAATTTTTATGATACTAAAATTTTAATTTTTTTGGATATTTATTTATTACCGTTTACACTGTAACAACTTATAAGCGTTTGTCTGTTTGTATGCACTTATTAATGCGTATTCATTGTCACTTCCGATTCGAGGATTCTGCCACCCCCTTTTACACCCCCTTTCCACCCACTTTCCATGGACTCATTTGGCGGACTCGCCTTGCCTTGCGGAGAGCAGACGCTTTCCTTTTGTCGATTTAATTGAAATAATTGCAAAAATGCAAATTGAATGGACTACAGTTGACACAGGATATTAACCATGGACGATGGCCAGCAACAGGAGACGGCGAAGGATCCGGCGAAGGACGCGGCGCCCGCCGCGCAAGGAGCCTTAATGAGCTAACGAATGTACGGCGGATAATTGAGTGGAGACCACATGTGCAGCTGGCCAGCTGGGGCGACCTGGTCGGGATCATTGAACTCCCACGTGGATCGGACCAGGCGCTCCCCGGGGATTTAACCATTTAAATAGCTACAAATTTTAATACTTATTATTAACTCAAAATCATTTATAATAAATATAATAGTAATATTATATTATTCGAATTTGACAAAAATATGAATTTTTTCTTTTCGTTTTTTTGCTGTAACTTGGCCAAAAATGGTCTTACACCAAAAATACATACTGTTTTGAACAGATAACAAAATAATTATTAAATCCATAACACTTTCCGTGTGATTTTGAAAAAATAAAATTTTCGAAAATTTTTAAATTTTTTATAAGGGGGTACCCCATGATTTTTTGCGAAAAATTAGAAATAAATAAAATTTTAAGGTTTAAATGCCAATCGACAGGAAATTTAATAACGAGCTCAAAAATGACAATTCATATTTGGATCACTATTTCAATTGTTACGGTCAAAAAACGGCTTATTTTTTGGAAATTCGGGACTTTGGTTTTTAACAAAAATATGAATTTTTTCTTGTTGTTGTTTACCCTCCGTGGATCCGCGTATGAATTTATGATATATATATATATGAATATATTTAGGCATTAATTATTCAAATTAATATAAAAGAACCCTTAATTTTAATTTAGTTTAATTTTTGCAAGTGCCTATCATCTGCTGTATTTAAGACTCGGCCAGAGATTCCAGTGGCACCTCGGCAATCCGTAATGAGTGGCCAACATTGTGCGGCGGTTGTTCCCGTTCTGTGCCAGGGGTCAGGGGCGGGGGCAGAGGGGGCGTGGCCGGATGTGGCGGCTGTGGAACTCGAACTCGCGCTCCTAAGCCGCGTCCTCATCGAATGTTGTCGATGTCGATAGCGATGTGGATGAGGATGAGGATGATGGTGATGTCGATGTTGCTGCTGTGTCTGGCCAACTTCCGTTGCAGCAACAATCGGTGAATGTGTGCGTGTTGCCTTTATCCTGCCAGTGTATATGCGCCGATGTCCTTTTATCCTGTCCGCTTATGTGTGGGTGAGGCCGCAGGTTGCACCATAATTGTGTTGATTAGCTAATTAGATGTAATTTCGCGGCCGGAAATTGGCAGTTGCTGCAGTCGGGCAGCCATTAGGAGGACAATTTCTAGACCCCCCTTCCCCCTTTTTAGTAGCATCTAGCATTTTCGCCCCCTCCATGCAAATTTTTAAGTGCAACAGCAGTTTGGATGGGCGAGCATAATCTCGTCATGAATATGTTTGTTTAGCGAGCAGCCTTGTCTCGCCTTGAAGCGTTCCGCTCCATCAGATTCAGACTTTCAGACTAGGAACAACCCCCCTGCGCCCCTTTTGGAGCCACGCCCCTGGCCCTTGGATGCTGCTGACGTAAAAGTCGCGCCATAAAAATTCATTGCCAAACGAGCCAAAGTATTGCCGCAGCGGAGGAGGATAGAGATGGGGTTGGTGTCGAGGATGTGGCAGTGGATGTGGCAGTGGATGCGGCAGTGGCAATTGCCGAGAGTAGTCCAGACTGAGAGCTGCAAAAAGCTGGGTAACGGATCTGAAAGTTGAGCTGAACCTCAAGTCGCGCGTTCGGACGGAACACCATGGGAAAAATCATTTATTTCGGATTAAATGGCGTATGAGTGATGTCGGCTGATGAGAAGAAGTTAGTAAATATTTTTAAATATTTTATAAATTAATTTTCCTTCATATTCCACATTTTTTAAATATTTTAGTGGAACAAAACAACAATTTTTTTTCTACCGATAGGAAAAGATCTTTAAATCAGGAATTTGCTAGGCACTTCTTCTTAAAATTCTCTTTATATTACCAAAAAAAAATCCAAACGTGAATGATACATAAAACCAAAAATAGGAAACATTTTATAAAAGGAATTGCATAAAGTTTTCTTCCCTTTTGCTTGCTTTTCTCCTAAACAGCGCAGCGTATTAAAGAGGTTCGGAAGGAGTGGGTGTGGAAAATGGGTTGGGAAATGGAAAATGGAGATGGGAATGGTGTAGATGGTAGATGGTGGATGGGATGTATCGCTTCAGACGCTGGCTGCGACTGCTTCGAAAACGACATCGCAGGCAATGAGCTTAAGTTCAATACATTTACTTGAATTTCCAGCGAACGACAAGGACGAAGACGATGTCGTTGACTAGTTGGCTCCCAAGGATGAGTCGGAAAATTGGGGGCACAGGGATTGGGTGGGAAGCCAGGAAGCTGTAGAGGAACACAGAGGAAAATGTATTCTTATTTATATATTTGACTTAAATATTACTGTTTAAAATTATTTTGTTTTATGAGATTTATTTATGGTTTCATTTATTATTTTAAGGTTTTATTTTCATTAATTTTGTATTGTTCTTATGTATTTAAACCTCTCTAGTATTTTATTTTTTTTTTAATTTTATTTATTTAAATCATAATTAAGAATTTCTAAGAAATTTGAACATTTTTTTCAGTGTAGAAAGCCAAAGCCGGGCAACGTTGTGCCCATTACAGACAGTTTTTGTGGCGAGAAATTTCAAAAAGCTCAAATGTGCGAGGCGATAAGCAAAGCAGCAAGAGATTGCCAAGGAAGGGGGTTGGTAAGGGATCGGGTAGGGGGTGTTGTAAGGGGTTCCGGGGTTCAGGGGGCAATGGCAGCACTTACATGTAACCAGTCGATGGCGACAACGGCAGCCGCAAATGTAGCAAGGATTGCCGGCAAGAAGCACACACAAAATTGATGTCTATGTGTGCGGTGGGTGGGTGTATTGTGGGTGGCCGAAGGACAACTATTGCGAGGGTTGGTGGGAGGCAGACGGCAGATCGGTGGGGGTTGATTCGCCAGCGCAAGTTTTGGTTTTCAAAATTTATCGCTTTTAGATAAAACGTTTTGCGTTTTTACGATACGAGCAGCGAACACTTTGGCCAACTATCCTGGAAGCCATTCCCTGCAGCTGGAGGGGATGCGATGTCCTTTGTTGTGGCAGGGGGCGTGCCTAGTTGCGGGGGTTGTGGGCGTTGTGGGAATGCCCCCCGCCGACTCTGTGGATTATGAAGTAATTTAATTAAAACGCCTGGCCCGCAAATAAATCCGGCATTATTTATGCCGCCTCGCAGGAGAAACGTGACATCTACGGACCGGGTAATCAGTATTATTCTTTTGCAGAGAGTGAGTGCTTGCTGAAACCTATTTGTCAGAATTAATTTAGGTCACTTTAAGAAGACAAAGATCGCTTTTTTGACATTTCATAGATTTTACATGAAAATTTTATAGTTCTGTTGAATTTGTTTTTAATTACCACTTACACCGAAAAAAAGCATGTTCACGTAAAATCGATATGACCATGAAAATTTCAGTTTATGCAAAACCCATATCGTTTTTACATGAAATACTCTTTTCAACCAGTTCAAATTTACCTGGCCTCATATCAAATTAAAATTGATCTTAAATAATGTAAAATCGATCTACGTTTCATATCGATTCTTTTTGGGTGTAAATGTAATAAATATTTTCAATATATTTTTTTAATTTACTACGATGTATTTTGTTATAATTTAAACCAACTGATTACTTTATTCGCATGCGTGTCACATTTTTTTGGGCACACGTCGATTCTTCTTTGGTTCGCGATATTTTTGCAATCCTTCTCCTAAGTTTCATCCTGGGCAGCAGCAGTTCCAGGACGAAGACCACCAGCGCTCCCAGATTTGCCCAGAGAACGAGCCAGAAGAGAGCGGCCAGCTCCCGCATGGAGAGCACATTCTGGCGCACGGGGGCCACCTGCTGCTCCTCCGCCTCCGTCAGCCGGGGATCGCCATCGATCCCGTCCAGGGTGCTATACGAAGTGGAGGCAATCCGGGCCACACTCTCGTCAGCCTCGTCCACGGCACTCACATACTGGCGCGTCCAGTGCTCCAGGAAGCCATGCGAGTGGGCATAGTGGATCTGCTGGTTCAGCACACCCACCAGATGCGAGTGACGCCGCACATAGAAGGCCAGCTGTTGGGTGTAGATGCGTTCGCGCACCAAATGCAATCGCCGGCTCATCGGATGCACCTTCCGGAAGTAGCCAAAGTACTCGTACGGAGTAAGGATGGCCACGCGGGCGGAGGAGCCGCTGAGCTGGGCCAGGGCTGGAAAGGATTGCAGCTCACTGCCCTCCAGGTGAACCAGCTGCTCGGGTCGCAACTCCGGCAGGCTGGCCACAATCCTCGCTTCATTCACCTCCGCCAGCTGGATGGTGAAGCGCTGGGCCAGCACCTCGTTAATAGTTTGCGGCGGATTCCGCTGGGTGTCCTGCCGCAGCAGCTGGTACATCCCCGACTGGTAGCCACTCCGCAGGACCAAAGTGGCCATCAGCCAGGTGAGCAGCACCAAACGCCCGGAAATCCTGCGTGGCAGGCAACGATCCTCCACATTGCCGCCCATGGTCAGGACAAAGAGCTCGTAGTAGGGATTCCTGGGCAACTCGAGGCCACGCCAGCAATGCTTCACCGCGACGAGGAGCAGGCAGGCCAGGATCAGGACCAGGCCAATGGCTCGCCACAGGAGAGGGGCGAAGGGAAAGGCCAGCTTCTCGTAGGCGGAGTAGGCACTCTGCAGGTTCGTGACCAGCATGATGTGGCTCATGAAGTAGTAGGTGGACTGCGAGTAGGGAATCTCACTTCCGGCGCTCGGCTTGAAATGGAAGCCGCCCAGCGAGAAGTCCGCATGGTGGCCAAAGATCTGAAAATCACTGAATTTTATTAGTATTTTTCACAATTAGCTACACTAAAAAAAAACGATATGAATCGTAGGTAAATTTTACCTTATTTAAGATCAATTTTAATTTTTCCTGGCCTTAGGTAAATTTGATCTGGTCATGTAAAAACGACCTGGGTTTTGAATGTGTCAACATATCACCGTAAAATCGATATGGCCATGTAAATTTCAGGTAATTTTAACATTTTAACCAGTTTAAATTTACCGGCCGCATATCAAATTAAAATTGATCTTAAATAATGTAAAATCTATCTACGTTTAATATCTTTTTTTTTTTCTTGGGTGTAGGTGTAAATATCATTAACTCACCTCATCGAATATCCTGCCCGACTCGTCGAAAGTGGCCAGCACCTCCTCCTTGTTCATCCAGTAGAGACCCACGCTGAAGTTCAGGTTGTCGGCCATGAACTGCAGCAGAGCCCCCTCGATGCCCACGAAGGATCCGCTGCCATCGCGACGCCAGACCAAATAGGGCATGTCCTCCCAGGTGGCGCAGGTTAAGAGACAACCATAGAAGTTGCCCAGCTTGGGGGGAAAGTAATCCTGGCTAGCCCAATGGCCACGCTCCACTTGATACCGATTCACCACATTGGCCGCGATCACTTGGCACCCGTGGGAGGCACTGAACGGAAAGTAGCTGACCAGGAGGAGTTGGCCACCCGGGGGGCGGAGTACCACCCCCACATTCAGCACACTGAGACGCCACAACAGTTGGAGGACCAACTGGATCTGCTCACCATACGCATCCGTGGGCAGGGACATGTATATCAGGGTGTACGACAGATCCTGGGTGGCTCGAATGCGTTTATAAATCGCCTTTAAAGCCTGAAGATCATCGACCAAAGCGAGCACGACATGCACATAGGGTTTGTAATCCATAGACTGCTGAAGGAACAACCTACGAGCCTGCAAAGTGGGTGGCAGAGTAATCAGCAGCTGGTCGAGCAGCTCCTCCAAATGGCCTTCCGTCGATTGCGAACTTATGTGGGTGTAAATGTACAGGGTCTTTAGGTGACCCATCTCCGAATTGACCACCACTTGAGTTAGGGCTTCTGCCAGGTCCTTATCCGAAATGGATCCCAGAATTCCGGTCACCAAAGAGCAACAGAAAAGTAAATACAACCAGTACTTCATGCCGAAAGAGTTGCCGGAGGAATGCGTAAGTCCAAAACGGAATTGTAACTAGACCTTTCAGATCCCAGGGGAAATTTAGGTAATGCCGGGGTTATTACAATACCGTTAATCATACCACATTAAAGGCGATTCCTCTGGGGAACTTATTACCTGGTTAGCTATTAGTGATAGAGATTTACTTGTAAGTTAGTAAAACACTTTCGTTTTCACATTAATAATATTTAATATTCACTTTTATTGGCTTTATAAAACAAAAGTCTAGTCATCAACATCATCGCCGTCGAAACTGAAGTAGTCTATATCGTTGTTATGCCTGGTTTCACTGCTCTCCTTGGGCTCCTCTGCCTCCCGGTCATCCTCCTCCTCCTCGGCTTCCGTTTGGGGTTCCTTCTCCAGCGGGTCGTTGGCCTCCTCCTCCTCCTCGAACAGGCTGCGCTCGGCGGCTCCCAGTTCGAAGACAGGTTCTTCACTCTCATCCCTGGACTTTGGTTTCGCTTTCGGTTTGGATATCTTGCCCAGAACCGGAGGCTGTACCTCCACCCGGGTGAGATTCGTATGGTGATTCAGCATGCCCTTGTAGAGATGCGGAAAGCGACGCTGGAAGTCGATTTTAATCCGTAGAAGTCTCTCCAACATCCCAGGAGTTAGGATGCCCGACGGCGAGGAGGATGCCTGACCCATGATGTGCGTATCCCTGCGCCGACGACCGTCCTTCAGGTAGGCAGCATAGCTCCCGCCGCCCTCGTAGAGGGGATGGTGCAGATCGTAGGGTCTCTGGTGCCAGGGATCCTCGGGTCTGTCCACCGGCAGCAGACCCATGAACGGATGCAGCAGTCCCTCGCCGTAGGTGTAAATGGAACCCACTTGGGGGTCGGGATCGGATGATGGTGCGTTTTCGTTTTCGATTTCTGATGGTGCTGATGATGAACTGACGAAATGGACGGAGGATATGCAAAATGAGAGATGGACATGAATGAATATGCTTATCTAGATAATGGTTAGGATTTGTGGGTTAGTTCTATGGGTTGTTTTGGGTTCTTATGCTTTAGGTTGGATGGAGCTTCTAATGGTGGTGGCCATGGGTTTGTGTTGCCTTCTGCGCAACCTCTTTCGCTTGATGACTTTGATGGGTTTAATGGATTTGGTGGTTGGGGTTTTCGAGGGGTTACTCTGGGACCTCAGGAGGCTGGACTTTTTCTCCCTCTGAATTTGCAGGCGCAACAGATCCTTGAGCACATCCACCAAACTGTCCAGCTTGGTGCTGCTCACGGTGGCCTGTGTGGTGACCTGTGAGCTGGTGGTGACCTTCTTTTTGGGTCGCTGGGGGGTTCTCACCTGGCGAGTGGACCTCACCCAGCCATCGTTAGTTTCTTTCGTGATCCTCGGGCTGGGAATCCTTCTCGCCGTGCTCCTCCTGCGCACAAACTTTCCCCTCATCGCGTAGGGAGTGGGTGTGGTGGGGGAGGCATCACTAGAATCGGAGCCACCACTATCGTTTAGGGCCGCATTCAGGAGCTGCGCCTGCTGCTTCACACTCAGGGCCCTCTTGGCCTTGCCCTCCGTATCGGCGTTCGTTGGTTCATCCGCCTGGAACTCCGGATAGGGGGAGTACTCCTGACTCGCGTTGTTCTCGTAATTGCAGGGCTTCGTCATCTCGAGATTCTGACCCTGGGAGAACTGGGCCTCGTGGCTTTTGGTCAGGTAATCCGTGTCGTAGCCCCGGTTGGCCAGAATGCGCTGCCAATTGGTGTCGTCTTCGTAGTCCAGCTTATTGGACGGGCCATAGATTGCATTGGATTTGGGCTCAGCCTTGGGCGGTGGCGTCTCTGTGGTCGTGGTGGTGGTGCAGGCGGAGGTGGAGGTGGTAGTGGAGGTGCCCTCCTCCTCCTCTTCCTGCTCTTCCTCCTGCTCCACTGTGGTTTGCTCCTGCTTCTCCTCCTCTTTGGGTGGCTCCTCCTTGGTCACATTGTTCGATATGATCTGGCTGCATCTGAGGTTCAGCTTGATGAGCTCGACCTTCAGCTCATCCACAATGGTGTGCAGGTGGTGGATCTCCTGCTCCTGCTTCGATATCGACTTGGTCACGTGGGAGCTCTCGTGGGCCACCGAATCCTGCTGCATCTCGCTGTCCTCGTCCTTGGGACCACCACTTTCGGTGGTGGTTGAGGGAGTAGCTTCTGAAGTGGAGTCCCTGCCTCCCGAAGTGGTGGTGGCCTCTGTGCTGCTCGTCGTCGACATCGTGGGAGCTGCCGTGGAAGTGGTCAGGCGCACAAAGTCCCGGTGATTATACTGGCTATCATGCTGCACTTGCTCCACCTCCTCCTGCTGCACGGGCTCCTGCTGCTCCTGCCCCTCCTCGTACTGATCGCCACCGATCTCCAGCGGCTCCATGCTGGCCCTCTCCAGAGCCTCGCGAATGGAGGCCGCATTGTAGCGCATCAGGGCCTCGGCGGGATCTTCGTCGGGACTCAGGGTGATCTCCTTGAGGCCCAGCTTGTATTCCCGCCGCAGTTCGTTGAGGGAGCCCTCGTCGATGGTCTCCAGGGTTCCGTACTCGACGCTCCGCTTGCTCCGGCGATTTAACTTGCACTGGCATCGGGATCTTTGGGATCCTCGGGATCTTCCGCACTGACAACTCCTGCCACACCGGCAATCCAACCTGCCGCATCCGCAACCCTTGGCTGTGGAGTTACCCTGTCCATCCCCTAACCCTCGCCCAAACCTGTGGAAAATGGCTAACCTTTTGTGGACTCGATGCTCTTGCGGTTGCGGTGATTGTGATTGCTCCTGGGGAGCTGGGGTCGTCGCCAATGGAGGATTAGAGCTGCTCTCCGATCCACCAACTTGGCCCGGTTGCTGGGGGTTTATTGTCTGAAATGCGTCGCCTGTTTAATGCCATGAGAAAAAGGCGAATGAATCGTATGAAATGGATCAAATGCAGGCAATTGGTCTACGTGTTCTAGAGTAGAGCTTGAAAGCTATCGATATTATCGATAGTTTCGATATATTTCAAACTCTATTTTAGAGAGTTTCGGTGTGAATTGGTGTGGTGTGGTGCTGAATGTGGTGTTTCAGTGGTTCGAGTGGTTGGTTCATCAACATAGCCACCAACTTACCCTGGCCATCGTTTGGTGCCGGCGCAGCATGTCATCGACCTCATCGTTACCCACGGCTGCCCGGTAGCCCTGACTTTGATAGCCGGAGCTGGCTGGATAGGCGGGCACCCCATAGGCATTCGATCCGTAGCCACCGCCGCCGTAGCTCGTTCCATAGCTACTTCCGTAATTCTGGACGGCCGGACGCTGAGCCGGAGCGGAATAGTAGTAGTTGACCACCGTGTGGCCTGCGGACTTGGACTTCTTGCGCTTGTTGCCGCCCAATCCCAGGGAATCCACTGTGGGAGAGACGGAGGAGGGCGGTGAGTCGGGAGGATGGCGAAACACACCGAAGAGATTACCTTTGTGCCGGGCGATACCCTCGTTCTCCGGCATCTGGGGACCAGCATCGCCAACTGTGGGTTCGTCCATCTCCTGGTTGTTGGGCATGTTCTGTTCTGGATCCTCCATTCGCTGTTGCTGCTGCTGCTGCATCATCATCTGGGGATTCTCTTCGGCCCACTGGCGTTGCTTCATCATCTGCCTCTCCTGCTGCTGCTGCTGCTGAATCTTTGCCTGCTCCTCGGACCACTGTCTTTGCTGCATCTGCTGCATCATCATGGCATTTTGTTGCTCGATCTTGGCCTGTTCCTCGGACCACTGTCTCTGCTGCATCATCATCTGTGGATGAATACCGGGGTGCTCATTCTCCTCTGCCCAATGCCTCTGCTGCATCTGTTGCACAACTTGGGGATCCTCGGTCCACTGCCTCTGTTGCATCTGCTGCATCATCATGGGATTCGGTTGTGCCTCCATTTGCCTCTGCTGCATCATCATGGGGGCTTGTTGAGCCATCTGCTGGCTCCTGGCCTGCTCCTCCGTCCACTGTCTCTGTTGCATCACCATGGGACCCTGCTGGATCTTGGCCTGATCCTCCGTCCACTGTCTTTCCTTTTGGATCCTGGCCTGCTCTTCAGTCCACTGTCTCTGCTGCTGCATCATGGGATTCTGTTGAATCTGTTGTTGATCCGGCATCATTTGCCTCGGCTGTTGTTGCATCATGGGTTGCTGATTCTTTTCGATCTTGGCCTGATCCTCTGACCACTGCCTCTGCTGCTGCTGCATCATTTCTTGGGTCTGCTTCTGCTGGGCAGCCTGATTCTCGCCCGTCCTGTAGGCCGCGTACATCTTGTCCTGCTTGCCCTTCTCACCCTCCATCTGCTCGTTGGCCATGCGATAGGCATAGGCCATGATCTGGACAATGTCCTCCTTGGACAGCTGCTGCTGATCCTGGGCCTTGGCCTGTCGCTTCTGGCCACCGGCTCCCGAGTTCCTGGCCTTGCGTTGGGCCTCCTTGTTGACCAATCGCCGCACGTAGTCATCCCGCAGAGCCTGCTCGATATCCGCACGTGTGATCTTGTGAACGGGCGTGCGACTCAGCGGATAGCTGATCCTGTAGCTGGGATCTCCCGACTGGGCGGCATTCGAACGCATCTGCTTGGCCAGCAGCTCGATCTTCTGCAGCATCTTCAGCTCGGCTATCACCTGGCGCTCGAAGGCCCGCAGCTTGGCCTCCACCCGCAGATCCTCCAGTGTCTTCTCCTCCGTCGCATCCTGACCCTCGCCGCCGCTGGGCATTCGGAACCAGAGGAGTGGCACCTGCTCCTGATCCTCCTGCTTCTCTTGCTCCTTCTCCAGTGTCGCCTTGATCTTCTGCTGGGCCAACTGAGCCATCTCGGGACGCACTCGCACCTCGGAAATGTCGGAGGCCTGGGCAACGGAAGCAGGTGAAGACATTTGTGGGAAGAATTGCTTCTGCATTTGGGAAACAAAGTCCATGTTGGCAGGGATTGGAGCCAATGCAGGTATTCCCTGACCCAGTAGAGTGGTGGCATCAAAGTTGGCCGGATTCATGATGCTTTGCATTTGACCAAGCAGCGATTGTTGGAAGGTAGTTTCTGGAGATGCGGCTGCCGGAGCTGGTGGAGCATCTGGAGCAGCTGGAGAAGCTGCTGCCGGAGCAGCTGGAGCTGGAGCAACGGGAGCAGGATTTGGAGCAGCGGCACCCAGGAGGGCAGGCATCGCCGGCATCTGCGGCATTTGGGCCAAAAAGGCGCCCACTTGAGGTGCAAAGTCCATGTTGGGTATTTGGAACTCCTGCGGCAGACTAGGCCAGTTCGTCAGCAGGGGAAAAGGATTCGGTACAGCAGGATTCTGACGAGCCACTCGCGTCTTGGCCGTGGCATCCTCGGCCAGGACGAGCACCACCTTGGAGGCCGCCGCCGTGGGCTGCAGGCCATCGGGAATGGCGCCCAGGATGGAGTAGGCCGGGAAGAGGCTGCCCCAACGGAGGAGGCTGCCCAGAGCCGGGAACATCATGTAGAAGGCGTCCATCTGGGGATTGCCAGTGCGGATGGGCGAGATGGGAGGCATCTGGCCGAGGATCTGCAAGGTAATGGTTGGAAAATATGGTTTATAGACTCATAAACATTTATTTCTAAAATCTAGAAATCTAGCCTTTGGAAATGGACAAAATTTTGTACTTGTTTTTAATAAAATTGCCTTGAAATATAGAAAATTTCTAGATTTAAAGGCAAATTTCCTAAAAACAAGATAATTTTTTGTACCTTTCCAAAGGCTGAAATTACTTGTAATTATAATTATCATTTACTTTCAGGGACACTAGATGAACTCACCTCATCGTTGGAGGGATACCTCAGTCTGGTTTCCGTGGAGGAATTGGTCTTCGAACCGGCATCCTTGGGTGGATCTTCCGCGGTGATCGTATCACTTTGGGCAACCGCCTGGACGGCAAGGAGCGCCAGGAGCGGCAGCAGGCTGTGCAATCTCATCCTGAACTCGGTGATCGCTTCTGATCTGATCTATTCGGTGTGTGCGCCGGAGCTCTTTCGCCGACTGACTGCCGACTGCTGCCGGTCGGTGGTCCAAATAGATTTTTTGCCACCGCGTCGGCGGCATTAAAGTGCAGACGTCTGCGATTCGATCGTGACCCGGACCCGGGTCCACCACACGCACATCGCCGTGGGCATCGGTCGGTGTTTCCGTGTGTGTGCCCCCGATCGCAAAACCAGAGCGCAGCAGCCGCCGCAGCTGCAAGTGCTGCAAAAAACCTTGCCCAACTATTCCGCTCGCCAGCTTTTTCCACGAAATCAGCGCAAATGATGCACGCTAAACAGTATGGCTGGAAAAATCAGGTCTGCAATCACGCGGAAGGGGCCCCAGACTAATTTGGTCGGGGTATCTTCTAAAGAACGATATCTTATAAAATTATATACCTTTCTAACTCTAGTGTAAAGAATTTAAGATTTAAGATCTAATTTATTCGGAGTATTTATAAAATGAAAGTTAATTTTCTAATATTTTTAAAAGTAAAATTAAAAAAAAGGTATTTTTTATATATTTTTTTTATGAAAATAAAAGATGTACTTTTGTTTTGTTATTTTTCGCTACTCATTTGACCATTTTTTTACCCTAAGAAAATATTATATTTAAATATTTTTTTAGCTATATATTTAAATCATTTTTATTTTCTGGCCAAATCCGTCCCTGCTTTTTGTTGGGGGCCGTGGTGGGGCTGCCCTTCAAGCGTCGATCCACGGAATTCTTGCAATTGTCTTATCGTTTGTGTGTCACCAGAACCACGGCGGCACCACCACAACCACAACCACCGAGGTTTGCTGAGGTCAGCGGTGGTGCGCTTGTAGCGACACAAGAAACAAAAGTTTCTGTCATCGCAGCGGGTGGTTTTGCAAAGGTCGGCGAAAAGTGCGAAAGAAAAGAAAGAGGTATTGCATTTCTTTAGCTCGGTACAGCGACCTTTGGTTGCTCAGATCCATTTTAAACAGACTCCGATCATTATCAAATTACTCACGGCCCACAGCTATCTGTATTTAATCACGATTATTGCGGCTAAGATGCGTAAGCAGCCCAGCTTAAAGTTCATTGAATAAAAATCATTTACAAAGAAGTATTGTAAGTATGGCATAATACATTTTATTTACTAAATATATTTAAACATTTTTCTGAAGTATTTGCATTTTATTTTCCTCCAACTTTTCAAAAGATATTTCTGACTTGCCAGAAAAAAAACGCAATGCAAAGTTAACACCTTTTAAATATGTCCATTGGTAAATTGGCAAAGTAATCAAAATTTAACAAAAATATTTTCCATAACCTACATTCAGTAATAATTTACATTTTGCTTGCGTTACCTTGCCCTTTTTGTATTTACACAAGAATGCGAAAGCAATAAGCAGCGGATGTTTGTATAGATTTTTAAATATTATATATTTGATGTTAATTTATTGTGCATTTGCATTTCCAGATGCCGCCGATAGAGCTTTCAGCACGCAATTTGGCCCGTCAGTTAAGTGATTCCTGTTTAGATAATAGTAATGAGCTTAGTGCACAGGCAAAAATTAGTTTAGTTATAAAATTTAAAATTAAAATATTGTCATCGATAAAATAAAATATTTTTGATAAAAAATCCTTTAATATTATATTCACCTTTGGAATAAGACTTTAAATGACCTTTGAGCATTAACAAAAATTATACATTTAAATGTTTATATTTACCTTTGTTAGGTATAGATGAAAAATACTTTCTAATTAAATATTTTAAATATACAAGCATATAATATTTAATTCAACATTGGAATAAGGCTTTAAATGACTTTTCAGTATTAAAAAAGCTTATAAACTTGTAAATATTACCAATTTAAATATCAATGAAAAATACTTGAATCATTTTCAATTTAAATTTTAATTTCTTTTAATTTAAATAGATTATTTAAACATTTTCACCATTTTTCATCACCTCTTTACTTCCAGTGTGTCCAGCCATCATGCGAGTAATGGTGGTTGGCCGAGTGCAGGACCAGGACCTCAGTTGGCCGATGGCCAGTGGTGGATCACGATGTTGCCCAGTGCTGTGCACAATGTGAGCCTGGTCTACGCTCTTGTCTGGGCCATCGACAATTATTACGGCACCGCGAGCAGCACTCCGCTGGCGGTGGTCCAGTTCGCCACGAGTAGGGAGACTCGAGGGCTCCACAACGACCTCATCGATGCCGCTTTGGTGAGATCCTCGGCGACGTGCCGGATTCAGTTCCTGCTGGAGGACGATCGCGTGGAGATGACGGAGGCGAATGCCGAACTGCCGCCGCCCAGCGGATTGACCGGCCGACCGATGGCCATTTGGTTCCTGGACAGCCTGCGATCCTACTTCCGCCTGGAGATGTACCTGAATCAGCTGGGCAGTCCGTACAAGCGGAACGGCTACTTTGTGGTCGTCTACACCGGACTGGAGGATCAGCCCATGGAGTCGGTGAAAATCATGTTCCGGCGGCTGCTCAACATGTATGTGCTCAATGTGAATGTGTTCCTGCTGCGCGAGGGAACGGTGCAGCTGTACACCTACTATCCTTATGGGCCGCATCGCTGCCAGTCCTCGCTGCCCGTCTACTACACCGCCTTCCAGGATCTGCCGGCTCCGGCACGGGGCTATGGGCTCACCAAGCCGCTCTTCCCCAGCAAACTGGCCAATATGCACGGCTGCGAACTGGTCGCCATCACCTTCGAGCACGCGCCGTATGTGATCATCGATGACGATCCGGTGACGCCGGGCGGCAGGATCATGCGCGGCATCGAGGGCATGATTGTCCGGGCCCTGGCCGAGCGGATGAACTTCACCATCAAGATGGTGGAGCGAAAGGACAAGGACCGCGGCGAAATTCTGCCCGATGGAAACTATACGGGCATTCTCAAAATGGTAAGTGCTCGAGAACAATTTTTTTTTTTTTTGAAAATTTCGGTAAAAAATAGGAGCTATTTTTGTTGTTTTTTTCCTGTAACGTGGCCAAAAATGGTCCTACACCAAAAATACAAACAGTTTTGAACAGATAACAAAATAATCAATAAATCATTAACACTTTCCGTGTGATTTTTGAAAAATAACATTTTCGTAAATTTTCAATTTTTTTTATAAGGGGGTACCTCATGATTTTTTGCAAAAAATTGACAAAAATTAAAATTCTCAGGTTTGAATGCCAATCGATTTGAAATTTTATAACGAGTTCAGAAAGGTATGACAATCCATATTTGGATCAATATTTCCAATGTTTCGGCCAAAAAAACTAATTTTTTGGTTGAAAATTGGGAAATGAGTTTTTGGTAAAAATAGGAATTTTTTCTGTTTGCATTTTTGTTGTAACTTATGAACGCCATAAATCGTATCGTCGTATACGTAATGCACCTATGTATATTTCATCAAGTATACGCAATGCCTTGCAGATGGTCGATGGCGAGGCGAACCTGACGTTCGTGTGCTTCATGTACAACAAGGCCCGTTCCGATCTGATGCTGCCCAGTATTTCGTACACGAGTTTCCCGATCGTCCTTCTGATTCCCAGCGGAGGATCCATGTCGCCCATGCAGCGATTGACGCGCCCCTTCCGCCACATCATCTGGTCCTGCATCCTGGTCAGCCTGCTCCTCGGTTTTCTGCTCATGGCCCTGCTGAGGATTGCCGCTGGTCCGTTGCTCAGAAACCTGGTGCTGGGCAGGCACAACCATGGTCCGTGCCTGGGAATGTGGGGCAGTCTGCTGGGGGGACTGGCATTGCACAATCCGCGCAGGAACCTGGCCAGATATCTCCTGATGATGTGGCTCCTGCAAACCCTGGTCCTGCGGGCCGCCTACACGGGTCAGTTGTACCTAATGCTGCAGGACGTGGAGGTGCGATCGCCGCTGAAGACCCTCGCCGAGGTGACGTCGCAGGGCTATGAGTTTCACATGCTGCCCGCTTTGCAGACGGTTTTCAGGGACTCGATGCCCACGACCAATGTGCGATCGGTGTTCTCGCTGGAGGCCTCGTTGATTCGCCTGCGGGACGAGGACGATCCGGGCATTGCGGTGCCGCTGCTCCAGCCCACCGTCTACATGTTCGACTATCGATCGGGGCCCAATATGCGGCATCTGACCGCCCTGCCCGATCCTCTGATGACCGCCCCCCTGACCCTCTACATGCGACCGCACTCCTACTTCAAGCGCCGCATCGACCGCCTGCTCATTGCCATGATGTCGTCGGGCATCGTCTACCGCTATCGCCGGATGTACATAGACCGCATCGAGCGGCTGGCCAAGCGGCGCAACATGGAACCCCGGCCCCTGACCATCTGGCGACTGGGCGGCGTCTTTATGTGCTGCGCCGGCCTACAGCTGCTGGCCATCCTGGTCTTTGGCCTGGAGCTTCTGGCCACAAAACACCGGCGATTACGCAGGACTTTGAATGCCATCAATCGATACACCGCTTGAGTTACATATTTATTAAAGTAATAGCACAAACAGAATAATAATAAAGTTAAATAAATATAATAATAAGATCGCTTAAAATCAAAGTACACATAAATATAAAATACAATAAAATAATATTGAAAAAAAAAAAATAATAATAGTAATTAAAACACTACGAACACTGCACATTTTTTGGATCTATATTTTCTTTGCTTTAGCGAAAAAACTGATTTTTTTTTTATTGAAAATTCGGAATTTCGATTTTTGACAAAAAAATGAATTTTTTCTTTTGTTTTTTTTGCTATAACTTGGCCAAAAATGGTCCTACGCAAAAAATACAAACTGATTTGAACAGATAACAAAACAATAAATAAATCCATAGCACTTTTCGTGTGCATTTGGAAAAAATAAAATTTTTTGCCAATTTTCAATTTTTTTTATTAGGGGGTACAACATGATTGTTTGCGAAAAATGGCAAAAAAAATAAAATGTCCAGGTTTAAATACCAATCCATTCGAAATTTAACTACGAGTTCAGAAAGGTATGACAATCCATTTTTGGATCAATATTTCCCTTGTTTTCGACACTACACTACGTCGATTCTTCTTTGTCAATAAATACCAACTCTGTTTCGAGCCGAATCAAAACCCCTCAGATCCTCTCCATTAGCCAGGCTAATCCCGGCCAGCGGCGCCTCTGGCTGAGCAGCTCCAGGCCAAAGACGCCGATGGAAAGGCAGAGGGCGGCCATCAGGCAATTCAGGGCGGCCAGGACGAAGCCCATGGACTCGGCAAAGCCCGTGGCCAGGCTCTCGCGGGCGGAATGCAGTGACCTCCCCGGGGCATCCGAGGTGGTGGGCATGCTGTTCCAGGCGAGGATCTGCGAGTGGTGCTGGAAGAGGCCGAAGCTGCGCATATTGAAGAGCAGGTTGCTGATCTCCCAGGCGAAGTAGGAGCCGTGGGGAAAGTACATGCACAGCATGTTGTCGACGATCTTCTCGGCCAGGATCAGCAGCTGATTGCGATGCGCCCGATGCTTGACCAGGTGATCGGCCAGAAAGGCGCGACTGGTGAAGGCGCCCGTCTTCCAAGGGGCCTTCAAGAGGGCATCGAAAACGTCCACCGGTTGCCCCGGCGTAATGCTAGTTTTCCCCCGAAAGGCAGGTAGTTTCAGTGTCATCCGATAGGTGGCGTGATCGGTGATGAACCGAAAGCCGCCCGCCAAAGTTTGCTCCAGCGTTTGCGGCGATGGCTTCACCGGGGCGTTGTGTATAAAATTGAAAACCGATGCCTCGTAACTGGCACGGATCACAAAGATCCAGAGCATCCAACCGGCGAGAACAGGTGAGGGCATGCGCCACCACCTGCCAAAGATCCAGTGAATACCCAAGACAGAGCCAAGGAGCAGCCAGGTGTATTGGTTAAACGGGAACAGCATCACCTCGTAGATGCTATAGCCACTCCTTGCACGCATCACAATTATGTAGGCCATCTGGCTGTAGGGACTCGTGGCGGCCAAGTAGGTGGACCTCTCCGGCGTGCAGGCGGCACATCCTATGGTCATATTGGCCCTCCGTTCGCGGAGCATTTGGTAGGCTCCCGTCAGGGTGCCATTCACAAAACTGGAGCCACCTAGGAGACCAGCAGGTTCATTGGGCACCAGTTTCAACGTAAAGTTCATCTTTCGAGCCAATATCCTTAATAGCCGACCATCCAAGCCCTCCAGTCGCTCCATGGGATCCTCGCGTTCCCAGTGAACCCGCATGTAGGGCGGAATATCCCAGACGATGACGCTCAGCGGACAGCCGTGCAGATTCTTCAGACGCGCCGGAAAGATGTCCCACAGACCGGCCTGCTTGAGATCCATTTCCACGGGCTCCGTGCTCGCGCAACTGCTGTTCGTGTACGGCAGGACATTGAAGGCCCGCACGCCCTGCAAACTGGGCACCAGGATCATCACGTTGATGTTGTAGCGCTCCAGCAGGAAGTAACCGAAAATCCTGGACATAATGGAACGTTGCTCCGGGGGAGGCTCGGATGTCAGCAGCACGACGACGGACAGCTTGTTGCCCTCCACGTCCTTGACAATGGCTCTATAAGGTAGATTCCATTAAAGGTGATATTTAAAATATATTAAATTAAATAATAGTCAAACAAGAACCTAATAAACCATTAAAATCTTTAATTATGGTGTCAAATTACATGGTATAATACCAAATATAAAATAATAATCAATAAAAGAAACTAATAAACATTTAAACTTATTTTATATACTTTTAAAATCTCAAATTATGGTATCAGATTACATGGTATAATACCAAATTTTACACAAAAAATCATAATTTTTAATATTTAATATTAAACAGTATTATAAATGTATGATTATTTTATAAGATATTGCAACTCACATGGCCTGTTCGGCATTCTGGACGAAGAGCAACTGGGTGAGCACTTGGGGAGCCATCTTCCGGCTCAAATGAGAGGCCATGACGACGGGCACTGGGCAACCAGGTCGATACAAGCTTCGATACAGGACTCGTTGAACCAGAATCACCCGATCCCTGTCCATTTTTTCATAGGCGGTGCTAATCAAGACACTTAGATTGTAGGGCGCAAAGCCATTGGTGAACATCTTCTGCAGCGTGGCAGAGATCTCCGTGGCCAGGTGCTCCTCGAGAGGATGTTGGTCGGGCCACAAAGCCGCCTGGACACCAAAAAGAGCCAGGAGCACTGTTGCAACGCCACGCAGTTCCATGGTCAAAGTGAAACATTGGCGATATTTTTCGAGAATTTATTCGATTCTGTTTTCGCATTCCAAGGGCCAGAATTCGTTTTGGCAAGGGACTTTGGGAGTTGACTAGCAATTTTTTTTTAAATCTGCAAAGCTTACAGTGCGGCTCAAAATTTTATGAATTGCCAAAAAAAATATTTAAATTTAATAACATATTTTCTTTTTCTTATAAATGGTTTTTAATGTGGTGTAATCACTTTTAATAATTTTAAAAGCTAGAGGAATTTAAAATATATCTTTAACATTTTATAAATAATTTTTCTTTGGTAATTAAACAAAAGGAAATAAATATTTTACTATTTTTATAAACCTTAACAGGATTTCAAAAGTGAGTTATTTGTTTTTCCCAACAAAAATCGAATCCCTTGCGATTGAAATTAATTCTAGGACCGTGCCTGTAAAGGTAATGCATTAACAAATCTGTGTTCATCACTTAAACTAATTGCTGCGTACAGGCGAGCCACCCAACCACCTAGTCACCCCACCACCCAACCACCCAACCACCCACCAACCCACTGACCCGCTCCAGAGGCATGTGCGTGACAGGTTTCGGTGTCAGTATTATGCATGAGGCGCATAACCATAAATTAACACCATCAGCGGCACAGACACACTCACCTGTGGGTGGAGAATAGGCGTTTGGGGGGTGGTGGAGTTGGCAAGGGGGTGAAAACCCCCGTCAGTGTCAGGTTCATGCAAACGCCATGTCGTCCGTAAGAGGTTTACAAATAGCCGGATAATGTACTGGCCTCCAACGAAACCACACGGTTCCTGAAAGTCACCCACACTCGGAACAACAATCTATCTTTAGCTTAGAAAATTAGAATACCTTTTACTAAGTTTAAATTAACTCACGATTAGTAAGGTAATTTATGTTAATGTTATGTTTTAAGGGCGACCTTGAAAGCAATTGGGAATTCAGAATTTAAAGCCCACTTTAAATTTAAATTTGGTAGCCCATATAACTTTTTACATTTATAACATTTAAAAAACAAAGAAAAACATTTTCTTAAATTAAATTAAGGCTAGGTAAATTAAGGTTTACAATGTAAACTTTACATAAATAACTAATTTATAGATAAAAATATTTCCCTTACTTAGATCTTAGCTACAAAAAAAGTTTTCTCAAATAAAGCGATCGCCGGGACGCAAGTTCCAGGACGAATACGACCAGGCCGAGGATGTGGCCCACCAGAACCATCACGAAGATGGCATACAGCTCCATGATGCCCAGGATCTGGTAGGTCTGCTCGCTGCGCAGATAGCTCTCGACCACTTCCCAGCGGGACCAAACGGCCAGCAGGCCCACCGACCGCATCCACATGATCTCCTCGTTCAGCTGGTCGATGAGGAAGGAGTGCTTGGCCAGGTACATGGTCAGCTGCATGCTGATGATGTCCTCGGGCACAATCTCGAAATGGGCTCCCGATCCCTGTTCGCCCCTCTTGTGGACCCGCTCGGCACTCAGGCGATTGAAGTGGATGAAAATGTCCAGGGCCGAGGCGGTCACGTGCTGGCGCAGCTGGTGATTGGCCTCCAGGAAGTACAGGGGATCCAGCTCGGAGTTGGACTCGAGCAGACGGAACCGCATGTTCTGCACACTGGGAATCTCGTCCAGCACCTCCTGGACAATGGGCGTCAGCACCACGGTGAAGTTCTTCTGCACCAGCGATTCGATGGTCTGTGGCCATCGATTCAGCTGATGGGTTCGTATCAGATGGTACAGCAATCCCTGGTAGATTGTCCGTATGATCAGGGTGTACATCATCAACAGCAAACAATAGAGACGAGCGGTGTGCGATCTGGGGGTCTCCAGCAGCGGCATTCCCACGAAGATCAGCTCCAGATTGAGCCAGGTCCGCGAGCCACCCAGTCGCTCCCTCAGCAGCCGATCGACGGCCAACTGGAGGAGGGCGGACAGGGCCACCACGCCCAGGATGCCCAGCCAGATCTGCAGGCGGTAGGGGTAGAGCAGGATGTCGAAGGAGCTCAGCTCGTAGCTGGAGGCCAGCACTCCGAAGACCTCCCGCGTCTGGTGGTAGTTGTGCGTCGAGGTGGCCACCAAGCTCCGGCCCACCGTCTGCCGGATTCCGCCCAGCGTCAGGTCCGCCTCGCCGCGTTGCAACTGCAAAAGTATCGAAATTTAATCGATTTATTATCGAAAATGTTCCCTGATCCAGGGGTTATTCCCTAGATTTCGAAGTTTTTTGACGTGCTAGGGGAAATTTTAGGAGGGAGAGATTTTTAGGGGGAAAGTTTAGGGTTTTTTTCCGAACATTTTATTACCCACACACGACTCTTTTTTCGATTACGCAGATTTTTCCAATCTTAACATTTCTACAACGTCATATTGTGATATTTCTTATGTATTGTACATGTTCGAAATTAAATGTTTTTTTAAATTTTTGGGGAAAACTGAATTTTTTAGGGGAAAATATCGACAGTTTAAGTAACTTCCTAAAACATTTCAAAACCATCAAAAAAAAATCAATACACACGACTTTCCTTTCGAGTACACAGATTTTTCCAATCCTAACATTTCTACAACGTCATATTGTGATATTTCTAATTTATTGTACATGTACGAAATTAAATGTTTTTTTGAATTTAGGGGGAAACTAAATTTTTTAGGGAAATATCGACAGTTTAAGATCTTTTAGGGTCATCCTGAATTTTCATTTGGCAACTTTGCTCCAACTCACCATTTCCAGCGCCTCATCCCTCACATTCGCATGCACCCGCCGCACGGAGATGCTGAAGTTGAGCTTCTCGGCGAGCGCCAGGAGCAGACGACCCTCGTAGCCACCACTCACCACCTGCTCCTCGCTGACCTTGAGGAAGGGCGGCACATTCCACAGCGCACAGCGCAGGGGGCAGCCGAAGAAGTTGCTCAATTTCCGGGGGAAGAGCTCCGGTTCCACCAGCATGCTGCCATTGTAGCGATTGATCAGCTGCGGCTCCATATCAGCACAGCCCCGCTGCCCGAAGGGATAGTAGCTGTAGAAGAGGATGTCCCCGTTGGACTTCTGCACCTGGATGCTGCAGTGGATGAGCTGGTAGCGCCAGCAGTAGTCGAAGATCAGACGCATCTCGCCCTGCAGCAGGCGATCGCGGGCCTGCAGGAAGATGAAGTAGTGCTCGTTGTAGTTGTACTCCCGGGCATAGTACTCCATCCGGATCTCGGCGAAGGCCGCAAAGGAGTCGGTGAAGATGACGTTGTAGTGCCGACGACCCGGAATTGGACGCCACGGAACTCCGCGCTCCACATTCACAATTTGGAGGGGGGCCAATCCCCATTCGCGGAACAGGGTGCTCATCATCTCGTTGTAGAAGTTGCACGTGTGATTGCTGCGGCAGCAGAGGGTCAGCACCAGCGACGGGGTCACGCTGAGGATGTAGTGGTGGACCACGTGGAGCAGGGCCCGGGCCACGAACTCGTTGATGTGGTTCATCTGCTCCCCGGACAGGTCGTAGTACGAGTTGAGCAGCGCGCTGATGTTCATCCCGCCGGGACTGGAAGTTGCCCAATGAGGCGACACTTTTTCCCTGGCCATGTCCAAATCCCCGAATTGAGGATTCGGTGAGTTTTGTGTGACTTTCGAGCCAATTACCCCGAAAAGTTTTCCATGATTAATGGTTGTGCTGTTACTAAATAGGTTCTATAAGGTAACCCGGCGAAATTAGGTCAACACTTCGATTTATAGGGAAAAAATCAATATCAATGCAGGTTTCTTAATAAAACATAATCAATATTCCCATACTTTAGAATTGTTGAAAAATATTTCGAAAAGTTTAACATAATTATTTAAATATATAAGACTCTTTTTCAAACCATAGATGATTTAAAGGCTTAAGGAAGGACATACATTTTTATTTTAAATACCATTATTTATAATTATTTTTCGAGATATTACCAAATTGATAAACTTAACTATTCGGCATATATCTTAAATAACAATGTTCAAAGACTTTTTAAAAAACTTTTAAGTTTTTGGAAAAGTTTTAAAAATATTTCATAAACTAAACTACATTTTAGTCAAATCTTTTTTTCCAAATCATTTATTTTAATCATAATTATAATAATGATTACACTGTGCAACATTTTTAGTGCTTTTTAAATTTACCTCGATGGATGCTATATTTTTGGATTCGTTACGAATTCCCAAGTTAAACTGCGTTTTCCAAAAAGTTCCCCGACGCAAGGATTCTTAGCAAAAGGACCTCAAAGTTCGAAGAATGCTGAAATTGGACAACTTTCCAGAGCTCTCAGAGACAAACGGATGCATTGTTTGATTCGATGTTAAAGTTTTTTAAAGGATACACCCTTTATCTTTCAAACCCCATACTTAGAATAATTTTAGGATTTTTATTAAAGGAGAAACAAATTTTAGAAAACATAGTCAAAAAACATAAAAGCATACAGCTGCGGTCAAAATAGTAGTAGTGTTGCCGCCCTGTGTTTTTAAAGGTTTGTTGTTGTAATTTATCTTCTCCTGGTAATATTGTATTGATTATAATTGTACTAATAGACTAATTGGATAAGAAAAGTGACAACAAAAAAACTTTTAAAAACACAGGGCGGCAACACTACTACTATTTTTACCGCAGCTGTAAGTTTTTTAGTTTTTTGACTATGTTTTTTGGAATTTATTTCTGCCTTAAAAAAAATCCTAAAATTATTCTAAGTATGGGGTTTGAAAGATAAAGAGTGTATCTTTTAAAAAACTTTAACATCGAATCAAACCTTGCATCCATTTGCCTCTGAGAGCACTGGAAAGTAGGCCAATTTCACCATTTTTCGAACTTCCTTTTGCTAAGAATCCTTGCGTCGGGGAACTTTTTGGAAAACGCAGTTTAACTTGGGAATTCGTAACGAATCCAAAAATATAGCATCCATCGAGGTAAATTTTTGATGCTGCATAGTGTTATTAGTTTTTTAATATAACTATTTTTTGTATTTCAAGAACCATTATTGAAAATAACACTAGATTTAACAATAAAATATTTTTCATTTATAAACATAATTTTTAAAAATTCGCTTAGGTAAACAAACAAGATAAACCTCATATAAATGTTATATAAATCTTATCTTAATACTTTATATAATTTTTCAGAACTTAAGGACCTTCCAGTTCCTCCGCCGGAGGATGAGCTCCCCAGCGAAAACAAGACAGGAAAGGAGGTACATGCCCGCCATGACCATGTAAATTCCGGAGAGCTTGGCGTGGTTGATGTACCGCCGGCTGGTCTGGGGCACCCGTTCCCGCTCCCCTCGATGGACGCCGGCGAAGGCCGCCCGCCGCCAGGCGTGGATGAAGCCACTGGCGTCCAGCCGCCGGATGCAGTCGTCCAGCTTCTCGTAGAGAAACGAGTGCTTGGGCATGTACATGCCAGCATACTCGACATTCACCGGCTGTTTGACCACGTGATAGGCATTCGGTTGGCCGGAGGAGTGCAGGAAGGACTGGGTGACATCCTGATTGGCCACGGCGAATATCTTGCGCTTCCTGTTCCGCTGCAGGGCGTTTAGAACGTCCCAATCGGACGGAGTGTCCAGGGAGTGAAAGCTGTCCGGATTGCGGACCAGCTGGGGCATCTCGAGCAGCAGTCGCTCCGTGTTCGCCGTGCAAATACCCTGGAATCCCTCCGCCAGCAGCTGCTCCAGGGAGAAGGATGGCGTGCTGTACAGCTGCAGGCGGATGAGGTGAAAGAGCAGCGACTGGTAGGATATCCTCAGGGGTATGCTGGCCCACAGCCAGTGGGCGGCGATGAGGCGATGCCTCCAGGGGCGTGGCAGGCGCGCCAGGGCGGCGCCCAAAAGCAGGGCCACCACCTGGAGGCCACCGCCACCACCATCGCCGCCGCGATTCGATCGCCTTCCCGGCAGATGGATGGCCAGGTGAACCAGGAGAGCCAGGAGCAGGAGCAGCCACACGGACAGCTCGAAGGGAAAGGCCAGCAGGGCCAGCGAGCTGAGGCGATAGCGCTCCAGCTGGAGCACGGCCACCAGATTGGCCGAGTAGTACGACATGGGCGTGGTCAGCAGCTGATTCCGGCGCGCCGTCTTACGGAAATAGCCCATGCTCAGGTTGGCACTGCGCTCCAGGAGCTATGGAAATCAGGATTATAATATCAGAATTATTCGGTGTAAGGGATATAGTATAGTAGGTAATCTATAGTCGATTGCTAGCAGTATAAAATACTATGTAATGTAATGTAATGTTTCAAAAAAAACTTATATTTAAAAAACTTTACAAGTTTTGAATGGTTGTCAAACATTTTTTCAAAGACTTTAGAGGTATTTCAAAAACCCGTTAAAATATAGAAAAAATTCCGTTTGATGTCAAATTTATCTACCAGAATCTTAAAAAAATCTACATATTTGATCTACCGTTTCCCTAAACTTATTTAAGATTTTAATATTAAAAATGTTTTTGGTTAAATTAAATTAGTTTCAAGTGTTTCTGCAAATCTAAAGTTATTTAAAGAAATTGTTAAAATATTGTAAAATTTAATTTAATTTAATTTAATTTAAACCCTGAAGATTCTCCATATTTTATCTACATTTTCTCAATAATTTTCTAAAACTAATATTCCAGATCTGCATTTCTTTTAACTTATTTAAGATTTTAAGATTAAAAATGTTTCTGGTTAAATTAAATTTTTTTCAAGCTTTTTCGAGAATTTAAAGGTATTTAAAGAAACTGTAAAAAATATTTTAAAACATTTTAAGAATTTAAAACCCTGCAGAATCTCCATATTTAATCTAAATTTTCTCAATATTGTTCTATAACTAATATATCAGATCTGCGATCTCCAAACTCACCCTTTCTATGGGTCCCTCCTTGGCGCCCTCGGCCAGTCGATAGGCATTCGGTCGCAGCAGCGAAATATTGGCCAGCACCAGGCTGAAGTTCATCCGGCGAGCCATGTGCTGCACCAGCTGAATCTCGAAGCCACCGGCGCGCTGACTATTATCCTTAGGATCCGAGAAGAGCTCCACGAAGGGCGGCTGATGCCAGGTGAGCACGGTCAGGGGACAGCCGTGCATCTGGTCGAGTTTATCGGGAAACATCTTGGCATTCCGCCACCAGCGGCGACCATCGAAGGCATTCACCTTCACGGGATGCGCCTCCTGGCAGCTGGTCGCCGTATACGGATAGTAGGTGTAGACCAGCACCTCCACCTGGGCGGTCTGGATCATCACGTTGCAGTGCAGCCAAAAGTGGGCCAGGCAATGGTCCAGGATCAGCTGGAGTTCCCGGGGAATGAGGTGATCCCTGGCCTGCAGGAAGATGAAGTAGTAGTCGGGGTCATCAAAGTCCGCATTGTTTTCCGTGATGTTGGTGTCCCTGCGTAAGAAAATAAGTATTAAGAATATAATTTATATATAAGGAATTACTCACATTAATCCCAGATAGGAGTCCACCATCAGCAGGTTGACCCTCTTTCTGCCTGGCACCGAACTGGCCACCACATCGGGACGAAAGCGGAGCAGCTGGACCGCCACCATGCGCCACGAGTCCATCAGGTTGTTCATCATGTACTCGAACCACTGGGCGGTGCCCAAATGGCGGGTCGAGATGGTCACCACCAGCGTGGTGCTCAGCTGGGCCAGCACATTCTCGATGACCAGCCGCAGAGCGCGGGCCACATGGGCATTCGCGTCCTCGCCCTGCATGTCGATCCTCGAGTGCTGCAGGTAGCTGGCGTAGATCGAGCTGGGATTGGGACTCCCACTGGAAGTGGAGCTGGTGTTCATGGTGCGAAGTTGGAGGCGCGACTGTGAGGAAAGGACACATTCTCTGGGACTGGGTGATTGCTTGTTCCGCTCCTTAGATCTCAAGAGAGATTGCACTAATTAAAAGTAAATATAAAAGATATTAATGGGCTTACAAAAAATGTGTTATATTATTTGGAATAATAATTATTATTAAATATATTTTAATATTTATTTATTTCTTTTTTTTTTTTTTTTATTAATTTTACAGAAAAAAAATATTAAAATACGTTTTATTATTTATTTATTTTTTTATTTATTTTTTTTTTAATTTTTTTTTTTATTTATTTATTTTCCAAAGAATAATATTAAAATATACTTTTGTGGGCCCAGTAATATCTTTTATATTAACTTTTAATTACTTTAAAATACTTTAAAACTTTGAGTTTTCGATACTGATACTGAAAACTGATTTAAATTGGAAAAAATAAAAAATATAGGACCTATATTATAGGTATACAAATTATTATATTTCATATTTATTAATAATAATATTTAATCTAATAAGTTTTCAGTATCAGTATCAAAACTCAAAGTTCAGTGTAGAAGGCATCATAAAAGAATAAAGATTATCTAAATTCCAGTTAACAAGAAATCAAGAAATACCCACCACCTTAAAAATAAAGCAGACCTGAAAACCCATATAAATACACGATTATCGACATAACCACCACCTTATATAAGTAGTAGATATTTACGAGTGACCAGCTGGTGGCTAATTGTCCACCTTGGTGCGTGACCCACAATAGTTTTGTTTGACTTCGGACCTAATGAGATGCAAACATAGATCCCGAAATAGGTCTGGAATTCAGCAAAAGGGGATTACTAGCCAGCAGCGGCAGTATTCTTACCGGTCTCCCGGACAGACGGACATGAACGTGACCAGCCTGCTGCAGTTCGAGTCGATGAAGTACATCGGCGCCCAGACGCAGGCGGCGGCCATCAACCAGCACGTGGCCCAGGCCCTTCGGGTCTTCATCGAGGACTTCTACCAGCGGATCGCCCCCGCCTTCATCGTGGTCCTCTCCTGCCGGCGACCCAGTCCCATGAACTTCTACCGCAACATCATGCAGCTGCTGTACGAGAGCGTGGACACGATGATCGTCCAGCTGGTCCTGGTCGAGCTGGGTCGTCCGCGGCGCATCGAGGGACCAAGGACACACAACCTGCTGCTGGTGGACTCGCTGGATGCGCTGCTGTAAGAGATTAGGAGTTGAATTTTAGAGCTAACTTAAGTTGATTAAGTTATTGGCTCTTGAAGTGCGGTTTTGGGTCACCTTTTTTTTGCAAGTCATGGAAATTTAAAGTATACGGAAAGATATAAGTATAATTCCGATTTTTAGAGAATTTAAAAACACATGCTTAAAGGTTTTTTGTTTTAGATGATAACTGATCAGGTCTTTATTGCATTTTTGGGTCACCTATTTTTATTAAAGATAAAAATACAATACAGATTGTTGAGAATTAAGAAACCAATATTTGAGGTACTTTTATATAGAACGAATCTAAATTGTCAATTGTCTATGGCATATAGAAATAAAGTTTGGGGTCACCATTTCGGTAAGCCATCGGCATTTAAAACATACTAAAATATACTATATAAAATATACACACAAAATGCATGCTAAATACAAGAAATAAGTAATTACGGCTGTTTTTTTTATAAATCTAACTTAAATTTGATAAAAGTAATATTTTATAGAATGGCAATTTTGGGTCACCTTTTCTGAATCCCTTCATCCCCTTCCAGCGACATTGAGATCCACACATACACAGCGCAGTCGGACGGCAGTGAGTACTACTTCATCTTCCTGCAGCAGAGGGATGCCCTGATTCCGCAGGACATGCAGGGTGTGTTCGCCTACTGCTGGCGCCACCAGCTGATCAACTGCAACGTGATGACGCAGAGTTCCGGTGGCCAGGTGCTGCTCCACACGTACTTTCCCTACGCGGCGCCCGGCCAATGCAACGATTCGCAGCCCACCAGGATCAATACGTTCCTGGGCAGGTCCTGGCAGCATCGGGATTACTTTCCCTCCAAGCTGCACAATCTCCAGGGGTGTCCCTTGGTGGTTTTGGCCCGGCGAGTGTCGCCCTTCTTCGAACTGGACGAGGGGCAGCGGGAACTGCGGGGATTGGAGGGACGTCTGCTGCAGGAGTTGTCGCGCCGGATGAACTTTAGCATTCAGTTCGCGGGACTGCAGGATCAGCAGAGGAACCGAACCACCTGGTCGGAGAAGCAGCTGCTCCAGAAGTTGGTGAGTTCTTAGCTTCCTAAAAAAATAGGAGAAACCAATTTGTAATTTTAGTTATTTATAAGTTTCTTACTTTTTTAAATAAAAAAAAAAAAAAATAGGAAATTTTTATTATTTTCAATTCTTATTCTAATTTTAATTATTTTTAAGACTTTTATATTTTTAATGTTTATTATATTTATTTTTGATATAATTTTCAAGATTCTTTTAAAATTAAGATTAAGATTTTAAGATTTAAGATTAGGTTTTTAATATTTGTATTGGTTTATTTTTAATATTCTTACTTGTTTATATCAGAATCTACATTTTTTTAACTATTTTATAATAGCTTAATATTTTAAATTTAGTTTGTTGTTTGTTTTTTTTTTTTATATAATTTTTGATATATTTTTTAAGATTCTTACTTTTTAAATAAAAACATATATAGGAAATTGGTATTATTATTATTTATATTTTATTTTTAATTCCCGTTCTAATTTTCGTTATTTTTATATTATTGAAGATTTTTAAGTTTTCAAATCGGAAAAATAATTCTAAAACTATTTTTAATGCTTTTTTTTTGCCTCTTCAGGTGCAGGGACGCATAGCCCACCTGGCGATCGGCTATGTGAGGAAGCGCATCCAGTACTCCTCGAACCTGACGCCCGTGTTCCCGCACTACTCGAACCGCCTGGTGGGCTGCCTGCTGCTCAACGCCCACAACCTGACCAGCCTGGAGATCTGGTCGTTTCCCTTCCAGGCGCTCACCTGGATCTGCCTGGTGTCCAGTTTTCTGAGCATCGCCTGCCTGGCGCTGCTCCAGTGACGCGGGGCGGGGGATCGGGTGGCCCTCCTGCTGGCGGTCTATGCCGCCGCCCTGGGACTGCCCGTCGATCCCCCGGAGCGTCCATCGCTGCAGTGGCTCTTCGCCAGCTGGCTGTACTTTGGCCTGGTCGTGCGCTCCATGTACTCGGCTTTGTTGTTCTTCATCCTGCGCTATCATCTGCACCAGCGGCTGCCGGAGAGTCTGCAGGATCTGGCCGATGGCGACTATGCGGCCGTGATGAGCCGTTCCACGTGGCAGGATCTGCGCGAGGTGCCCAGTCTGCAGGAGCTGCTGGGACTCCGCAGTCTCATTGTGGCCTCGGAGCGGGAGGAGGAGGTGCTGCGCCAGCTGGATCGCTGCTCCCTGCGCGACGGAGCCGGCTCACATCCCCTCTTCTTTGGGCTGCTCTCCCAGGACGCCCTGCTTCATCTCACCCAGCGGGGCCATCGGGCGGGCGCCTATCACCTGATGGACCAGCACGTCCTGGAGCAGCAGCTGGCCATCTACCTGCAGAAGCACTCGCACCTGGTGGGCCACCTGGACCAGCTGGTCATGTCCATTCGATCGGTGGGTCTGCTGCACCACTGGGCGGGTCAGGTGGCCAGCGAGCGGTACTTCCGCAGTCGGTTCCTCTACCGGGAGAAGCGGATCCAGCAGCCGGACCTCTGGGCGGTCTACATCCTGGCCGCGGCACTCTACATCCTGTCGCTGGTCGTCTTCATCGGCGAACTCCTGGCCGCCCGACGAGCTGCAAATGTCGTGGTCTAGGCAAAGCTTATTAGCTTTTCTATAAATGCTATTTCAAATAGCTGATAAATAAATTCTAGTGAAAAACCACTAAAAAATGGGAATTATCATTGGTTTATTTCTGTTATAATTTTTACGGGGAAGCAAAGAAAATACTTTTGGTTTTATGACTTATGATTAATCATAAAAAAAACTAAAAGGAAAAATTCATGTTTTTACCAAAAAACCGGAAACCGAAGCAAAAATAATTCGTTTTTTGGCTGAAACAATGGAAGTTTTGATCCAAATATGGATTGTCATACCTTTCTGAACTCGTTATTAAATTTCCAATCAATTGGCATTCAAACCTGGGAATTTTAATTTTTGTCAATTTTTTTCATAAAATCATATAAAAAAATTGAAAATTGACAAAAATTAAATTTTTCCAAAATCACACGGAAAGTATCATGGATTTATTTATTATTATTATTTATTATTTTGTTATCTGTTCAAAACAGTATGTATTTTTGGTGTAGGACCATTTTTGGGAAAGTTACAACAAAAAAACAAAAAAAAACAAGAGAGAACGTTATAGTCGGGTGCCCCGACTATCAGATACCCGTTACTCAGGTAAAGGGAGTGCGAGGGAGATGGAGATAGAGATAGAAAACGTTGATCACGCATAACTTTTTAACGAATGGACCGATTTGAAAAATTTCTTCTACATTTCGATAGGTATTGATAAACACCATAAAACTGCATTTTTACTTTTCCGAAATATTGAAATTTTTAAAATCGTATATAAGGGATTGTGGGCGTTAGAGGGGGCGTGGCACTCTTTTGAAACAAACTTGCGCTGCGTAGGAACTCCTAGAATCTGCATGCAAAGTGTCAATCTTCTAGCTTTTATAGTTTCCGAGATCTCAGCGTTCATACGGACAGACGGACAGACAGACAGACGGACAGACGGACAGACGGACATGGCTAGATCGACTCGGCTAGTGATCCTGATCAAGAATATATATAGTTTATAGGGTCGGAAACGCTTCCTTCTGCCTGTTACATACTTTTGCACGAATCTAGTATACCCTTTTACTCTACGAGTAACGGGTATAAATATGCATATTTTTGCCAAAAACCAAAATTCCGAATTTCCATTTTTGGCCAAGTTACGATTACTAATAATTACGAATTATTTGATTATTAAGATCTGGAACCGATAATATATTTCAATATTTAAAGATTCATTACCCACAAAATATTTCAATATTAAATGATTCATATACATATATTAGTTATTTAAATGAACTCATTATTTTGATCATACCCATAAAGTTTTAATTTTTCTAAATGATCAATTATTCAGATCCTGAACCCATAAACATTTCATCAAAAAACCGCTTTTCCATTTAATTATTCACTGTTTCATAATTTTATTATGCAAATCACAAGATTTCGATAAATGCTTAAAAATTTAAAAACAAAAAAAAAACATAGAGCTTTCCACGTAGTAAATGCATTTCTGGTTGAGAGCAGGATCAGGCAGGTGACCATCCTACAGCTTCTCGAGGAGAATGGAGGAGGCTCCGCCGCCGCCGTTGCAAATGGAGGCGCATCCCAGCTCGCCCTTCTTCAAACTGTGCGAGAGATGGGCCACCAGGCGAGCTCCGGACATGCCGATGGGATGGCCAATGGACACGGCACCGCCATGGACATTCACCTTGGCGGGATCCACGTCCAGCTTCTTGATATTGGCCAGGACGACCAGGGAGAAGGCCTCGTTGACCTCCCACATGGCCACATCCTCCTTGCGAACGCCGGCCCGCTTGAGAAGCTTGGGAATGGCCAAGGCGGGGGCGATGGGGAAGTCAATCGGATCGGTTTCCGCATCCTGGAAGGCCACAATCCTGGCCAGCGGCTGGAGACCCGCCTTCTGGGCAGCCTCCGCGCTCATGAGCACCACAGCGGCGCCGCCATCGTTCAAGGTGGACGCATTTCCGGCGGTCACAGTGCCATTTTCCCGCTGGAAAACCGTGGCCAACTGACCGAACTTGTCGAAATTCACCCTTTTGTACTCCTCATCCTCGGCCACCACAATCTCCGGCTTCCTCTTCTGCTGAATCTTCACGGGGGCAATCTCATCCGCGAAGACCTTGTTGGCCCAGGCTGCCGCCGACCTCTTGTACGATTCGATGGCGAAGTCATCCTGCTGCTGACGGGTAATCTCCAGCTTCTTGGCCGTATTCTCGGCACAGTTGCCCATGTGGAACTTGTTGTACACATCCCACAGGCCATCGAAAACGATGCCGTCGGTGAGATTGACGCCGCCATACGGAGTGGCGCCCCTCTTCAGATAGAAGGGCACATTGGACATGGACTCCATGCCGCCGGCGACGACGACATCGGCGTAGCCGAGCATCAGGGATTGGGCGCCCAGCATGACGGACTTCATGCCCGAGGAGCAGACCTTGTTCACCGTGGTGCAGCACACATTGGTCGGCAGACCGGCGAAGATGGCCGCCTGGCGGGCGGGCGCCTGGCCAAGGCCAGCAGAAACCACATTGCCCATGATCACCTCCTGGACGTCCGTCTTTGAAATTCCCGCCTTTTCGATAGCCGCCTCGATGGCCCGGGCTCCCAATTGGGTGGCCGTCAGCGGGGCCAATTGGCTCTGGAAGCTGCCAATTGGAGTGCGGGCAGCCGAAACGATGACCACCTCGGCGATTTTGGAGCTGTAGCTGCGCTGGGCGCTCCAGCGACGCGTGGCCTGCAGCAGTCGGGCGGACATCTTGGAATTTATTTAAATTAAATCAAATGAAATTAACTAGCGCGGAAAACACACTTGGAAATAACAAGAATCTAATCAGAGTCCAACTGGAAAACCTGTTGCTTGCGTAACAAACCGGTAATCGGCCTATCGATAGGCAACAGCTGGCGCGGCGGCAGTGTTGGCAACTGTTAAATAATAAAATAGCTAGAAAATATATAATTTTTAATTAAATACTTGAGGTTTTGTCAAAAAAAGTTGAAACATATTCTGAGAATTATTTTTTTTCCAACTTTTTTTTTATCAAGAATTTTTTACTAGCTAGATTTGATGTGAGCTTATTTTTACCTTTATGCAGCACTGAAAATGCGCTAATTGAATTTAACGGAACTTGTTACAGGCTAAATATTTACATTTTTTATAAACACTTAACAAATATTAAATGTAAATCTCCTTAAAAAATAAATATATTTAAAGTCCAATGTTTTATGGTAGTAATTATTATTTTATTCAGTTCAAAAAACCTGCATACCTAGATTTTATATAACTACTTAATTCAAATTGCACAATTAATGGCAGCGAAAAGGGCAAAAATCTTACAGCTAATAATACGAAAATATGGCAAAAAAAAAAGTGGTGTATAAAAAAAGGAATACATATATATTACGGAACTTATTCCACATCACAACGCTCGTAGTTTCCATGGTTGCCATGGCTCCTGGGCTCCTGGACTCCTGGACAATGCCTCGGATCGATCAGATCACCATCTGGTCGCGCGTTGATAGCTTCTGATGGCCGCCGCTGGGCACCACCAGAGATCGCCGCATGCGATTCCGCTGGAGCGTCGAGTTGCGCTCCCTCACCGACTGCCGCAGATGCTGGCGACGTGCTCCTCCTCCGGCTCCTCCTCCTCCTCCGCCCGCCTCCCTCTCCGCCGCATTCATGGCCGCCAGGAGTTCGAAGGCCTGTTTCTTCTGCTCCTTGGTCCAGAGATTGGCCACCGGAGGAGCTGCAGCCGGCTGCTCCTGGCTAACTGGTGGCTTCACGGCCAGCGGAGGTCTTTGCACTCGCGTTGGAGCTGCCGGAGGTGCCTGATTAACCGCTGGCAGGGATTTGGAGGCCGCCTTGGAGCCGCGACTCAGGCCGAAGAGCGAGAGGATGGACTTGCGGCGCGTGGAGGAGGCCTGGCTGTCCCCTGAATCATTGCTGGACACGCTCATCTGCATGGGAGCGGCTGGAGGAGCTGGATTTACCACCTGATTCACCACCGGGGGAGGCATATTCTCGATCCCGTAGGTCACGAACTTTTGGGGCGACTGGAAGGTGACCTTGCGCAGGCTGCCCAGCGACTTGGGAGCCGGCAGAGCGGCCAAATTGAGCTTGGCCACCGTAGGAGAGGTTTCATTAAGTTCAATGGTGCAGTAGGTATCATCGTGTTGCGACTTCACCGGCTTCCTTGGCGGAATCGGCGGCGCCATTGGCTGCCGGCAGCTGCACGAGTGCCTCTCCTGGATCTTCTCCTGCAGCTGCCGCTCCAGCGACTGGACGCGCTGCTCCGCGAGCTGCAGCTGCTGCTCCCTCGCCTGCAGCTCCTCCAGCCTCTGCTGCAGCAGCGACTCCTGGGCGCGTATGGCATGCAGGCGCGTCTTCAGCACCTCATCGAAAATGTTCTGGGTGAGCTCCTTGGGATCCTTCTCCTGCTCCTGCTTCTTGCGACGCCGCTCCTCCTGCTCCAGCTCCACCTGCTCCTCCCTCCTTATACTCTCGTACAGGGCGGGATCCGATAGCTGCAGCTTCTTGGCGGGAAAGATCTTTCGCTTGGCCGAGTAGAAGAGCTCCGTTCTCAAGTCCGGGGTGAAGACGCCCGTCACACTGAGCCTCCGCTGGCCATAGCCCTCGTTGAAGCTATACTGTTCGGTGAACAGGGTGCTGGAAAGCTCAGGCTCCGGCTCCTCCGCCTCCTCCTCCTCGCCGAAGAGTCTGCCGCCCGTAGGCAGGGTGTAGAAATCCTCACCAGCCTCTATGAGGCTGGGGAACTGACCATCCAGCTCGCTGATGTTGCGCACCACCAGCGGATGCCGGATGATGACCTCGATGCCGGGACGCTGTTCATGATCCACGGCCAGCATGAAGGCGATGATCTCCTGCAGATCGGCACTGTAGACCGCCGGAATGCGGCTGAACTCGCCCTGGGCGATCTTCTCGGACAGCTGGTCGAAGGCTCGGCCGCGGAACGGCGGTCGCAGGGCGCACATCTCGTACACCAGGCAGCCCACCGCCCAGACGTCGCTCTTCCGGTCGTACTTCCTGCCCCTCACCAGCTCGGGACTCATGTAGTGCGGCGTGCCCACAAAGGAGGCGGCAAAGCTCTGATCCCTGCGCAGCATTCTGGCCAAACCGAAGTCACCCAGCTTGGCATTTCCGGCCGCATCCAGAAAGATATTCGCCGGCTTGATGTCGCGATGCAGGATGGTGCCGTTGGGTATCTTATTATGGCACACCTGGAGGGCGCGGCAAAGCTGGAAGAGCACCCGCCAGATGTAGGGCTCCTCGAAGCGTTGCCGGTGCGCCCGCGCCCGCTGGACAATCTGGGCCAGATCGCCGCCGGCACAGCACTCCATCACGATGTACACCGACTTGGCCTCCCGGTTGACCAGGTGATGGTAGTACTGAACGATATTCGGATGCTGCAGCTGCCGCAGAACGCTGATCTCGGAGACCAGAGCCTCGCACTTGGCCTCGTCCAGCTCGTCGTAGTTCATGCCCTTCCAGGCGAACAGCTCGCCGGTGCTCTTGTCCCGCACCTTGTAGCAGGTGCCAAAGGAGCCGTTGCCCATCACGGCCAGCACCTCGTAGTCCTGCAGCGTCTTCTGCGAGAAGTCCATGCCGGCAGATGGGTCACCACTCATTTCTGATGGAATCGTTCACTTATTTGGTCCTTCGATCCGCTTACTTTCGATCCGCTCGCCTCGAGATCCAAACTGAGAATGCTGGAAAGTTTTTGGGATGCAGGATTTCGGGAGTCTAGCCTCTCTGGAATTCCCATTTTCGGCTACCTGCGAAAAACCGGAGAGAGAACGAGAACAAGTGGAGGGAGAGGCTCAAGAACTGAGTCGTTGGCTTGACCCGCTAAATCTGGCTTGGAAAAAAAAGTTGTTCTTTCTGAATATCTCAAGAAATATAAAAAAAACACATTTAGTTCATATACAAAATTAAAGTTTCAAGTAATTACTATTTTCGGTCCCTTCTTATTATTGAATACCCAAAGATTGGTAATTACAGGTATCAGATTTATTTGCAATATCATCCTTGTTAATAAATAATAATAATTAAAAGTAGGAATAAAACCCTGAAATCGTAAGGGAAATCAGAGTTTAAAGCTTTCTTTAAATTTAACAGGCGGACGAGAAAACGGCTCTAAACTAAGTCATATTTACGATGGGTTATATGAAAAGAGCTATTCAAATTTCCTTAAAATTTCCATTTATTCTTAATTACATTTTAGCGTAGTCATTAGAGCGCACCTAACCTTGACCTTCATTCGAAACGTCAGTGTAATTTAAATAAAATCCCTTCACACCTAGTTGTTAATGCACAATTCAGCTAGTTTCCCGCCAAAGGCCGCCAGCACTGTCCTGTTCTTCCAGCACGTCCACCTCTCTCTTGTTTCCTTCCAGGAATGAAGATCGTTCTGTTGCCCACTCGCTCGCACGCACTTGCAAATCGCCTGCATCTCCCTCCCCCGCTGTGCGGAGAGTGCACTTGTGAGGCGAAAATCTGGAAAATCCCCACCCCACCCCCTTTCCCACAATTTCGATCCCACTGCGCCTGTGTACACACTGCTGACCATGGAAACAATGGGCTAGAAAGAGGCAGCACGCCCAGGAACACAATTCCAGCGATTCATCACGCTCAATTCTGAACTCGAACCCAAATCCGATCCCGAATACGAAACCCCTAACCCTGGCTAGCCATAAAAATAAATTAGTTTTGTTGCATTGGCATTTCAATTTGCTGCCTTGTTTGGAAAAGTGGAAATGTCCTCATCGGATTTCATATTCCATATCTGAAGGGGATTCTGTCTAACGGTTTCGACTGGGAGCACTTGTAAACTGAAGCAGCGGCGTGCAAAGAAGGATTTTGGGGGTCTTTACTTTAAGGAAATTTAAATAATTAAAAAAAAAAATACTATTCGGTTACTTTAAAATAAATATGGTAAAATGTACATTTAAATATTACTTTTCTGCAGATAGTATTACTATATAAAGTGAGGTACATAAAATAAATGTAACAAAGACAAATTAAATAACAGGCACCTTAAATTTTCTAAACGTTTCTAAAAAATTGTCTTAAAATCTTTAAAAAAATATTAGAAAATGTTTAGACCTATTATTATGAGAACATTTTTGGTTAGCTACTATTGTTTTGATTTATTTGACATTCTTTTTAGAAGTGCTGCAATAAATAACAAGAATTTCTCGGTCTACAAGTGCCCTCCTGAAATATCCTAGCTACGCCCCTGATCCGAACTAAGCAGAACTCACACACAGGTAGAATCCCTCGAAAAACGAGTTATCTGCATGGATTTTCAGGGTTTTCGGCTTATCGTTAGACGTGTGTTGATGTTTTTATGGTTTTCCCGGGTAAAACAAACAATGCCTACGCAATCCTTCACAAATAAATCACGTTCCTAACCGCAGATCTCTGCCAGGTAAATGGGTGATTTTCACATTTCTCCGGTTTATTGGTTAACAGTGAGTTTTGTGTGGGGGAAAAAAAAGTATGGTAGGACTACCAGGATGGTGCCTTATCCTCGCTGCCGGCGGGACGACCGTAGAGGGCGCTCTTGTCCCGGAACATGGTCATGCGGTCCGTCTCCTTCTTGTCCAGGAAGTGCCCGATGGCGAAGCCCAGCAGGGGCAAAGCGCCCCACAAAGCACGCTTGTCCAGTCCCAAGACCATGGTGATGGTATATCCTATATCCTCGATCCTCTATTGCTGATCCCTCAACTGGGCGCTGTGTGCCAACTGGAGCTGCTGGCGTTTCCACTCGCGGGTGTGCGACCAATCTGCGTATATCGAGCCGACTGCAACAGTGGGAAAGAATATCACTGCGCCGTACTTTCGAGCCAATTGCACCACAATCCCACTGCCCATGGGTCTGCAAGACAAGCACACGAGTTGGGGGATTTATGAATGTAATGTTAAATGGGGGTTTTGTTATGTTACGTAATGAAAATGACTGAAATCTCCCGAGCGACGTGTTTATTTAGTCGGTTTCGCCGAACCCTTCTCACACCTGCTGCTGCCAAGTCTTGGTTTTGGACTTTGTGGGTATTTTTCCTGGATTTTGCACTCCAATTTGCTAAATTAGGTTTGTTTTTAACTTACTTATAGCATCGATAGCACCAGGGCTGTCGACTCGTTTTTAGTTGAATGAAGTTGACAGCGAGGGCCTATCGATTGTTCTGGGCGGGGCTGCCAACTGGGTGAGAATCATGAAGCTAGCTAGAAAATAGCTAGATTGTATTTAGAGTGAATATATAAATCTAAAATATATATGTAAATTAAACTTAACATATAATGTTTAAAACTTGCAATAAAATTTAAAAGGAATTAAACGAATTATGAAATCAGCTAAAAAATAGCTAAATTATATATTAAGCGAATATATAAATTAAAAATATATACATATATAAATTAAGCTTAAAATATAATTTTAGAAACTTACAATAGAATTTAAAAAGAATTAAACGAATCATGAAATCAGCTAGAAAATAGCTAAATTATATATTAAGCGAATATATAAAATAAAAATAATAATATACAAATAAAACTTAAAATACAATGCTTTAAGCTTACAATAAAATTTAAAAGAAATTAAACCATACAAATTATAGCTAGCCCGCGTAAACATTCAAACCCCAGCCTTTTATCGATAAGTGGGCCTCCATCTATCGATTATCAGCCGCCCGTCAATTGTTTTCATGAATTGACGTGTCGTGTCGAATGCGAAAAAACGCAGAATAGACCGTAAACAGAACAGCGTAGACTCGCATGGAGTTCCTGAAGAGTGGCATAAAGACGGTGCTGGGCGGCACGGAGCCGGGCCAGCAGCCGAGTGCCGCCGAGACGGTGGAGAAGCTGGTGGACCGCGTTTACTCCTCGACGCTCCTGGAGGATCGCCGCGATGCCTGCCGAGCACTGAAGGCCCTCTCCCGCAAGTACCGCATCGAGGTGGGCGCCCAGGGGATGCCGCCGCTGGTCCAGGTGCTCCAGAACGATGGCCAGGATGCGGAGATCATTAGCTATGCTTTGGACACACTGTGCAACGTGGTGACCAGCGAGGAGTTCGACGAGGAGGCCGACAATCCCACCGTTTCGGTGAATGTGGGCGAGCAGTTCACGGAGATGTTCATCAAGACGCCGGAGCATGTGACCGTGGTGATGGGCTACCTGGACGAGTACGATTTCCGGGTGCGCCGTGCCGCCATTCAGCTAATAACATCCCTAATCTCGAACAAGACGCGGGAGCTGCAGGATCTGGTCCTGGTCAGCCCGATGGGCGTGTCCAAGCTGATGGATCTGCTGACCGACAGCCGCGAGGTGATCCGCAACGATGTGCTGCTGCTTCTGATCGAACTGACCAAGGGCAACTCGAATATCCAGAAGATTGTGGCCTTCGAGAATGCCTTCGATCGTTTGTTCGAGATTGTCCGCGAGGAGGGCTGCTCGGATGGCGGCATTGTGGTCGAGGACTGCCTCATCCTGCTGCTGAACCTCCTCAAGAACAACTCGAGCAATCAGCAGTTCTTCAAGGAGGGCAGCTACATCCAGCGTTTGGCCCCGATGTTCCAACTTTCGCCGGATGCCGAGGAAGCTGGCTGGTCGCCGCAGAAGGTCTCCAACTTCCACTGCCTGCTGCAGGTCGTCCGTGCTCTGGTCACGCCCAGCAATCAGCAGCAGGTGGTGGCCGCCTGCCAGCGGGTGATGCAAAAATCCCGCCTGCTTCACGCCCTCTGCGAGATCCTCATGAGCAGCGGCGTGCCGGCGGACATACTCACGGAGACCATCAATGCGGTGGCCGAGGTGGTGCGCGGCGATCGCGACAATCAGGATGAATTGGGTCGGGTTATGGCGCCCAGCAGTCCACCCAGACCGGCCATTGTGGTGCTCCTAATGTCCATGATCAACGAGAAACAGCTGCTCGCTTTGCGCTGCGCCGTTCTCTACTGCTTCGAGTGCTTCCTCTACCGCAACGCGGATGGCCAGCGGGCGGTGGTGCAGACGCTGCTGCCCTCCAGTGCCTCCGATGTGAGTGCCCTGTCCACGGGTCAGCTCCTCTGCACCGGACTCTTCTCCTCTGACGCCCTGGCCAATTGGTTTTCGGCCGTGGCCCTGATGCATTCGCTCGTGGAGAATGTGGCGCTGAAAGAGGAACTACTGCGCGTTTTGCTGGCCACTCCTGGCGGCCAGAGGCCCATCACGCTGCTCGAGCAGTGCAGCAATCTCATGCAGCAGGAGCGCTACCGCCTGCAGAGCAAGGTGGGCCTGCTGATGCTGCTCAGCCTCTGGCTGGCCCACTGCCCCGGTGCGGTGAAGGCGCTGCTGGAGACGCAGGGCACCATGGCCTATTTGACGGCCCAGCTCTGCTCCAATGAGCACGACGAGCGCGAGTTCCTCGTGCAGGGCATGTGCGCCTTCCTCATGGGCCTGTGCATCCAGTTCAACGACAACTCGCTGCCCGGCCAGAAGCGCGAGGACATCAGCCAGCTGATCATCAAGCGCATCGGACAGGAGAGCTTCTGCAGCAAGCTGGCGGAGGTGTCGCGCCACGAGGCTTATAGTCGGGCCTGCAAACAGGCGCAGATCCGGGCCAAGTCCGCCGGCGAACTGCTGCTCGACTACGAGTACTGCAAGCTGTACAAGGGACTGGAGGCGCTGATTGCCAAGCTGGTGAGCGGCTTCGATGTGGACGGCATCGAACTGACCGAGCTGACGCTCAGCTCGGAGGCTTCTGCTTTGGTCTCGCAGTACAAGGGGATTATCCGTGGCATGGATGGGCAAATACAGGCACTGCAGCAATCCTCTAAAGAACTGGAGCAGCAGAATGCCGAGCTGAAGGAGAAACTCGGCGAGGAGCAGTCGCTGCGAGCGCAGCTTTCGGACCAGAACACACTGCTCAAGGCGCAGCTGGGAGCTTCAGCGGGACAGGAATCGGAGGGCACAGGAGCAGCCAACGAGGAGGAGCTGAATGCGGCTCGCTACCAGGCCAACATGTACTTCGCCGAGAACATCCGACTGACCAAGGAACTGGAGACGCTGCGCCAACAGTTCTCCGGCGAGAAGCAGCGGGCGGATGCGGCGCAGGAATCGCTGGCGGCCACGCAAAAGGATCAGGAGGATCTGCTCGAGCTGCTGGCCGATCAGGAGGCCAAGCTGACGCGCTACGAGGAGGCGGCGGCGGCGGCGGCGACATCTTTACCAGCTGCCAATGAAGCGGAGGAGAGTCCCATCCCAAGTGGCACCGCCAGCAGATAGGGATGAGGATATCACAACTGGAAGCTGCTCGACTGCCCGAAAACCCTTAACCATCTTATATACACACATTCTACTTGTTTTTATTTATATATATTTTACCTACGTACAGAATATATGCCTAGATCGGAATTTCAAATTGTTTTGGCGGGAACCGCAGCAAATCGCAAGGGATAGCTAATATCGGCGCACGTTTTCGTACTTCCATCTCTTTCCGATCTGTTCTTCACTTTGTTTGCTTTGTGAAAGGGTCAACTATCCAATACCCTTTAAAAAAGAATTTTGTATTTAAAAATATACCGTGCTATTTATTCGAAGAATACTTCTTTAAAGATTTTTTTGGATCCAGCCTTCTTTAATTTATTTCTATTGGTATGTTCCTTTTAGTAGAAATTAACTATTTCATACCCTTCAGAAGAAAATTTCTATTTAAAAATATACCATGCTATTTATTCTAAGAATACTTCTGAAAAGTTTTTTTTGGTTCAAGCTTTCTTTAATGTAAATCAATTGGTATGTTCCTTTTAGTAGAAATTAACTATTCAATACCCTTTAAAGAAGAATTTTTTATTTAAAAATATTCCTAATATGCTATTTATTCTAAGAATACTTCTTTAAAGATTTTTTTGGATCCAGCCTTCTTTAATTTATTTCTATTGGTATGTTCCTTTTAGTATAAATTAACTATTCAATACGCTTTAAAGGAGAATCTTGTATTTAAAAATATACAATGCTATTTATTTTAGGAATACTCCTTTAAACTTATTTTTGGACCCAGCTTTCTACTATCTATTTCTATTCGAATGTTCCTTTTACTAGAAATTAAATATATTAAATATATTCATCAGCTAAGAATGCCAAACCATGTTGAAATTGAACTATTCTGAGAGAACTGTTGCATTTACCCGAAGGAAAATTAAATAAATAAATGAAAACTAATATTCAAAGCCTATCGTTTGTATTTTGGAACACATCTATCTGGTAAATCTGGTAAAATGACTAAAAAAAGAGACTCCAACACATTGTATACCATTTTTTCACATTTATTTAACATAAATGATTACAAAGTTTCTTTTCTCCTCTCGCAGATCATTTCGAGGTGATCCGCGTTCAGTTTCTGCTTAAACGAAGAATGTGGGTTCCGTGTCCGCGGCATTTACTTCTTGTCGCTGGAGATGGAGCTCTTGGACTCGCGGATGGAGGCGGAGCGGCGGCGCTTGGCCTCCTCGCGCTTGGCCTTGGACTCCTTCTTGCGCTGCACCAACAGCTTGGCGTAGTCGGCGGCAGCCTCCTTGGAAGCCGTCTGGCGCTTCTTCTTCAGCGCGATGCGGCGGTGCTTGCGCTGCAGCACCACGGGGGTGATCAGGCGCTGGATCTTGGGGGCCTTGGAGGTGGCCTTCTTGTTGTCCTTGGCGGGCAGGGGGCGGCGCACGACGAAGCGACGCACATCGTCCTCCTTGCTCAGGTTGTACAGCTTGCGGATCTTGCTGGCGCGCTTGGGTCCCAAACGGCGGGGGATGGTGGTGTCGGTGAGCCCGGCGATGTCCTGCTCACCCTTCTTCAGCACCACGAGGGCCAGCACGGACATGTTGGCGTCCACGATGCATCCGCGCACGGACTTGCGCTTGCGCTCGCCAGTGCGGCGTGGGCGGTAGCACGAGTGTCCCTTCTTCAGGAGCAGGCGCACACGACCTGGTTTGGGTTTGGGTTTGGGGGGAAAAAAGAGTTGGTTAGTTGCCAAGTTTTATTGAAGGGTTTGTGGATATAGCCAGTGATGGGAAGGGTCTAGACTAGTTGGTATATAAAAAACCATATTCATACTATCATTTATCAAAAAAGTTTCCTTCTTTCTTTATATCTCATGCTTAGGTTATGTTGGGAAATGTGTTTTTTAAGATTGATTGAATAAATTCTAGATGAATTATGTCCTACTGATGCTTTTCCCCATTTCTAAACAGAGTTTAATGATAAAAGGTTTTCTAAATTACTAGGTATTACAGAGATATATTGATTATTTAGTATACTGAATGAAAATATAAACGAAATTGAAAATTGCAAACCTAGGTTATGTTAGGGAACTATATTCTGAAGAGATAAAACGCTAAATCTCTAGATCCTCAAGATCTCTGTGATATGATATTGAATATTATCATGTACAAAGGGGTTTTCTAAGTGAATTATACAAAATTCATCATCATATCTTATTGAAAATACAAATACTGAACATTCAAGGGAAACTGCATTGGGTTTTTAAGGCTTATAGAAGATATGGCATACCGGCTACTCAGTTATGGCCACCTAGATCCCTCCAATCACTGTATATATATCCCACAATCCAGATTCAAACTCACCGTGGGTCAGGACACCCTGCTTCATGGGGAATCCCTGCTTGTCGTTGCCGCCGGCGATGCGCAGCTGGTAGCCCTTCCACTCGTCACCGAGGATATCGGCCTCGACGACCTGGCCCATACGCTTCTCGTAGAAGACACGCAGCTTGTGCTCGTCGACCACCTCGAACAGCTTTTGGCATCCCGTCGCGGGATAGGAAACGTTGAGCTGCAACACACAACAAAAAAACAAGAGTCACACACAATGTATACAAAGTACACAATTTCCGAGTCGGATAAAAAATATCATCTACTCATTTAAACGCAATCACTGGTCATTTTCGCTCGCAATTCGATCCGATCACGCGCCAGTGCTTGCGCTTTCGCATTTTCGCAATATTTCCCAGGCTTCACCGGGTTTATCAGTTCAAATTCACAAATTTTCAGCACACCTTCATATTGTCGAACTGTTTGCACGCAACGCAGAAAAAAAAAGAATCGGTCTACTGGCTGCCAGCGCAGGGTTGGAAAAGACCGATTGGAGGAAGTAGCGATGGGGGATGGGGTTGTAGTGGTGCCTATCGATAGTTGCGGTCACGGTGATATTTGTTTACCTTTTCACTGTGTGGTAAATGGCGAATTTTTATTGCGAATTCTTCGCTTTTATAAGCAAGTTGGAAAAGTATTTCAATTAAAACATTATTAAAGAGCATAACATATATTACATTATTTATTTATTTAGACAAATTCTTTATTTTCTTAGTTTTCAATACAATTTGTTAACAATTAGTTTGGGTAAGGTATCCTTTAAATGTTTACTTGGGGTTACAACAAAGATATTCCCAGGTCAACACTTGGTAAATATTTTAAAAATAACTTATTAGAGATAGATTAAGGTAATTATTTCTAGGCAGAACAAAATATAATAAAAGTTTAATTCTTGGGTTTTCGTTTTTACTAGGCTTAAAATAGATGATTTTAAAGTTGAACAGTCTTGGCCCATATCTTTTCTGTCTGCATTTATTAAATCTGCACACACCCGGCACTAAAAACACAGAAATGATTATTACTTTTTATAAAAAATATTTATTTTTATAAAGTCACTTCACAATTGCGTTACCGAAAACATCACCATCCCTGGCCTATCGAGTGAGCGGCCCTGTTTTAGCGTTGCCAGACGGACGGAAAATGTGTTTTGTTTTTCGCCCCTGATTTGTTGCAACACGTGTAGTGATTACAATTTTTTTTTGGTTTTATTATAACGATTGATATTTGAGTGAATCCCGGCGAAATGGGCAAGCCAAAGAAGTCCAATGTGGCGGTGATCAAGAATGTGAACCTGGAGAAGCAGATCACCGAGGGCAAGGTGGCCAAGAACAAGACCAAGGATAAGGTCAAACTGCGGGCCGAGGAATCGTCGGTAGGACGCGGAGTTAAAGCCTTTTTTTGGAAATAAAAACTATATATTTAAACACCTTTTCCGCAGAACATCGATGCCAGGAGCAGCCAGAAGATTCTGGCCGCGGCCAAGCTGCAGCAGCTGGAACTGGACGAGGAGAACTTTCCCAGTTTGGTGACCGTCAAGAAAGTCAACTTCAGTCTGAGTAAGTCCACCAAGAAGTATGATTTTGATAATATATCTTCCTGATTCCGACGTCCGATTTTGGTAGATTTTAAGATGTACCTTTAGAAACGTCAAAAACAGCACCATCTCAATTTATATTCATATATCACAAAAAACAACTGAGTTATTCTTAGATTTATTTAGTTTCTATGCCAGTTGATGTATATAGTTAAAATAATCTTATAAACTATCAAAATAAGCTAGAAAATTATGTAGAATTTAGATTATCAAGGATTTTTGACCACTCACTAACTCTACATCATTAATTTCATTAATTTAAGACAGCTATATCATAAAGTCGTCTGATTTTGATAATATATCTTCCCGATTCCGACGACCGATTTTGGTAGATTTGAAGATGTACCTTTAGAAACATTAAAAACAGCCCCATCTCAATTTGTATTCATATATCACTAAAAACAACTGAGTTATTCTTAGATTTATATAGTTTCTATGCCAGTTAATGGATATACATAGTTCAATTATCCAAATTAGTGAGAAAATGATATAGAAAACGAGATTATCAAACACCTACTTACCCCACATCTTCAATTTCTCCTCCTCAGACGACGGAATCGCCAAGGAGGATGAGGAGGTCAACGAGACCGACTTCATGGCCGATTTGGACATGGATGACGACGACGTGGCCGCCTTCGAGCGCTTCCAGAATCCCGCGCAGGAGGGCAAGCGCACGCTGCACCTCTCCAAGATGATCATGCAGAAGATCCAGGAGAAGGAGGCCGACATACACACCAAGATCTCCGACGAGGGCTCGCTGAAGATCGAGGAGATCGACCCCAAGGTGAAGGAGATGTACGAGGGAGTGCGCGACGTGCTGAAGCGCTATCGCAGCGGCAAGATCCCGAAGGCCTTCAAGATCATACCCAAGCTGCGCAACTGGGAGCAGATCCTGTTCATCACGGAGCCGCACAATTGGAGCGCCGCTGCCATGTTCCAGGGCACCCGGATCTTCTGCTCGGTGCTCTCGCAAGCGATGGCCCAGCGTTTCTACAACCTGGTCCTGCTTCCCCGCATTCGCGACGATCTCTGCGAGTACAAGAAGCTGAATATGCATCTGTATAATGCATTGAAAAGGGCCCTCTTCAAGCCGGCCGCCTTCATGAAGGGCATCATCCTGCCGCTGCTCGAGGGCGGCGATTGTACGCTGCGCGAGGCCATCATCTTTGGCAGCGTGGTGGCCCGCAGCTCCATTCCCGTCCTGCACTCCTCCGCCTGCCTGCTGAAGATCTGCGAGATGGCCTACTCGGGCGCCAACTCGATTTTCATCCGCTTCTTCCTGGACAAGCGCTATGCTCTGCCTTATAGGGTCGTGGATGCGGCTGTTTTTCACTTTCTCAGGTGGGTTTTGCAGCTTTGATTGATTTTTTCCAATTTTATAATCAATTTAACCCTTTTCTCTTGCAGATTTGAGAACGACAAGCGTGAATTGCCGGTGCTATGGCACCAGAGTCTGCTCACCTTTGCTCAGCGCTACAAGAACGATATATCCTCCGAGCAGAGGGACGCACTGCTGCAGCTCCTGAAGTAAAACCTTATCTATTGAGAACCAGTACTTTAACTAACTATTTGAAATTGCAGGAAGAAGAGCCACTTCAAGATCACTCCCGATGTGAGGAGGGAGCTGCAGGCGGCCAGCTGCCGCGATGTCGAGATGATGGAGACGGATAATGGCCTGGCTGGGCAGCCGGCCAAGATGTACACAGATGCCGACGTGGAGTACGAAGGCTGAGGCGGGATTAACCTAGGCTTAATTTAAGAATGATATTGTTTTACTATTTAATAACACGATAGCCCTTATATATGTAAATATATACCTACATATGCAGTGAAAACCGAATTGAGATGTTCTTCTGGGGACAATTGAAAAGGCATCTTTGATGTTTTGAATGTTTTAATAGAAAAAACAAATGTGTGTGTGTTTTTATACAATTTTGCATTAAGTTTTAGTTACTCTTTTTTGGTTTCTTGTTTTGTTTGACAATGACGGTATCTTTGGGGCCGTCGCAGTCGCGTCGTTTATTGACCAGAGGACGCCCGCGTTATACATTATGTATGTATGTAGTTTTATAATCTCAATTTTAAATGTAGCAATTATTAAATATAATTCTGTAACCAAAATCTTTCTAAAAGTTTCGTTTCGTCACTTTCATTAGTCTCTAAGTATTGTTTCGTTATCTCACTCCAACATTTGTTTTGTTTATCATTTGTGTTTTATTTAAGGGCATACTCCAAGGACTCTGACCGATTTGGGTCGGGATCAATTTGAATAATTTACAATAACTACACTGGACCATTTGAAATTAGTTTACCCAAGTACTTAGGCCTCGAGCCTTATCAATATTTTCGTTTTCTTTTTTTTTATTTTGTGTATTCCAAGCTGAGCTTTGGTTTCAAAATACAATTTGTAAAGAGAGTGTATTGTATAGTAACCGATCTTGAAAGCAATATGAATTTGGAAAGCCGTCAGTGAGTGAGGATATCGAAAGTTTTTGGGGCTTTTATAGGCGGTGATCGTTTGAAGCTAAAGCTAAAGACATAAATTGATATACTCGCATGTGGAGGGGGTACAGTGGGCACTGGCTAAACGGATGCTCCTCACCTCGCGCCCAAATCGAGAAATGAAAGTGAAAATTATTCATTTGCTTCTTGTTCTTGATCGTTATTTATTTAATTTAATTGAATTACCGAGTAAGTGTTTTCCTTTTTGATTTTGGATTTGGCTTTGGGACCGTCTTCAATCAAACAATCAAGTATTTACCCATTGGTCCGAGTTGTGTTGAGTTTTCGATTTCAAAAAGATACAAATATACAATTAATTTCTTCTGCCTCAAATGGTCATTGGTTCCGCAACCGAATTAACAACAATTAAACGATATGTATCCATTTTGAATGGCACAGTTATGTTAACGTTAAACATTTCCTAAGTGTTTCTCTTTTACATTTCTACATTTTGGTTTTCAATAAATTTGGAAATCATGGACTAACTCAGGATAAAACTAATTTCTGATCAAGCTCACGCATTCATAATATTTCGAATTATTTCATAAGTTAACAAACTTTTATCTATGTATTTCCTATTTTTTTTTGGCTTCCTAAACTCTGCAGTTATCGATGGATTCAAAAATCTGAGACACGGTTAAAGAATCGAATCAAGGATGAAGCTACGATTTTGATCGGTATTGATTATTATTACGATTAGAATGATCCCAACTGATATGCTGTTTGATTTCAAGAAGCTACAACCATTTTTTCATTAACAAGGCCTTGGATCGGAGGTGTATGCTATATTAATAGGGGATACAGATACACACGAGCGTTACGGGTTTCGGGGTTCGGGGTTCTTGAGACGACCTTTGGAAGGCGATTCGAGCGAGAAACAATTATGCTTGGACTGTTGGACCTTACAAATCTAGGTAGTTCCATAATGACGTGGAGGTAACAAAGAGCTAAATGGATACGTTAGATGCAATAATGTGTATGTATATAAGATCAATATGTTAGCCAACATAAACACGGCCGTTTTGGTAGTACAATTCGATTCGATTATGATAATAATGTTATGTTCTAGCGCTAAAAATCATTTTCATTTTCTCATTTCTATATTTCGCGTACGCCCTTACAAATACGAGATTTTTGATCTTTCGATTTCCGGTTTTTAAATACACTTGACTTAAGCTTAGTATTCGGTTTATGCTATGTATCGTATGTTAAACAACCCATGATTAGAGTAAAAGTCGAAAATGCAATCCTGGACAAGATTCTTTTGGTGTATGCATTTCCCGCGCCACAAACTGGGATCTAAGATCCCCGCTTTCCGCCGCGCCGTCATCGCCCCGTTCCTGATCCCAATCCCAATCCTAAATCCCGACCTATTCCGGATACGGAAATGGATCCCGAGATGCACACGTACACTAGAAATAACACAACCATTGTGGAGGCGTCGGCTTTTTGGTGGCTTCCATTCGCATGCTGCATGGCGGCGGGCTCCTCACCTGGAATTTTGGATTTTGGCACTTATGAGGTTAAGTTCCCAACGAGTTCCCCACTCACCGTTCAGCACATGGACCACCACCGTCTCCGTAATCTCATTGCCCAGCATGCAGGTGTAGTTGCCGGTGTCCTGGCGATTGGCATTGGCGATGTACAGGCGACTCAGCGCTCGTCCTGGCAGCATATCCGTCTTGACACTGTAAATATGGTAGGAGGTTTAAAATTATTGTGCACTTTAAGACCTATTATAATGATCAATGAACGGAGTTGGTTTCTATTGTAGTAGTGTATATGATCCTATCGTATTAGAGCTTGAAACTTATCGATTATATTCGTTTCGATAAAATTGTAATGTGGTCTGAAGGACCAAACTAAAGAGCTTAATGTTGACAGGATATCAAAGTAGAAATCTAATAAACTAATTTATCAAGCTTACTGAGGTAAACAAATAAATTCTCTAAAAAAAAGGACTTACATTTTAAATAGATAAATAAAAGTAAATCAAATAATATGTATTATAATGTTATTTTCACAAATCACATTCTTAAGTGGACTCTAAGTTATCATTTCCTTATATGAACTCAATATTATATCAAGAACTCCACAACCCAGTAGAATCCTACCTGATTCCACCCCGACTGGTGTCATAGTTGAGCAGACGCGGTCCGTGCCGCCAGGTGATGTAGGAGGAGGGATGCGGAATCTTGGAAATGACGCACTGCAGCTCGATGGTGCTGCCAGCCTTGTAGTACTTTTCCGGCGTGGCCGAGCCCCGCTCGTCGAGGATCTCCACGTGAGGAACTGTGCGAGGAGAAGGAGTAAGGTAAGATCGATTCTGATAACTAGTAACCACTCACCAATTATCGTTAGGTAGACGAGCAGGACGAGCGGCGGATGCGAGGACACCTGGCACTCGTAGGGACCCTCGTCCCGCTCGTTGGCGAACTGGATGAGCAGCTTCCAGTCGTTGGGCTCCTCGAACTCCAGCGAGTAGCGCGAGTCGCCGCTATACGTGTGCTGGCCAAAGGTGATCAGGGTGAGGTCCTCGCCGCGTCGCCGCATCCACGAGACCGTCTTGCCCTGCAGATCGTTCACCCGGCAGTGCAGATAGACGCTCGACGAGAGCTGGGTGCTGATGTTCAGGGTGGTGTACGGATCGGCGAAGAAGGGGAACGGCTCGTGGGTGGTCGTCTCGGTGACCTCCAGCTCCTCATCCTCGGGCGTGTCGGTGAACGGCGACGAGAACTCCTGCCAGAAGTTCTTCGGGAACGAGTCGAAGGGATCGCCAGCTCGAGGTCTCTTTACTAGTTTAAATAGAGTATTTAAATATATTGGAAAATTATATTTTTGAGTTCAAAAAATGTATGAAATATGGGATTTAAATTTATTAAGGAGTATTTCAGTTGCTCATTATTACTGTTTTTGATTACAATATTAATAAAATGTCAGGAAAAAATAAATCTTTCAATATTACTGATATATAAAAATATTAAAAACAAATTTTATTAAATTGATGTACAGTTGTTTCAGCTAAAAAATTAAGATATATTCGATTCACTTTTTAACGCATTAAAAATATACAAAAAAATAAAATTTTTTTTTAAATTAAGATAGATTTGATTCACTTTTTAACGCATTAAAAATATATTAAAAAATAAAACTTTATTACATTTTCTACACTTATTTTTTAATTTTCAGCTAAAAAATTAAGATAGATTCGATTCACTTTTTAACGCATTAAAAATATATAAAAAAATAAAATTTTATTAAATTTTCGACACTTATTTTATTAATTTTCAGCTAAAAAATTAAGATATATTCGATTCACTTCATAAGCATTATATTATTCACATCGAATTAGCTTAAATAAATATTTTCCCTACGGGCAATCCAAAAAGTAAACACAAATAGTTAAGCTCTGGGATGAAAATTGCCAAAGTTTGAGTTGGGTAAAAGTTTTTCGATGCGATTAGGGGGAAGTTGAGACAGAAGAAGAAGCACAAGCATAAGGATAAGCAGACTCACATGTGGTCGACGTGGAGCCCGAGCCGATGTGATGGAGTGAGGAGTATATAATCGCCAGTATCCAAAACAGCCTCGATCTCATCACTGCAACGGAGTGTCTGCATAGGCCAGTACGATACGATGGGATCGGGATGCGGATACGGGATGATGCATCAACTGGCGCCACTCACCGCAGGATATATGCAGGATATGAGCGCCCGAGCGCCTGTAATCTGTTCTATATCGATCCAAATCCAAATCGAAATCCAAATCCAACTGCATCAGCGTCCCACTGCATCGCCAGCGGACTTTGGTTCGCTTATCGATTGCACTGCGCCAATAAATTGGACATATTGCACTCAAGGATCTGAATGCCAGAGGGTCCTTTTTTTGCGAATATCTTGTTGTTGCTGCTGCTGCGGGGGGGTAGAGGAGAGTCGGAAAGTCGGAAAATTGGAAAATCGGAAAAGCGTTTATTAACCAGCTCGTGTTGCGTGTGTATTTATCCTTTTGCAACTGCTGCTTGGATGGCCAATAAGCGGGAATGTAGGTCAGGAGATGCTCTGCGCATGGCCAGCATCCGCATCCCTATTATCCTATCCGTAGTTCGTAGAAACCGAACGAACCGAACCCCGAAATAAATAGGAGACGAGACTCACCTCTTGGGCTCAAACAATTACAAATATCTATTTTTCCTGCCAAAAATCCTGATTTAATGCTTTCGGCAGGTGAGTTTTACTTGCATTGCGTCAAAAAAAGCTCTTTTTAATTCGGCGGATGCTTGAGATAGATATTTAAATATTGAAATACGCGTTTGCCGGGCCGTCGACGTTGTTGTACCCTCACCCACAATTGCTGCGGCACTGATTCCGCTCCGAAAAGCAAGCATCTCTCTCGGCATCCTCGGAACCTAGAGATTTCCACCCACTAAACAGGGTTCCAAAAATCCGTTAGTCTTTAAATGTACAGTAAACAAAGTCTGAACGAATAAATTTAATAAATTTGAAATTTAATTAGACTTCAAGTTCTGAAATACAAAAAATTACATTTAATTTTCAAGCAAAAAAGCTTCGAATTCAAAAACCGATAGAGAACCGATAGTTATCGATAGGCAAAGGACTATCCTGGCACAAGATAGCCTCTATTGCCATCTCGCTTTGTTATTAATCTACCGTTAACGAAGCAGACTTTACTCAAAGTATCAGGAATTTAACTGCCTTTAATTGTCGCAGCCACTAAACACAAATTAAATTGTTTATCGCACTTATTTATGCTTCCTGCGCATGTGCAGTAAATCTGTAAAACTAATTCGGTGGTTGCCCCAGTTTTATATGTATTGGTGAGAACATAGAACTTACACTGGTGGCGTACAATATGCGCATAGGCATATTTTTTCCAAGAAAACATACACGAAAAACTCGAATTTCTTAGAATTTAAACGTTTGCACAGAATTGTGGTTAAATAAGCTAAAGCAAAAACCCAGATTCCCATTTTCCACACAAAAAAAACAGTTTTTTCGTCGAAACAATGAAAATACTGATTCAGAGTATGGATTGCCATACCTTTCTGAACTCGTTATTAAATTTCCAATCGATTGGCATTTAAACCTGGACATTTTATTTGTTTTTAATTTTTCGCAAAAAATTATGGGGTACCCCCTTATAAAAAATGTGAAAATTGACGAAAATTTAATTTTCCCAAAATCACACGAAAAGTGTTATGGATTTATTTATTATTTTGTTATCTGTTCAAAACAGTATTAATTTTTGGTGTAGGAACATTTTTGGCCAAGTTATAGCAAAAAAACCAATGGAAAAAATTGCTATTTTTCCGAAACCGAAATTATAGAAATTTCGTTCAGATCAGAAATCTTGAAATTAACCCATCTTTAAATCACAGTGCAACATAACGGTTCTTGGGGTGGTTATTTTTGGCGGGCAGTGTTTGCAGCCGCCCTTATCTTTGGTGTTCGGTGGTGTGTGTGCTCGCGATATGGAATGACATAAGTGGGCCGGGCATACAAACACACACACACACACACGCACACCCCTCATGGGGGCACATGGATACGGAAAAGAACCGTTCATTCGCTTCTGTGCCGCTGACAATTGACATTCAATCGCTTTTTCCATTTGTTTTTATTTTCCCCTTCTGCCTGTGTTTCTCCTGTCGAAGAAAACGCATTTTGAATACAAATCAGCCGAGAACGAGAACTCAAATCAAGAAATCGAAAATCAGTGCTGAATTCCGAAGGGTGTGGAATTACTACGATACGACGGCACAAAAAAAGGCAGCGCAGTCAGCAGAGGCAACGAAAAAAAGCAGCGGCGTCAGCACTTCCATTTCGGCGTTGCAGCTCAAAAATCGGAGAATCAGAAACTAATCAGCCGGCAGAGGCTATAGGCAGTCAATCGCGGAATATTCATATAACTAGGAAATAATACCCCCCCAACAACATGGAGGAGAACAATTCCCGAGTGCTGAGCCTGCTGGGCGGTCTGGCCATCGGAATCGTGGGCTTCCAGGTCTTCCGGAAGGTCCTGCCCTGGATTTACGCCAATGTCGTGGGTCCCAAGGTCTTTGGCTCCTCCGTGGATCTCTCCAAAATGGGCGAGTGGGCAGGTGAGTCGGGGCTACGAGAGAAACACACCGGAAAGGAGTGGTAAACGAGGGCGATTCGAGTGCACAGTGAAAAAAAGCGTACAGTCATCAGAAATAAAAGTCGTTTTAAATATACGGTCACTTTAAATCTTAAAACGCGTGTTATAAAAATCTTTAAAAATCCTTCAAGTTTCATTTGCAAAAAATACTTTCTATATAATATTTCTACAAATACTTTAACAATATTCCGATTGTAATGATTAACGCGTGTTAAAAAATCTTTTAAAAAATCCTTCAAGTTTTATTTGCAAAAAATACTTTCTATTTAATATTTCTAAAAATATTTTAATAATATTCCGATTGTCTAAAACGTGAATAACTTATTTTTTAAAAAATCTAAACTTAAGAAATTTTAAAAATATTTCATAATTTCCAGTAGAATACCTGGTTTTGCCTACTTTTTTCATTATCATCTACAATGAGTGGATGATTGTAGAACCTGATAATATTATTTTTTTAAATACCTGCTCTTAAGAAATATTTAAAATATTTAATAATTTCCAATGGAATACCTGGTTTTTTCACTGTGCGCGATAAGAAAGTTCCCCACGCCCCATTAGTCCACTGATAACCCGCAGAACCCTTGGCTAACTTTCATAATTTGCAGTTGTCACCGGGTCGACCGATGGAATTGGCAAGGCCTACGCGAAGGAGGTACGTAGACGACGACGACGACTTGGAGGTGACCCAATCTTGGCCAGCAAGCAAAGTCCGTCCAGGTCCCACTAATGACTATGGCAAACGGGAGGCGGGTCAAACGAAACGAAAAAAAACTAGTAATGAGCAATTAGTAATTACTAATTACCGAATCGAGTGTCGCCCACGATGACTTGGACATTGGTTCTGCGCTCGCCGATGCATTAGCCAAGTGAATCTGCACTTTGAAATCGATCCCCAGTCTCCAGTTCAGGCGCAAACATTCCCTAATAGTGTTTGCTCGACGACAAATTGCTACATTTGCACCTGTACCTTTTGCTATTTATTTTCACAAAGTGCAGTCGCAGTGGTTATTTTGTTATTTTTAGGAAAACGGGCGGTTCCCGGTTTTTATTTTGTAATAACCACTTGGAGCACTCGAAGCTAGAACCTTTGGCGAACACGTGTCGTCCGAGTGGCTTTCCTACACTATATATATAAACATATAGGGCCCCGCCCGAGGCTTCGGCCAAATTAGCATTCGATGTGCGTCGAACGCACAGAAAATGGTTCAATGTTCACTCCAAAATTTCTATTTATTCACGTTTACCGGCTGAAATTGCTTCCTGTTCTTCGCTTTGCCGGCTTATTACGATTTAAAGCTTCTAGTTTTCGAACATCACTTGCATTTTTGTCTAATAATTCCAAATTATGTGATTTTTTATCAATTTTATATCACTGATTCAGGAATCGGCTATCCAAAAGTCGGTAAATATAGGCAGGAATTTTTTTTTAAATATTTGATTTATATTTCTTGAAATTTGTGTCTAATTATTCCAAATTCTGTGATTTTTGTTTGATTTTTATATCACTGATTCAGAAATACACTCTCCAAAAGTCGGTAAATATAGGCAGGATATATTTTTCTACTAAAGAAGCTTTAGATAATAAGTATATATTTAAAGAATATTGTAATAACATCTATGTAACCCATTTTAGCTGGCTCGCCGGGGCCTGAAACTGGTGCTGATCAGTAGATCCCTGGAGAAGCTGAATGTGGTGGCCAAGGAGATAGGTAAGTCCACTCAGCAAACCCAGTTAAGGAATGACTTCATATAACATAACATACTTTCAGGAGATAAATACGGCGTTGAGGTGCGCGTGATCGATGTGGACTTCACCGGCGGAGCCGAGATCTACGACAAGATCCGCGAGAAGACCACTGGCCTGAACATTGGAGTGCTGGTCAACAACGTGGGCATTAGCTACAGCCATCCCGAGTACTTCCTCGACTGCTACAAGGCCGATCCGAAGTTCCTGCGCAACATTGTGGCCGCCAACATTCACTCGGTGACGCACATGACCGCCCTCTTCCTGCCGGGCATGATTGCCCAGCGCCGCGGAGTGATCATCAACCTGTCCTCCACCGCCGGCGTCATTCCCAATCCCCTGCTGAGTGTCTACAGTTCCACGAAGGTGAGTAAACTACAAATATCATATTGAAATCCTTACTTATTTCATTTGATTTGCAGGCCTTTGTGAACAAGTTCAGCGACGATTTGCAGACGGAGTACAAGGAGCACGGCATCCTCATCCAGAGCGTCCAGCCGGGCTTCGTGGCCACCAACATGTCGAAGATCCGCAAGGCCAGCGTGTTCGCTCCCTCGCCGGAGACCTATGTGCGCTCCGCGCTCTCCACTCTGGGCATTGCCACCCAGACGGCTGGCTATCTGCCCCATGCGCTGCTCCAGCTGGTCATCCACTTCACGGAGGCGGTCTTCGGCGAGCAGTTCGCCCGCAATGTGGTCCTGAAGAACATCCTGGGCACCCGGAAACGTGCTTTGCGTCGCCTGGCCAAGGAGCAGTAGGAGGATTCGGCATTTATTGGGAGTCGGTTGGGGTGGAGCGTCAGTTGGGTTGTGGGGAAAATCCGGCTAGTCAGTTAGCTTATGAAATCACCGCGCATCGTTCGGATCAACAAACACGGAAAGCTTGAAATACCAAAAATGTTTCCCAAATAAACTAAGTCTAGTTAGTTTTTGTCATTGAATAACATTGGAGATTCGCAAACAGCCATGTCATGTAAACAATAAAGCAAATACAAACTAGAGATATATCTAGTTTCTAATGACAAACAGTGTCTTTTATTTACAGCCCTCGAAAGGTTGAGTCTAAAGGTCAGAGCTTGGAACATAGTTTGATTTTTTAAATACATATTGTCTTATTTATTATGTTTAAATTGGTAATGATTTTATTCTTATTATTATTTTATTTCTCAGTTTTCCCTTAACTTTTCCCTTCCCATTATCAAATATTCAAAATCAAATTTGAATTTAAATTGGAATTTGAATGCAAATCGATAGGACTCAACCCGATGACGAGCGAAACTATCGCTGGGCCATCGATAGGCGGCCCTTTGGTCTATCGGCGTGAGGGGAGCGAGATGTATATATATTGGCGAAAATCATAAACATAACAGTAAAGATAGTGGATAGCCGGGCGTGAAAGCGGACTTGTGACGTGTTATCAGGGCCGATGCGATAAGCGCTACGTCAGGCGCCGATCCCAACTGCGCAGCAGCAGCGCCAGCAACAAAAACAAACACAAGCAGAATTTGAATTCGTAGATGAGGAGAGGAGTGTTATTATTATAATCAGTAATCAGAGTCGCCTTGTTTTGATTTCGAATTTCCTCGGAAGCGAAATGAAACGAAACGAAAAGAATCGGATTCGGATTCGGGTTCGGATCGTAATGAAATGAAACTCCGCTCCGGATAAAGCTGGCCAATCGAATCAACTTGTTGCGGAACCGCTGCGTCGCCCAGTATTGATTTAGCGCATATAGCCGACAGTTGTGATTCGGATTTCGATTCCCAGCCATATATATTCTACAAACGATACGATAATACGACGCTTCTCCAAAAACCAATACCATACGATACCATATTTGTGTTCGTTTTTCATTCGTGGGGGAGGTGGATAGAAAAGAAGGCGGAGGAGAAGGAGGAGGAGGAGGAGGTGGACACCAGACCCAAAGCGGAATTGACGCAATTGTTGAGAACTATTTTTAATAGTCGGCGGGTCGAAAATGTACGAAACTCATCAAATATTCAGAAGACAGGCAGCCAATAAGCCGAGCCACTGATTCGGAGGTCCCAAAATCGGAAGAGGAATCGAAAGCGGAGTCAATTGGCCGATGGAATCGGAGGAGTGCGCAGTGGACGCCATGGAGAATCGCCGTTTGCCGCTCTTTCCCATCGAACCGGAGCCCTCCGTAACGGCGACGCAGCGCCTGACGCTCCTGGCGACCCGGTAAGTAGTCTCTAGAGATCCAGAGATCCCAAGATATAACCCTGAAATCCCTTACAGACTGCTGCGTGCTTTGCAACTCAACTGGAGGATTATTGTCTCGGGCATCACAGTTACACTTCTGGCCGTCATCTGGTATTATCCCACCTTCTTTCTGTTCTTCGCCTTCGTCGTCTATTCGCTGGTCTTGGTCTTTGCGGGTAAGTCTTCCTTCCGCCTTTCCACCTGCAATCCATGGCAAGATTATGAGTCACCTTATCAAGGCAATCAGTTTCGAACGGTCTAATTAAAATTGCCAAATATCTAATTGCTCTTATCTCGCCGACAGCTGTGGCGGGCACCGTCTATATCCATTATATATTCACCACCAACGAGCCGACGCCACCGAGTCGCGTGCCCTCGCGACTTCTCTACAATGCCACCAAGTGAGTTCCGGACTTTGTTCTCCACTATATATATGATATATGATATATGATATCTCCCTTGACCCGCAGAAGCAACATCTTCGATCTGCCCAAGCCCATCAAGAATCCATCGAATCTGCCATTGATTTTCGGCAAAACAGTGGACCTGCAGCTTCAGCAGATCATTGAATATGTTCTGCGGGATTTTATGCTGCCTTGGTTGGGGTGAGTTCCTCAGTTGATCTATTGGAACCTTTAGTAATGGTTTCCCTGCTTTACAGATATGTGGTCACCAAGCCCAAGCTGATCAACGATGTGGTGCGCGAGGATCTGTGGAATGCCATACAGAAGATACACGAACGGGCCACCCGAATGGACGCCGCCAAGATCATAGCCGTGGACATGGTCAACCGGGTGACGGTGCATCTGGAGAAGATTCGCATTGCGGAGGCCAGAGCGTGAGTGATTCTCCTGAAAATCGTATGGGTTTTAGGTATTTAGGTAGATAAAGAAGAAGATACCCATTACTCAGCTGAGCGAGGGAGAATTTTTGATCATAACTTGTTAATGGGTTGTCCGATCTAAAAACTTTCTTCTACATTTCAATAGATATTAATAAAAAGAACAAAATAGCATTTGCACTTTAACCTTTTACGGTATAAAATATCACATAAAACACTAAGATTAATATAACTCTTAATTTTAATCATGCCTTAAACAAAGAAATCCAATTCAAAGTATTTTTGATAAGATATAATAAGATATAATATGCAATATATTTCTTTGTTTTATACCTCGATTTTATCTGAATACTTTTTTCAAATCATGGAAGAATGCAGTGCTTAGAATTAAATGTAATTTATATGCGTCAGAGAATAGTCGTATATCACGAGTCATTAAGTTGGTAATCAATAAGTGGAAACACCTGTGATTACCTAGCCTTATATTTGTTATTCTTTTTACGACTATCACACTTTTGTAGATGCTACAAAACAGTCTATTTAATTTATATATTTAATTAATGCAGGTTACCTATTAATTTTCCCTTTTTTTTAGAGCCGAAACCAACACGCCGCCCGTTTTCAGTACGAATCCGTATCTCGCCGACGAGGAGAAGGAGATGGAGTTCCTGCGCAAGCTGTGCGAGATTATGGTGATTCTGCTGCTGCCCCGCGGCTACTCGCTGCCGCCCTTGAAGGTGCTGCTCAGCGAGATTCTCTCCTACAAGAGTGAGTGGATAACTTAGATATCCAGCCATTAACATACTATATATTCCCATCCCACTTGTAGTTTTCTTTCCGATGATCAAAATGCTCACGGCACCGGACTACATTAACCAGAAGGTGGTGCAGAACATCGAAACCCGCCTGGCGGCGGCGGCGATGAGCAAGCGGAGCTACGAGTACGCGGCCAGCTTCGAGGACTTCCTGAAGATCATCAACAACTCGGGCAACCTCGAGGAGCTCTCGCTCATCCGCAAGAGCATTGTGAACGACCTGATGCATGCGACGACCATGCAGAACCTGCAGCGTGCCAAAGGCCTCGATCCCGATCACGAGGACCACTCGCTCTCCAAGTCGGAGCTCACGGCCGCCGTCCGGCTGAAGCGCTACGTTCGCCAGCTGACGATGGCCAAGGGCGAGTGCGAGAAGAACCTGGCCAAGTTCGGCTGGAATGGCAACTACTCCAGCGATACAGTAAGATAAGATCTTGGAATGAAACTCATCATTCAGTAAAATACCTATGTTTTTTCAGGACCTAACGCTCGTCGAGATCCTCAACACTGCGGTGGGCCGTCGCTACTTCACCCTGTTCCTGGAGCCTCTAAAGGCGAGCGCCCTGATCGGCTTCTATTTGGCCGTGGAGGAAATCAAGCACGCGCACAAGTCGGCCAGCCATCAGCTGGGCACCGAGATCTTCTACACTTACATCCGGGTGCCCAAGTCGGAGATCCAGATCGACAAGCACGAGCGCAAGCTGATCGAGACGTTCCTGCTGGGCGACGCGGATCCGGATATTTTCTACGACATTCAGCGCAATATATTGCGCACGCTGGAGGAGAAATACTATCCGCCCTTCGTGCTGAGCGACCAGTATCGCCAGCTGAAGGAGGCGCTGGACTCGAATGAGATTGCGGATCCCACGCTGCTCATGTGCCACTCGATTGGCGATGCCCCGCTGGAGCCGCTGGCGGACGAGCAGCCAGAGGCGTCGGATGGTCTAAATGGCGGGGCCGGTGGCGCCATCGATGTGGCAGCCCATACGTCGTATGCACGACGAAAACTGGAGCAAATACAGGAACGCATTGACAAGAAGAACCAGGCGCTGGACGCCCTCAAGTACTCGGTGAAGCCGGAGTCCAAAGTACTCTCCATTCTGGAGAAGGAGATGGAGTGGCTGAAGAGCGAGAAGCGCCAGACGGAGGCGCATTTGCGGCGCACCGACGCCTGGACGGAGCACCTGGGCAAGTGGAAGGCGACCATTCAGAGTGTGGAGGTGAGTGTTAGTCTTTAACCAATCAAAAGAACCACTTATTATCATATTTTCCGCCCGTCGCAGGTCTCCGATGAGAAGGAATCGCTGCAGTTCATGATCCTGGTGCACGTGGACGAGGACATCAATGCGCCGGCTCAGCCGACATCCTCGAAAAACGGCGACAGCGGGCAGGCGAATCTGCGCAAGCGACCCTCGGGCATCTCTAGCGGCTGGGTGGTGATGCGCTCCCTCAACCAAGTGCATGTGGGTGTTTCCATTAAGAATCTGCTCGAAGGACCACTAACATTTTGGCTTGTTTTCTCTTCAAGGAGCTACAGCGAAAACTGAGGCATGTGAGCTCTAATTTAAAGGCCATTGACCTGCCCACGAACTTCAAGTTCTTTTTCCTCAAAACCGATCGTCATGGCCAGGAGAAGGCCAAGCTGCAGATACAGAAGTTCTTGAATGTAAGCAGCAGACGTATATTATCACATTTCGGCATTGATTTACCATTCTTCTCGATTAGTTCATCCTAGAGGACGACCATCTGAATGGCAGCGAGGCCATCTACACGTTTCTAAGTCCCAGTTCGGATCACCTCAAGCAATCGCTGCCCTCGCCGAAGAAGTCCAAGTTCTCGCTGGCGACGCTCTTCCGCAGCGATGCCGGAAAGGCCGCGCACGAGGCCAGCAGGGCCACGGATCCCTTTTGGGGGCTGCAGCGCGACGACGAGGACATATCCACCTACCTGGACGGCGAGTCGGGAGTCGAGGCCAAGATGCTGGCTGCCGATTTGGACAGCAAGGATTCGATAGCCGAACCTATGTACGCCTTAATGGGCGAGATCTTCGACATGGGCGGTGTGTTCAAGTGGCTGCGCAAGAGCCTCATCTCCTTTGTTCAAATCACCTACGGTCGGACGATCAATCGACAGATCCGCGAGTCGGTGGCCTATCTCTTCGAGGAGTCCATGCTGCACAACTACTTCTCGGCCGTACTCAAATCCTTTTGGCCCGGCGGCGTCCTGGCCTCCGCCTATCCGACGCGATCGGAGGATATGCGCGAGATGACCACCACGGCGGCCAAGGCGCTGCTCACCGACCACATACCCGAGGTGCTGTGCAATCTGGTCGGCGCCCAGGCGGCCAAGCGGGGCGTCCTCAAGGTGTTCGAGGCCCTGCAGAATCCCGCCTACAACAAGCAGCTCTTCTACGTGAGTTCTGTATAAATTAGGGACTGAAAATAATTGTTTTTTTTTTCTTACCAAAAAAATCATGCACTTAGAAGAGTACTAGAATTTTTTTAAATTTACCAATATTTTTGTTAGCCACTGTAGTTTACAAATCCGTAATGATTTTTATGTATAACAGTTTTTCCTTGACATTTAAAAAAAAAATTAAATAATTAAAATTATATAACTTACTAAAAATCTTAAAAAAAAGCCAACCATGCATTTTGTATAACTATATTTTTTTTAAATTTGTTTAACCCACAAAATCACCATAAATCAAGTTTGAATTTTATTTTTGATTACTGTTATTATCAACTTTTATTATAAAATTTAAAAAATAACTGTTAAAATGTGATTTTTAACATAAGACTTATAACAGTTACGGTCCCTATTTATACTATGAATATTCTGTATTATTATTCTGCTTAAAATATCACTCTAAATCCCCAGGAGCTGCTGGAGATACTCATGATCGAGTTCTTTCCCGAAATCCGCCAGCTGCGGGTGAACAATGCCAATGGCAGCAAGCTGAACACGGCCACCGCTGGAGCGGCAGCTGCCTCCGCTGCAGCGGCACTGGTGGCGGCCACAGCCTCCGCTTCGCTGCCCTCGCTGAATCACAGTGCCTCCGCGGGGGGCAACCACAACCATCAGGGCTCCTCAACGGGCAGTGGATCCTCGGCGGGAGGAAGTGGCTCATCCGCAAGTGGACAGTCGCACTATCACCACGCATCCCACCACCACCACCACCACTCGCAGGCGGGCAGCTCCAAGTAGCTTACCTTAACTTAAACTTTATATTTTATTTATGTTTTTTTTTTTCGTTCGATTTTATACTTTATGTTCGATGTTTAATGCTCTCTCTCCCTTTCTATTTCGGAGAATATTGTTGATTTAGCCGGAGATTAGGGATTACAAAGAGTAGTTACGTAGGAGACCACACAACTCAGTAGTTACCAGTATCATTCCCTGTACAAATGCAGAATGCAGATTGCAGATCCTTGTTGACTCGTTTGTCCTGTCCCCCACTTCCTGTAGGCCAGATTCGATTGTTATTTGTATGTGTATATGTCTGTACATAGGTCAGTATTAAGCGTTGTACCAAATTGTTGTTTATATACTCGTACTCGTATAGTGAAAAATGTGACACTCAGCTTTGATTGATTATGTTTATGATTATGACTATAGTTTAGTAGCAGATATTGAGTCCAAAGTTGGTGCTTGTGATCCCCCATCCGCTCCAGCTGCGGATGCAGTTAGATTTTTATCTCCCCCGCAAAAAGCAAAGATTATAGTTCACAAAACAGGTGGGATTCCATGGCCATAAGCCAGGTTCAGAGGTCACAACTTGTGTTGCTTTTGCCGTTTTGTTTTAACTTGTAAAAACTAAGGGCTTTAATGATATGTATTCCATTTGGTGATTTTTGAAAGGCAGGATTTTAGTTGTATGTTTTTAATTTTTTAACTTTTTAACCCTTTTCCTTAACAAATAGTTACTTTTAATTATTTATTTGTTAAACCCCTGTATTCTGGAATTAAATATTGTATTTTAAAACGTTTCCCAACTGACCAAAAATTGTATTTTAATCGTTAAGTGCTTTGGTATCAAATAACCCTAATGACTAAGCGTTGCTAAAAGCTGTCTTAAATTCGTAGAACCATTTATAATCCCAAAACCAACAGCATTTTGATACCAACCTAAAAAACGCAAATCGAAATTCGTAAAACGGTTTTTTGGACCCATCCACTGTAGCACTAGGCACCTAGATAGCCCATCCCAGTGAGCCAAACGTATCCCACTTGACACACCCACATCCTGGCAGAGTTTCTAGGCGCTTTCAATCTATTTACGTATTGCAGTTGTACACTTTTATGTGAAAATGCGAAATAAAGATCGCTATTTATGTAGTTGCTCGACCAGTCTTTTCATTACTACTAGAAAATGGCCAACTTCTCGACCAGCGTTTCCAGTGGAATTGTTTGCATATCCACCACCACAACTACGAGATTTTTGCGCATTCCCGCGGGCTTTTTGACCAGCAATCTAGCCTCGAAATATTTCAGCAGGAAGCGCCACTTCAGCTGGCTCTTGTCGCCCTCCGCCAGCTGCTCGAAGTCCTCCGCTCGGATGCCCAGGATCCTCTCCGCCGGACCGCCAGCCAAACGGGTCTCGATCAGGGTGCCCGTCTGGTCGGTCAAGTGAATGTTAATGTTGAAGTGGCTGGTGTATCGAGGGCCATTGCTGCCCAGCACGAATTCCATCTGACAGGCTTCCCCGGCGCAATCCTCGCGGTTTTTTGGAATGAGTCGCAGGCAAACGGTGCTAAGAATAGGGAAATAAATCATTAATGTTGGTATAATCATTAGGTAACCCAAGAACTTGCCACTTTCTGTTGACATGGCAGGCCAATCCATCCAGGTCGAACTTGGTGACCATGCCAAAGAGCACAGCAGTGAACTGAATGGCGGAAGCTTCCTGCAGTTCGCCCTCCGCTCGGGAATACAACTGCCTGACGGTCATCTGGGCCTGAATGCTGCTGGCTAAAAGATACATAAAATATAGATAAATAACTCTAGTGAAGAAGCGACTATATCCCACCTGCCGGCAGGTTGTCCAGCTCCGCCTGGGCGCTGCCATCGAAGCTCTGGGGCGGCACAGTGGCGGCAAAGGCCAGCAGCAAACGGCAATCCTCGCCAGCCGCCTGGGGCTGCTCGCAGATGAGCGTGCAGTTGGAGTGGGCGAGCACAGGGCAGCGATGGAAGTCCGAGTAAGAGACCCGCACATCGACCAGGTGAAGCACCGTGCCGCGTGGCTCCCACTGCTGGGCACGGCGTATCCAATCCGGTTGCCAAATGGAGAGGAGCATGCCCTCCGGATAGCTGGCATCGAACACAATCACCTCCAGGCATTGCAGCGCCTCCTGGGTGAGCTTTCGCTTGATCCGACGCACTGGACGCACGGTAGCCACGACCACCAGTAGGTTCACATGGGCGGGGACCATCTGCTCGGGGTTTCCTAGCCCCAAACGGACATCCGATAGCTTGAGCACGGCGCCCAGGGGCTGGACGGGATGATGGAGCAGCTGGGCCAGGTACTTCATCCTGCCATCCGAGTCATTGCCGTCGTGTCGCACCACATAGCCGGATCCCTCGTTGACCACCAGGGCGCAGGGAAGCGTCGCCTGCGGCTGATAGCGCCTTTCGCCCGGCGGAACCTTCGGAATGGTCATCACCTTGGCTCCCACTATGTCCACCACATGGCCGATCTGCAGCATGGCCGCGTACTCATCCACGCAGGCCCGCTGACCCCACAACTTGCAGTTGGTCAGGTGATTGGGTGAATCCCGGATGGTCAGAGTGAGGCATCCGCGTTCGGTGCCACTCATCTTGTCGTAGAAGATATTCGGCGAGGATTTGGAGACGATCAGCGCCACGGCGGCGAAGTGGGTCATCGTGGGCTGCATCTCCGCCAGGCGCTGGAATTTCACGCGCTTAGCCATTAAAGTTATTAGGGAAATTTCGTTGAACCAAGTTGGAAAGCCCAGGAAAACCGTTACATTAAGAACCGCCGATTAGTTGCTATCGATATTTGTAGCGATGGCATAGCACCGATAGTTTTGAGTGGCGGTTGTATTAAAGTTAAAAACTTAATTAAAATATTTGAAATGTACTTAAGTTTTTTATACATTTTTACTTAAAAACAAAGTACAGAGCAAAGGTAATATTTAAGGTTATTACGTTTATGTTAAAAAATTTTATTACAATAGAAACTTTAGCAGCTTAACTTTTTTTTTTTACAAAATCCCTTAATAATTTTATTTCAGTCAGTTTTTATATTTAATTTATCAACAAATCAGGGCTGGTCAATGGGCTTTCAGGGGAAAGCCGATTCGTCATCATCTGGCAACGCCTCAGCTGCACATACACACACACACACACACATATACGCGATATAAGGGACGGCAGAGATTTGCTGCGTTAAACAAACTCACTTGTCGCACTTTTCCACGGATGCCAGTGCGCGGAAAGTGAAACGGAAAGTGCTACCCACCACCCCACCCGCCGGAGCAGCGCAGGATTAGCCAGGAGCAAGGAGGAGCAGCAGCGCAACAACTTTCGCAGCAACCCGCAGATCCACGCAGCCCCCAGCCCCCCCCCTGCAAAATGGTCAAGCTGTTCGCGTTGAGCATCTTCCACAAGGGCGCCAGCGAGGCGCGTCTCCTGAAGACCGCCGCCGACCTGCAGTCCTTCTCCTTTTTCCAACGTGGCACCGTCAACGAGTTCATGACGTGAGTATCGCCCGTGGACGGCGCAGGCTCAAAGAGTCATCCCCCCTGATTAACCTCCCCCTCTTCCTCCGGCAGCTTCGCATCCAAGACCATCGTGGAGCGCACACAGCCCGCTTTGCGGCAATCGGTGAAGCAGGACGCCTACATGTGCCATGTCTATGTGCGGGCAGACAACCTGGCCGGGGTCCTAATCGCCGACCACGAGTATCCGCATCGCGTGGCCCACACACTCATCACAAAGATCCTCGACGACTTCACGGCCAAGGTGTCGGCGGATCAGTGGCCCAATGGCTCGGAGGCCACCATTTCGTTCGACCTGCTGCCGGCGTTCCTGGCGCGCTACCAGAATCCCGTCGAGGCCGATCCGCTGACGAAGATGCAAAACGACCTGGACGAGACGAAGATCATACTGAAGAACACCATCGAGGCGGTGCTGGAGCGGGGCGAGAAGCTGGACGACATGGTCAGCAAGTCGGAGAAGCTGTCGCTGCAGAGCAAGGCCTTCTACAAGACGGCGAAAAAGACCAACTCGTGCTGCAGCTTCACCTAGGCACCGCCGACAGGCCACACATCTCATTCCTCACTCTGATCCCCTCAAGCAACCACAGGAAACACCAGATAATGCAAATCAAAGACAACACAAAAAAGGATCAAGGATAGAACACTCGATAACACCAACAAACAAACAAACAAACTGCTAGGGAGCGGCGTGGCTTGGAGTTTGATGATTGCTTTTTATAAATGAATTAGTTAATTTTATATACTATACACTATATACACTATACTGTATGAATAGGAAGGCCAGTTGCCAGTTATGTAAGCCCGCTAACCCAATGTTTACTCGTCTGCGGATCTTCGGGTCCTGTCTGTATATGTCTACGCTTTGGATATCTGGATGTTAATTACTACCAATACAAAATACGATCTTAACCCATGTACTGCAGCTGTGTTCTGTGTTTACCATAATCTTCTCTTATCTGTTCCGGAGCTCCGAAATTGACGCTCCGCTACCTATTGATGTTGTGGGCTTTGTTATCACCTTCCCGGCGGATCTATGAAGTCGGGAGGCAGCACTCATACTTATACATGCGCCGTCGCACTTTCGATCCGGGCAACTGGCGATCGGAATGTGTGGGCGTTTCAATAAAGAAGTATTATGGGAAATGTGATTCGAATCGAGAGTGGTTTTACTATTCAATATACCCTTGCAGAGGGTATTTCAGTCGGAAGTTTGCAACGCAGTGAAGGAGACGTTTCCGATCCCATTCTTGATCAGAATTTCGGTTTTTGACAAAAATAGGACTTTTTTCTTTTGGTTTTTTTTGCTATAACTTGGCTAAAAATGGTCCTACACCAAAAATACTTACTGCTTTGAACAGATAACAAGATAATAAATAAATCCATGACACTTTCCGCGTTATCTTGAAAAAATTAAATTTTCGCAAATTTTCCTTTTTTTTTATAAGGGGGTACCTCATGATTTTTTGCGAAAAATTGACAAAAAATAAAATTTCCAGGTGCCAATTGATTGGAAATTTAATAACGAGTTCAGAAAGGTATGGCATTCTATACTAGGATTTTTTTTTTTTATTGTTTTGGTCAAAAAACGTATTATTTTTGGGTTAAAAATAGTGTTTTATAATTTATAATTATAATAATATTATAATATATATTCTCGATATTTTCTTCTACATATATTTGATTGTGTACTTACCAGTCCATTTCTCTTCAGATTTACGTGAGTCGGCAAAACTAAGAACCCAAAATACCCAAAACAGTGCAAGAAAAAATATTCAAATTCAAAAGTGATTTTTGTTGGCGTTTATTTATTATATAGAAGATATCTATTTCGCTTTTTGTAAAGATTTCCGTTACATATTTCATAATTATGCGTTTTCTTACGTTTTCGTTTAACATTTTGGGAGGGGAAGGTTGGTTGTCCCATTTCTAGATGAGGACGGGGGGTTATGTTTATGGGTTCGTATAACCTAGTATAAGATAGGTAAATTGATTACAATTTAGATGTCTCCGTTAGTTTTCGCCCCTCTTCCGTCCCGGTTTTCTTTTGTTTTGCGACGGAAATAAGGGGAGGCGGTGCACTATAAATTTATGCATTATATTGCATACCTATATCGTTCTGTTATAATTAATATAATATTGTGTGTGCTAACTTAGCTTAGGCAGCAAACATTCATTCAAACGCGTTTGCTTGGCTCCTCGTTTATTAATTGCATTAACTTGTATGCATATTTGTTGTATATGTTTATCGACTGACTCCTCAGTTGCATTTTGTGTTAGTGATCTATAGTAATATTTAGAATTTATTCAAATGGTTTGCTTTGAATATATGCAGTGTAAATATTATTTGATGTAATGTTCTAAATGCACGCTCCTTCGAAATGGCTAAGAATTTGCATTCGTGTTTACTGGTTTTTGTATTTTTGTATTTTCTTTTCGCTAAAATTTGCATTGATCAACACAACAAATGAAAATCAAGAAAAGTTCTCGTCCTTTTCAAATCAATAAAATACGTGTGTGTGCGGCTGGGTGAGTTTTGTATTCGTTTAAAAACTAGTTTGGATAAATTGTTGGCTTGCTTGCTTTTGATTGAATTTGTATTATGTATTATTTAGGACTTAGTGGGGGATCCCCGTTTTATCGAATATCGAATTGCAATCGAAATACAAGTAAGGTTCTAACGTGTTTCGTTTACGCAGCTGTTATCACAATGGGTTTTGGTTTAAACTTTTTATTATTTTTAAGTTAGTTCCGTATGCCGAAGGCAAATTTAGCTTATAACATATTATTTGCTGGCTCTGCTTCTGCTGCTGCTGCTGCTAAATGTTTTTGCCCAACAAGTCTGGTGTCTTATGGTTTCTTATTTCGCTTTTTTTAGAACCCTCAAAAGCCGCTCCTAACTTTGGCGCTTAAACGTATGCTTGTTTTGTAGGTCTTGTATGCACAGTGGGCAACGCAGGATGTGCGAGGTCCAAAAAGTCCGCTATTGGCTCCTTTTGTCCACCGTATATATGTAATATGTTCGTTTGTGTTTGTATCATCTATAAGAAATTTGTGTGTGGGTGCCCACCGGGAAAGTCAGAAGGTGGTTCTTTGTGTGCTGAAAATCCTGTTCCTTTTAGCAGAAAGTGTTGGAAATCCTGTTTCTTTCAGCAGGCGACGGTGTAGGGAAAATGTAAATTCCCTAGGAAAACCACATAGAAACCTCATTTCCCCCTTACTTTTTGTGTCACCCCCGTGTATTTTGAAACCAGAGACGGAAGAAATGTAAGGGGTGAATGAGGTTTTGTCCCTTCCGCTTGTATGGAGAAACCTCTTGAAAATATGTTATTTTCCAGAGGAATGTTCCCGCTGGGTGTCTTCGATGTGTCTCTGTGTGTGTGTGTTTGTTTGTTGTGTGTGTGAGAGTGCGTGGGTGTGCGGGTGTTTTTGCTGCATTTTTGGCACTTGTGCGCGTCGCACTGTAACGGTAAATGCATTCACTTTATCGACTTTATCGACATTGATACATGTATGCCCATACATACACATATATATTTTGGTTTACCAACGAAAAGCTTAAAACGAAACAAATAAAAAAGTAAAACAAACGCAAAAACAAAAACTAAACCAAAAACGCGTATGTGTGTGGGTGTGTGGTTGTGTGTAAACGATTTTTAGTTCTCTAAGTAAACGAAACAGAAAAAAAAAACAGCTATACAAACTATCGAAATAACGGCACTTCGTTGCGCTTTCTCCGTTATTCTCTTGTTCTTGCTTCAAACAATTGAATTCATTTTGTTTTTGGCTTTAGTCTTTCCGTCTTTGTTTTTGGTTGCATTTTTTCAAAAGTTGCAATTCTATACTTTCAAAAATATATGTATTTGCGAATTTCTATCGTTTTAAATCTATCGTTTTAAGAAGAGACTGCGAGCGAGAAATATATCGTATAGGGGTGGGGCGGGGGCTGAGAGAGATTGGTAGAGAGATAGAGACAGAGATAGAGCGATCGATCAGGACTTAACGAAGGACTTGCCTCAAAAGTGCGAGGGGGACAGCGAATTCTGCGCATCCTCTTTTTCGGGACTTTCGGTTTCAGTTACTCTTAAATTTTATCAGTTTCAACTTCTTTTGCTCTTTTTTTTCTCGTTTTTTTCTTTTTGTTTTGATTTTGTGTGTGTTTCCGTGTTTTTTTTGCTTTTTTTTTAGTTTGTTGTTTGGTTTGTTTGTTTTTCGCAGTGTGTACACAACAACTTATAGATAAATACAATACAAATATCGCGCTCTATAGTTTTATTTCTTCAAAAAAAGAATGTATGCCTCAAGTCATCCATAATACATTATATTGTAGCCATCAGACATTGTCTATAAGCGACAACGACAACGACAATAATACAAATACATAACATATATTCATAGTCCTCTTCTGATTCAGATACTGATTTCGATTCAGATTCAGCTTTAGTTTCAGCTGCCTCTGCTTCAGTTTCAGGTTTTTTGGCCTGGCCTTTTGGGGGCGCTGCGTTTACTTCATTTAAATTGGTTATTAATTAGTATTTTTGTATTTTCGTTTGTTTATATAAGTCTATCACATCATCACAATTCGGTTGCATCGAAATCATAATTAAGAAGTAGGAAATTATAAAAATAAAAACGTTAATTCACTTGGTAACATTGCGCATACGCCTAGAGTACATAACATTGCGTATACGCCTAGAGTACATACAAAAAATAACTTCATTTAGTTGTAGTTCCCTCGTTCCCGACGTCTCCAATGATTTTCAAAATGTATGACAAAACTAAAAACCCCGGAATCCCAAAAATGAAATGAACTTCTCTATGAATTAAAGGTCTATATAAAAGAGTCGAGTCGTCCCCACTTTGTTTTCAAAAAAGAGATCCTTGTGTTGACGATATACCGTATATAAATATTCCCATTTGTTTTCCCAGATGATTTTTATTTGCTAAAAGGAAACCGTACACGTAGAAAACTAATAAAAAAAAATGAATAGAAATGTTCCCTTCACTCCCCCGATCGGCTAACAAATATATATATAAATATAATCTACATGATTTTCAACTATTTGCTTTGTGGTTCTCACACATTTCCTCTGTAGAATATTCCCTTGTGTCCGTTACGTCTACCAAAAATTCTTAGTCTTTTTGTACTGATCTCCCGTGGCGGAGGACAACTGCTTGCACTGCTTGCAACAACTTGGACAACGGCTTGGACAGACGATATTTGGATATATTACTGCTAACTATATAACTGGAGCTGCCAATTAGTGTTACTACTACCTATTTACTCGTACTGAACTCTGGCTTTCGAAAGAGGAAAATCATAGGGCAATTTGGAAATAGAGAAAAAAAAAAAACTACGAAAAATCAAAAATTAAACATATGGGGAAACGGAAAAGAGCTTTTTGGAATAGTCAGAAGTATGCATTATGTTTGCTGTATTATTATTATCATTATTTTCGTGTGGCATTGCTTGGCATTATTCGATCTTCTACCCTTGTTTTGTGTTCCTCCTTCTAATCCTCTTGTTTCGTGTTCGCTTTACTTGTTTTTATGGATGAATGTGGCGTCTTTTCTTTTTTCTTCGCTTTCTTTCTTCTCTTTTTTTCAACTGCTTCTGTTCTTTGGTCTTGGAATAATTGAAAAAGGTAATTGTAATTTTTTTTCAAGTATTTGCATAGAACTTTTGAAAAAACCTCGTTAATTTATGCGAATGTTGTGTTAGGGGGATTATTATCGAATTCTATAAAGTGTCTTAAACAAAATGAGTTTTTGTTTTAATCTCCATTAAAAATCAAGCTCGAATCTACACATACGTATGTGTATATCTATATAGAATACACACATATATGTATCAAAATGGGAAATTAAATGATAACGTTAAATTTGCTTGTCCTTGTGGTGTTCGTGGGGTGTGGGTGTGTGTGTGTGTGTCTCGGTGTCTGGGTGTGTGTGCGTGTGCTTGTGTGGGTTCTATGTGGCTGTGTGAGTGTTCTCCCATTGCTTCAATTGTTTCATTATTATTTGTTAGTTTCTCTTTTACATACTTCCTACCAAAGCAGCGCTGTCCATTTCTTTTTCCCCTATTCTGGATTTTGCCAAAATACAGGTATTGTATATATGTATGTATATCTCAACCGTTAGCTGCGTTTTCTTAAATGGAATTTGTGTAGAATTTAGTCAGTTTTCCCTTTGTTGTAATTGTTTGTTGCAAATTTCGCTCGGTTAAATGTGTATAAAATAATTCAACATGTATTTAGATGTGTGTTATTATAAGCAAACCGTTCATTTCATACCAACCAAGTTAGTGAAAAGGGTTTTTTTTTCGATCCCTTGTTCTTATGTTTTTGACAATTTTCGAATTAAAATTTTTTTTTGGTTGCGTGCTTGTGTGTTTTCCGTGTTTGATTTTTCTTTGTCTTCATAATATAATCATACACAACAACTTGTGTATGTATCGCTTAATTAACAGTGTCTGTGTGTGTGTGTGTGTCTCTAGATTTAATTTCGCTTGATTTTGCTTGGCGGAAATAATAAGCCTACTTAATTCTTTTTAAACATTCGAAGAACATGCAACTGTCAGTGTGTGTGAAAAAGCTTAAAAACTAACCTAATTTTTCACTTTCGAGGTGTTCTTGTGTTTTTTGTTTAGTTTTACCTTGTTTTGGAAAACATAAAATGGATTTCGAGGGCGATGATCCTGCGATGATCCTGATGGAATAGAAAAGTACATTATAAACTAGGTACTATTTAGATATTTTCAATAACTCACCCCTGGCTATTGATGTTTGCGGCTGTTTGCCCAAAGAACAGTGACGAACGAAAGGTCGAGGGGGATTAAAAGGTCAACTTGTATGGCAAACACAAATTGCGAATGCTTGAATGAGCGAAAGAGAACACAAAAAATACTAATAATAGTATAGTAGTAGTGGGGTGAAAAAAAAACGAAAGAAAAATAAAATATTAAACAAACAAAAAGGCAACTTTTTCGCTTAGAATTTAAAGAGTAACTGGTGCTCTTATATCTTGGCAACTTATATCCTTTCTTTCATTCATTTCTCATATGCATTTGGATTTCATGACTGTGGTTTATGCTTGATTGTTTGTCCATGTCGTTGGTGTTGTTGTTCTAGTTGTTGCTTGTTGGTTGTTGTTTGTTGCTAAAGCTGCTGCTCTTCCTCTTATTGGTGGCCCGCCTGCTCGATGGCCTGTCCTGGTCCCGGTCCGGGTCCAGCCACCGCCGGGGCGAACTGGTGGTGCTGGGCGGCATAGTAGGTGGCCGGCATGCTGAACTGATTGGCATACGGATTGGTGCCCGGATTGGAGGTCAGCACTCCGGCCGCATCGTAGATGTACGAGGCTCCGTGCGTGGCAGTGGCTACGGCCGCTATCGGTGGCGAATTGGCCGGCGTGTAATGGACCAGCGAGGTGGTCACCGCAGCCTGCGGTGGCGGCTGCGCCTGGGCATATTTGTTGCCCTCATCCTTGGGCGGCTTTGGCTGCACCACCGACGGCGGCGGCTGCTGCTGCTGCTGCTGCTGCACAGCCTGCTGTCCATAGTGCGGCACTCCCTGCTGCTGATACTCCCTCTTCGGATACTGCTGGAATCTGGGCGGCATTCCCCCAGCTCCCGCTCCCTGCGGCACAAACTGTCCGCGGCTGCGATATGCCTGCGGCATGTACTGACCGCCCTGCTGGGGCGCCATGTGCGGCTGCGGGCCACCAGCCACGCCTCCTGCTCCTCCACCGCCGCCCTGGTGACCCATTATGGCACGTGGTCCTCCATTATTGAACGGAGCCCGCGGACGATAGGTGTTGCCGTTGCGCTGCTGCTGCTGCTGCTGGCCGCCATCCTGTCCCATTTGGTTCATTCGGTTCCAGTTGCCTCCCCCTCCTCCGTTCTGCTGATAGCTATTGCCGCCAGCGGCATACTGCTGGTAGCCACCACCAGCTGGTGGACCGCCGCGATTGTTGTTGTAGCTGTTGCCCGCTTGGTAGTTCAGCGGATTGCTGTTGCGCTGCTGATAGACGCCGTTGTGGCCGCCAGAATTGCGATCTCCACCACCGCCGCCGCCGTTGTTGTTCCACCGCTTGTTGCCGCGATAGCCGCCCGAGCTGGGCATCGAACGGGCCAGATCGAGCAGCGCCTGCGACGGCGTCTGGCCGGCTTCCTCGAGCACCGAGATCAGCTCGCGCGCCTGCTTGGCATTGTCGGGCGTGAAGAAGGTGTAGGCAGTGCCCAGCTGCTGGCAGCGGCCAGTGCGTCCGATGCGGTGCACATAGTTCTCCGAGGAGTTGGGGTAATCGTAGTTGATCACATACTGCAGATCCTCGACGTCGAGGCCGCGAGAGGCCACATCGGTGGCAATCAGAATGTTGGACTTGCCGTTGCGGAAGTCCTTCAGCACGGAATCACGCTCGTTCTGCGTCTTGTCGCCGTGAATCGAGGTGGCGGTGTAGCCCTCGGTGCGGATGATTTGCAAAATGTCCTCCACCTGGAAGGGGAAAGCAAACGAAATTAATAGGGGAACTTAAGAAAGTAGCCTCTGGTTTCGCATAAACATATTTCGGTCGCCAGTAACCAAAGACTGGCTACTTTAAACAAATTCCTCACATATTATTTATGTTTGCTTGTGGAATATCTTGTGACAACGCAATACAATCCCTTCCCAACTCACCTTAATCTTCGTCTCCACAAAGATGATGATCTTGTTGCCACTGTTGGCCGAATTGTTGCTCGGCGCGATCTCCTTGAGCAGGCGCACCATGCGCTGCGGCTTCTCCATCTCGGTGCAGATCTCGACGATCTGGCGGATGTTGTGGTTGGCCGACAGGCTCATCGACCCAATGTTGATCTGGATGTAATCGTTGAGGAAGTCGCCCGCGAGGGCCTGCACCTCCTTGGGCCAGGTGGCGGACCACATGACGACCTGGCGGTCGGGGCGAATCTGCTCGATGATCTTGCGGATCTGCGGCTCGAAGCCCATGTCCAGCATGCGATCGGCCTCGTCCAGCACGAGGTAGGTGCATCGCTGCAGATTGGTGTTGCGGTTCTCGAGGAAATCGATCAGTCGTCCTGGCGTGGCGATGATCACCTCGACGCCGCGATCGAGATCGCGTGCCTGCGGCACCTTCGAGGAGCCGCCAAAGATGCAAGTGTGGCGGATCTCGGGCTTGCACAGGTGCCCATAGTCGCGCACCACCGACTGGATCTGCTGGGCCAGCTCACGTGTGGGAGCCAAAACCAGGGCGATGGGTCCCTCGCCGCGCAAAATGGGCGGCTGGTTGCCGATGTGCACAATGGCCGGCAGCATGTAGGCCAGCGTCTTGCCGGATCCCGTCTGGGCAATGCCCACCAGATCGCGGCCACTGAGGGCGATGGGCCAGCCCTGCGACTGGATGGCCGTGGGCTTGGTGAATCCCTGGCGTTTCATCTCATCGATGACGTGGGCCGGCAGCGAGCTCTCCTCGAAACTGACCACCGGATGGGGTAGTTCGTTGCCCGAAACGGTGATCTCCAGTTCGCGCCGTATATCGGCCACCTGCTGCTCCGATTTGGCCAGCGTATTGGGGTGAATGTTGTAGAAGTCCTTGTGGAAGGGCTCCAGGTTCTCCCACACGGGCTTGACCAGGTTGCGGCCGGGATTCTTGGCCTTCTCGCGCTGGATCTCTGCCCGCTCCTCCTTGGAGAGCATGCCCAAAGCGGCAGCATTGTAGTTGTTGCTCTGGTAGCCACCACCGCCTCCTCCGCCGCCGCCTCCGTTGTGCGGCTTCTGGTAGCGTTGTGCGTAGTTGGGATTCTTTCCCCGTGGACCGCCATAGCCACCGGCTCCTCCGGCGCCTCCTCCGCCTCCTCCGCCGAGACCGTTGCCCGCAAAGGCGACGCCGTTTTGCTGGCGATACGGATTACCGCCGCCGGCGCCAGCGGCGCCCATGCCCAGACCGTTCTGGATGCCGTAGGCCATCACGCCGTACGGCTGGCCAAAGTGCATGCTACCGGCGGCACCGGCGGCTCCGTTGAGGGCCGCTCCACCGGCTGTGCCGGCAAAGTTGCTGCGCGGATAGTAGGGTCGCTCGTGGCGAGGGGCTCCGTTCCCCCCTCCGCCCGCTCCCGCGGCGGCACCGTTGCCGTAGTAGCCGCCGCCTGTGTGCTGTTGAACGCCGCCGGCGTTGGGTGCATATGCTCCGGCGTACATCGTGTGTTGTTGAAATCCTGGCGAGAAATGAACAAAAGATCAGTCGACACACGCACACAAAGACTTTGCACTTTTGTAACTGTTCAGCGCTCTCTCGCTCGCTCTCTCTCTCTCGATTCTGCCGCTCTCGCGAGGGTGAATCACGTAGTGACGAAGCGCACCGCGACTATTAAATACATAAATGAATAACTGTGTAGGTAAGAATCTTGAAAATTTTAAAAATTTTGAACTTCTTCAGCAAAACTCTAGAAAATGTATTTACTTAACCAAATATTTAATTATTTTTCGTCACAAAATTATAACTTCTGTATCTTAAAGGTGCGATCGTCCCTAGCTTCTCAACTCGCCAAGAGGTGTTTTGTTTGATATAAATAGAGAAACGCGCTTGACTTACAGCCCCGTGACCGGAGGGGGGGTTAATTTAGAAGGGGGATAGGCCGAGAGAGGGGCGGTTCCACCACCCACCCACTAGCCACCACCGAAAAAATCAATACAGCATCGCCAATGCACACGAGACGCGGCGAGAGAGAGAGAGAGACAGAGCGAGAGAGAGGCACGCACGCACACACACGAGTGGAAACTTACAAAAAATGCACTGCATTTTCACGCCTCGGACTCACGAACTCACCTTTTTTCCTGTTGCGACAACTGCTGCCTGGTGTGTGTGTGTAATTTTGGATGAGCCTGACTTGTGCGGGGGGCTTCAAATTAATGTATTTATGCGCCGCAATTTGACATTTGCTCCCCAGCCAGTTGGGTTTTGCCGTTTGCTAGTCGAAGCCTCGATATTCCTATTCCCGTTCGATATTCCGTATTCCGTAGTCCGCTCTCTCGCTCTCTTCGTCACGCTCACACGCCTTCTCTTTCGCTTTTCGCTCTGCTCAACTTTTGCCGAGAGGTGATTATTTGCAATTTATTCGCAACTGGCGCCGCCTTCGCCGCGGGAAACTAACCGTAAATTTATCAATTATTAAATTAGTTTAGTGTTGTGTTAGGTTAGATCTCATTCTTGCTCTTCACATATACAAACACACACACACACGTTGTTGCTGCAACTATTTTTTTGTTGTTGTGTTCTGTTTTCTTCCGTCTGCTTTTCGCACCGATAATTGATATAAAAATACCACAAAAATACAACAAAAAAGCCAGCAGGAAAAGGTCCCACTCGCCGTCTATCGTTATCGCTCTTAGACAGCCACACTAGAGCTGGAAAAATACTGGGCGTCTTATCGATAGTATCGATGTTGCCTAAAATTGTTTAACTATCGATGTTATTGGATCTCAATAAATACATTTGAAATCCCAACGATTTTATTTCTTTTAAGTCAATAATTACCTTGTAATTTGTCTTACATAAAAAGGTGACTTAAAGTTCCCAATTTAGAATAGCAACGTACGAAGTATTTTTCAATTTTTTATATGGTATAAAAGTCCAATACATTTTCGATAAGTTTCTGTCAAATTTCAGCTTTCTAGCTAATAATTTATAGTTAAATAATGTCAAACATTGAAAGAAAACATTTGACATATTTTTTAATAATATAATATTATATTTTAAGGATACTGGCGTCATTAAAAAATTTATAGAAATTTTATACAAATTCCCATATTTCCCCAACCAATTCAAATTCAATCTGATCTTCTGTTTTATAATTTACTAACCAAACGAAGGGCAAACACTTTGTGGTACTTATTTTAAAACTGAAAATTGCAAATAATCTAGGTAAGCGCACATTTCGGCCACAAATCATGAGTTGAATGTCTTAAACAAGTGCATTAAGTGAAGGAATCTCCAACGGAACACCTATTTCCATGTGAAAACCTTGTTAAGGAGGCTGCAAGTCAGTCGCAGCTGTACATACATAAATGTTATTTACACGGATTTATTCCCCAGTCATATCACAAACGACGATATGCTGAAATCGGAGGGAGTTTAAGGACGTTAATTGGCGGCCAGTCGGACGAGTAGTTTCCTTCGGTCCTCGTCGATGGTGGCGAGGAACTTCTGCACCCGCTCGCTGTAGAAGTCGCTCGTCTTGGCCAGCTGGTAGCTCTGCATCCTCTCGGCTCGCCGGAAGTCCTCCAGCTGCCAGCGGTCGCGTTGGTAGGCCAGAATGCTGGCCAGGAAGTGCCAGAAGGTGATCTGCGGCCACAGGACGTTGCTGAAGTAGAGCACGGAGGTGCTTAGCTGGAAGGGATTAAAAGAACGTTAATTCTCAAGGAATATGTAAAAAATATTGCAAAATTTTAGACTAAATTGGTAAACTTTGATATGAAATTTCATCAGTAAATATACAATTTAAATCTTTACTTTTTTTTAAGTTTCAAAGTACTTAAAATGAGCTCAAAGCTCAATTTTTAAATGCATTTCAGTAGCAAAAAAAACAATCGGAATTGCTAATGAATAATTGTTATAGAAAAAACAAGGATTGAATAGAAATATTAGAATATATTGGTAAACTTTGATATGAAATTTCATCAGTAAATAAACAATCGAAATCATATATTTCTAGTAAAATGTGTTATAACTATTAAGGTTCAAAGTACTTAAAAGCTTAATTTTTAAATGCATTTCAGTAGTAAGAAAACAATCAGAATGAACAATGGTTATAGAAAAAACAAAGATTGGATAGAAATATCAAGGTCTTTGGGTTATCACCTGCCACATCATGAAGTCGCTCAGCCTGGTCTCGCCGGAGGTGCGGAATACCAAGTCCGGTGGTGGCGAGTGCCGCGTGTAGAGGCACTCCTCCAGCAGCCGTTCGCTGATGTCCGCGGCGCCCAGATCCTGGCTGCCGTGCCGCAGGACCGTCTCCACCGCCTGCGTGATCTCGTCGCGCGACGTGTAGGCGAAGGCCACGTTCAGGAAGAGCTTGTCATTGCGCTCCGTGCTCAGCATGGCCGAGGCGACCAGTTTCTGCAGATCCAGTGGCAGCAGCTCGATGTTCCCGATCACCCGGATGCGGATGCCATGCTCGTTCAGCCGGGTGGTCTCGTCCAGCAACCGGGCGAACTTCTCGCGGGCTAGATTGAACAAACCCTCGACCTCCTCGTTGGAGCGCTTGAAGTTCTCGATGCTGAAGGCAAAGGTGGTCACCTCGCGGACGCCCACGTCCAGGCACCAGCGCAGGCAGTCGGCCAGCTTCTCGAAGCCCCGCGAATGGCCCTCGATCTTATCTATCTGCTGCGAGCGGGCGAACCGCCGATTGCCGTCCATCACGAAGGCGACGTGGTGCGGAATGTGGCCGCAGGCGCGCAGCGTCCGCAGCGCCAGCCGCTCCGTCCAGGTGTACTTGTAGTCGGAGACCCACGACATGGCCTTTGGGTGCTCCGCTATTGTGCAGGTTCGGTGGTTATAATATTGGGATATATTTATTTATTTTTTGGGTGTCTTGTGATTAGAGCTGTGACACCGTCGGGCCCTCGCCTATCGATTGCGGGGCTATCGGTGGTCTCGCATCTCTAACGAAGCCAGTGTGACTGTTGGTGCAGTGTGCCTAAATCCAGACTCAAACCATTCGATACAGTGGAATCCCAGACACGAACCATTCGATAAATATAGTGAAGACCCAAACCATCGATAACAATTTAGTCGAGGCTCGAACCCATGACAGAAATCAAGCCAAAGAAACGTGACTCAACAATTTTAATGCAATTTATCTCGCTGACGTGGCCTTTTCACAGGCAATAAATAAAGTTTATCCTAAAAATCCAGTTAAACAACCAAAAACGGCAATCGCCTAAGGTTTGAAACCCCGCTCGATTGAATATCGATCAACTATCGGCACACTTTGCCAAAACGCAGCAACCCTGGCATTTTGACAGCTACGACAGCCTTCTTTTTTGATATCCGGTTCACGCAAGTGGTTCGTCCCAAACTTTTGCCCCGTAATTTTTTGCCAAAAACCCCGACTTTGAGCCCTTTTGAGACCCCAGAAATGTGCGCCCCTCAAGAGTGTTCAAAGGGCCGGCGGAAAACGATGGAAAAGCTGCCCGGCAGCTGAATTTTTTTTACGTTTTTTGTTTTGTTTGTGCGCATGCATTTGTTTTTGTTTGTGAACCGACAGTGTGGTAAAAATGTGCCTTCCCTTGCTATTCCCCGCAGCTGCTGATCGACAAACAACAACCCCAGAATGGCACCCAGGAAGGCTAAAGTTCAGAAGGAGGAGGTGCAGGTCCAGCTGGGACCCCAGGTGCGCGACGGCGAGATCGTGTTCGGAGTGGCCCACATCTATGCCAGCTTCAACGACACCTTCGTCCACGTTACGGATCTGTCCGGACGCGAGACCATCGCCCGTGTGACCGGCGGCATGAAGGTGAAGGCCGATCGTGACGAGGCTTCGCCCTACGCCGCTATGTTGGCTGCCCAGGTGAGTTGAGCCCGCCCTTCGGTCCTCTAAGAGCCCCTCTAACCGTTTGAATCGCCCTGCAGGATGTGGCCGAGAAGTGCAAGACCCTGGGCATCACCGCCCTGCACATCAAGCTGCGCGCCACCGGCGGCAACAAGACCAAGACCCCCGGACCCGGCGCCCAGTCCGCCCTGCGCGCCCTGGCCCGTTCGTCGATGAAGATTGGCCGCATCGAGGATGTGACCCCCATCCCATCCGACTCCACCCGCAGGAAGGGCGGTCGCCGTGGTCGTCGTCTGTAAGCGGCGCAATCTGGAGGGCAGGAATTCCTGTTTTCGGTCGAAATACTGCATTTGTGTATGCGATAAGAAGGTTATTCTGCTTGTGTGCATAGGTGCACTGTAATAAACCAGGAAATACGATGTAAATGATTACAAGAGATTTGTGCGTGTTAATGGTGCGGTTTTGGGGTCTGAAACTAGTTTTGATTAAAACTTATCAAGGTTTTTGCCGAAATGTTTACAAAAATGTGTCGGTTTCTGGCCGCAGAGTTGCCACCCCGTCGCGGGGACCCGCTCAGTGGCAGCCCGATAGCGGCGCGCAAGCAGCCCTGCCGCCGATAACTATCGCCTCAGCAGCTGTGTTGTTTTTGCTTTCTTTTTTCGTATCCGGTTCACGCAATTGGTTCGTTGCGATTTTTTTTCCCTATTATTTTGTGATTTACTGAAATTTGCGAATTCGGCGCCAAAAACGCAGGAACGCCGCAGCCAGTGGAAATGACTACCAATGAAATGAATAAACTCAAATTCGAAAAATACGCTGGCACGGTGTGGATGCAGCTGAATTAAATTGTGTTTCGCTGTTTTTTGTTGTTGTTTTCGCGAGTGACTTGAGCCGGCAATTGAACAGTGTTTTTTTTTCTGCCCCTTGCAGTTGCTGATCGACGACCCGAGTTTGCAGAATGGCTCCCAGGAAGGCTAAAGTTCAGAAGGAGGAGGTGCAGGTCCAGCTGGGCCCCCAGGTTCGCGACGGAGAGGTCGTGTTCGGAGTGGCCCATATCTACGCTAGCTTCAACGACACGTTCGTGCACGTCACGGATCTGTCCGGACGCGAGACCATTGCCCGCGTCACCGGAGGCATGAAGGTCAAGGCCGATCGTGACGAGGCTTCGCCCTACGCCGCTATGTTGGCCGCCCAGGTGAGCATTTGTGGGTCCCATGCCTGGAAAACCCCTAATAATCGTTTGTAATCCCATCCAGGACGTGGCTGAGAAGTGCAAGCTGCTGGGAATCACCGCTCTGAACATCAAGCTGCGCGCCACCGGCGGCAACAAGACCAAGACCCCCGGACCCGGCGCCCAGTCCGCCCTGCGCGCCCTGGCCCGTTCCTCCATGAAGATCGGCCGCATCGAGGACGTGACCCCCATCCCATCGGACTCCACCCGCAGGAAGGGCGGTCGCCGTGGTCGTCGTCTGTAAAAATGTGCGCCTTCCTCTTCGGACGCTGCGTTTGTTTTTTTATACTATGGAGTACAGCTAAATGTAGAAATAAAAAATGAAAATGCAGTGGAAATGGCTTGTTTTGGGCTGCCTTGCGTCTCAGGTGTTTCTCTGACCAGTGGCAACACAGCACTCGCGGCAGCTATCGATTATTTAAAAAACGAAATTTGTATTTGAAATGGGACATTATAGTTTATATTTAAAACTACATAAATTTATAAGCTATACATATAGGTTTAAAAGTAATAAAGATACCCCGATCTGCAGAGCCTTTAAAAATTCCATAGGATGCATTCGCCTACTATCGAAAAACGCCAACACTCGATCTATCGATACTATCGCAAGTGGTTGGCCCAGCTCTAATTCATATACACATACACGCGAACGGACCGTGTGTGGATTCGTGGAGCAAATCGAAATTGGCAGGATTAAAAGCATTCGCGAACGCAAAGGCAGCGGCTAAAGGGCTGCCCACGCACCAGAGTAACTAACTAGCTGGCCAAGAGGTCCTCTAATCGGCGATTAATATGCAAAAATCAGCGTAATTGGCAAGTTCAATGCACGACTAATATATTTGGTGTGCCAGTGTTGTGTGTGCGTGTGGTGTGGTGTCGTGTCCGTGTGTGTGTGCGTGTGCGGCCGCGACGAGTATGTGTGCGTATATTCGTATATTTGCAAGACTCGCGGATGAAACAGCGTGAAAAGTGAGCGAAATCGGGAAATCGGGAAAACGGGCGGCCAAAGAACTCTAAATCCTCGCTCTGAAAAACGGACACGGATGATGGGGATATAGCCCCAGAGCCACCGCGCCACAGTAGGTCGGTTGGGCGACGTCGAGCAGCAGCAGCAAGGTAGAAAAAAAGAATCAAACATCGGAAATCACAAATCAAAAATCAAAAGCAGGAACGCAGCTGAGAAGCTGAGATGTCAAGTGTTTGGTGTTGTGAAATTTTTCGTCTCCAACTCTCGGCGTAGATTCCATACCCCCCTCCCCCCTGACGACCCAGCAATCGAATTCCCTCGCCTCACCTGTCAAAATTTTCAATTGAACGCAACTCTGCCATAAACAAAAAAAAAGAAATAAAAGTTAAATTCGGGCACTAGCCAAACAACAAAAAGAAAAAAATCACGCAGCAAAGAAGAAGCAGCAGCAGCAGCAGCCGAAAAAAAAGACGAAAAGAAAACTTGTTTGAAAAAGGCCGAAACGAAAGAAAAAAAAGAGCAGCAGCAGCAGCAGCGGCAGCGGCAGCAAGAACGGATCACCGGATCGGAGCGGCGACGTCACCAAAAGATACGCCACCATATCACCATGGACGAGGATGACAACCTGTCCAATGCCGACATCAGCATCGATGACGAGGAGGCGGCGGAGGAGCGCCCGCAGGATGCGGCCATGCAGCAGGATCAGCAGGAGGATGACGAGTCCTCCGATGTGGATCTCTCCTCGGTCTACGTCCTCCCGCCCATAGTCTCCTCCATGCCAGCAGTGCGCATCAGTGGAGGAACCACCACCACGACCACCAGTGCAGCTGCAGCTCCAGCCACCGCCGCCGATAACTCGCATTCCCCCTTCCACGACTGGGATTCCAGTGTGGCGGCCGCTGCTCCTCCGCCACCGCCGCCCAGGGGAGCAACTGCAGCGGCGGCATCTAGTTCGGAATCTGGAGCAGCAGGAGCATCTGGAGGAGCATCTGGACCAGGAGCAGCAGCCAGCGATGCCGGGGCCAAGCCGAGCTTCTTCTTCGGCGCCTCCTCCTTCAGCCTGCGCAGCCGCAAGGAGGTGGCCGCCCTGATCAACACCGAATGCTGCCGTGGCAGCCCCACGCCCGATCTCGACTCCATCATGGACACCCTCTTCAATCCGGGCACGCCCATCGACAATCTGGACAACATCGAGTGGATTCGATGGCTCATTGCCGGCGGACGGACGCCGCAGGAATTTGTTAAAATTGGTACGTTAAAATCCGAAATGTGCATGCTGTGCTGCCTATCGATATATGTGTGTTTGCATTGCATTTTCTATCGCTAAACAGCTGATCGCAAGTCCGTTGCCCCTGAAACTCTCTCTGTATGTGTGTGTGTGTGTTACCTGTGCGATACCTGTATGCGTGCGTGTGTGTGTGTGTAATTGTTGTAGGGCACGCAAGGCAAAAAGGGAGAGGGAGAGAGAGCATAACAGCAAGGTGCAAGGCAGCGTGAAGAGTGCGAGTGCGAGGGCGAGGGCGAGTGCACCACCATGGCAACAGCAATCAGGCGCACTCGCTCGCACACGCCGCATACACATAGACATAAACATATGCACTGATTAGGGGAGTCAACTTTAGCCCAATTTAATCTCAACTGCTCATCTATTTGCCATGCTGTATTTGTGCATATTGTTTATGATTACTTATTTTTTTGTGCCAGCCTGCGTATGTCGCCAAAGTTGCTTTTATCGTTTATGGTCGCTTGTCGCCTGTCGCCTGTCCCACTTCCCACTTGTCAGCTCTCTCACACAGACACGCACACGCACAGTGGAATGCAACTTGCACCTTGTGTGTCAGCTGTTCGGTTCGGTTCGCCTTGCGTAATAAATGTTTCCGCAGCATCCGTCCCAAAAACACACGCACACCAATGCCGTTGGGGCTTGTTTATATGCTGGCACCTTTTGTTACCGCTAAGTGCTCCTCTTATTTCGTTTTTCTCTTTTTTTTATGTGTTCTTCTTGTTACTCTGTTGCAACAAAGTGCAGCACAGAACAATTGCAAAATTGCACTGGGGCGGGAAAAGTTGATTGACCGTCATTGTTGTTGATTTGACAAAAACACGCACAGTGGGCGCGAGGGGCGGTTAAGGGTGTGATGTGGCCCACTGTAAGCTGTCATCGGCAATTGACCGAAAGACCGTTATGCTATGGAGCTCAGCCCCTCTCCCTCGCTCCCTCGCTCCCCCAGTGGACCTTGTCCAAAAGGTTCTCAGTTAGAAAGAGACGGACGGCGGCCGGGGAGAGCGAGAGAGAGTTGCCAAGTTGTCTGTCGATCGATCGCCATTTACAAATTTACAAGATTGTCAATCAACTTTTCGCTGCACTGCCGTTGTTATTGGCCAATTGATTTCCTTCCGCCTGCGGCGGCCGACAACGTTGACCTTTTCAGCTAACAAGGTCCAAACAAAATGCGAAATACTTTCGTAAATACATACATATGTATGGCCCAGAACGCAGCCCGAAGACAAAAAAGCTAAGAGTCACGCAACAAGCGAAATTAACTAAGCAATGAGTGCATCATTTTATTTTTGGAACTCAATCAAATCAATAGCAATAGCAAGGCAATGCGGCCACAGCAGAACAGCTGGCCTCGACAGGTTTCTCGATTTCACCTACACGCGCAATTCTGGCATCGATAACTTATCGTTTGGTGGGACCAAGATTTGCAATTGAGCGATTATTTCGATGACATTGCCCTTTACTTAATCAGCTTTGTAGTAAAATGACCTTAGATAAAATGATAAATGACATTCTTTACTCTCTGAAATTAAACAGCCAACTTTCATTTTGTTAAAAAATAATGACTTCGTCATAAATTGACTGGACTATCTAATGTAAAGCTATAAAAATGTAATTCTCGGAAAATGTTATGAACTCAAACAAAAAGTGACAACCTTTAATGTTTGAACAACTTTGTTTACAGTTAGCTACAGTTTATAACTTAAGATGAGTAATTTTTATAGACACACAATATCTGACGTCAATGACAATGAATGCACTAAAAATAATTAATTAGTCCTAATAAAGTCCTTGAATTACAAAGCTATTACTATTGAAAATTGCACTGATTTCTTGATTTACTTTGTGGCTAATAAACGGTTATTTCAATGACACATCGTTTTTACGAAAATCAATAGTTGGCCCAGGGTCTTTTTCCGAAAGATAAATACCAAGTAAAGTTTAAACTTTTTAAATGCTTGTGAATGTATCAGTTGGTTGGTAGTTTGTAAACTTTTGCGGTCGATGAATATATGTCCTTGCCTTTTTATTTACAAACTGGGCGTGTGAATATGTATAACAGTTATTTGTTCTTAAGCATCCTTAAAATATTGCTGAATTAAATTTTAATGTTTAAATTGTATTTTGCAGTGCGCAGCTATGACAACCACGCCAAGTGCGGACTGGTGTGGGTGCCCCATGTGGTGGCCTACAGGTGCCGCACCTGCGGCATCTCGCCCTGCATGTCGATATGCCGGGACTGCTTCAAGAAGGGCAACCACACAAACCACGACTTCAATATGTTCCTGTCGCAGGCGGGCGGTGCCTGCGATTGTGGCGACACCTCGGTCATGAAGGCGGAGGGCTTCTGCAGCGATCATGGAATCAACAACCGGGTCAACCGAGATCCCGTGCCCAATAATCTGTTGGCGGTGGCCGAGGCCATTATGCCCAAGCTCCTGTTCCGCCTGCTGCAGCACTTCCGCGAGCACAGCGACACCGCGCTGCAGGTGCACGCGATGACCTCGTACTCGTGCGAGGAGTTCGCCAACATGCTGATCGATCTGAACAACATGGGCGAGATAATGCGCAAGGTGATGACGCGCACGCTGATCAATCCGGAGGTCTACGCCTATTTCATGGAGGCACCATGCCAGGACACACGGAACGGACGATTCCTGAAGGCAAATCGGGAGAAGTACGAGGATGCCGTCAACAGATTCCCCAACCCAGAGCCACCCGATGAGTACAGGGATCTGCCGGCGCTGGGAGACAAGCTGGTGCACACCACGCTCCTCGAGGAGTTCATCTTCTGGACATTCAAGTTCGAGTTCCCACAGACGCTGGTCTGTTTCCTGCTCAACATGCTGCCCGATCAGGATTACAAGGTGAGTGATGATAGGATTTAATATTTTTTTTTTTTTTTTTTTTTAGTAGCCAATTTAATGGCTATAAAACGTAGAGTACAATTATGAATATGAACAAATAACATAAAATACAATACAGAATGGCTATTAAAAATTTGTAATAACTTATACAACAACAATACAATAACGAATTACTGCTTTAGGATGAAACAAGGAGTTTTTTTTTTTTTTTGGATTGTAACACATGGAATTTATTACATTGATCAGCCAATTTAATGGCTATAAAACGAAGAGTACAAAAATGAATATGAACAAATAACATAAAATATAATACAGAATGACGATTAGCTTTAGGATGAAACAATGAGTTTTTTTTTTTTATTGTTTTTGTTTCTTAACGCTACAAGTTGTATAACTTATAAATAACTGCCCTAGTCACAACGGATATTCAATTTTATATTCGAACAAAATTGGTTCTTAAGTCTGATACTTATATCATTTTCTTTCTCGCCCCCAAAAGGAACACCTCACCCGCACATTTGTGATGCACTACAGTCGCATACCGTCGGTGCTGGAAATGTCCCGCGATCCCGACACGCTCAGCAACCGCGTGGTCCACATGAGCGTCCAGCTCTTCTCCAACGAAAGTCTGGCCCTCAAGATGGTCAACGAGTTGTCGCTGCTGCACGTGATGATCATCAGTCTCAAGCTGATGATGTCCAAGATACTCATACAGAATACGCTGCATGGTGAGTTTTTTGTTTGCATTCTTAAACTGAACTGATAGAATATGATTTTCCCCACCAGATCCCAGCAAGAATTTCCACTTTGTCATCGACTGCACGCGTCAGGTGATGAAGGACCACTGCTACTGGCCGCTAGTCTCCGACTTCAACAACGTCCTATCGCACGAATCGGTGGCCCTGGTCTTTTTGCGGGACGACAACCTGATCGACATGTGGTTCCAGTTTCTGCAGATGCTCCAGGGCATGAATGTCAATGTGCGGGAGACGGCTTCCCATGTGGAATTCGAGCCGAATAGCTATTATGCCGCGTTCTCCTGCGAACTGGAGGCCAGCGCCTATCCCATGTGGTCGATTATCTCGCACCTGCAGGACGGAACGCATGCCCACCTGGCCAAGAAGATCATCAACTACTGTGTGACGACGCTGCACGAGTGGCTGGACTCTATTTACTTCATGGAGGCGCGTCTATCGATGGTGGGTGTTTACTTTCTCTTGAAAAAAATATATAATATATCATATGTTCTTGCAGGAGGAGATGATGCAGGCCTCGTTCCACTTTCCACTGCATCGGTATCTGGCCGCCTTCGTCTGCCAGGCGGTCACCAAAATGGGCATAAGTCTGAACGACGTGCTGCCCTCGCGGCCTTATCTCCTGCCCCTCCTGATGATCCATCCGCTGCGTGTCCAGGTGAGTCCTCCTATTATCAGCATTAAATACAAGCAGTGCTTCGTTTCTCTCGGTTCTCTTTATTTGTTTCTCTTTTCGTATGGCTAAATTCCAATATAATTTTAGTTATATTCTTTTGTCTCGCCTGATTCTGCGTCCTCCTCCTTCGGTCTCTCACTTAGACTACGCGACAGTAATTGCAAGTGTGTATTGATAGGTAGTGTAAAACTAAGAAAGCTATGACATATGTGTGCGGGTTGGAACAGCACCCTCTAGAACTTCTTCTTTGGCACCTGAACGTGGGGCGTGAAGTCGTAGGTGATGATCTTGGGGCCCAAGAAGCCGCCGTAGCCGTTGCGGCCCTTGTAGTAGATGCCAATGCCGGCCAGTGGAACTGGTGGATTCGAGATCACGTCCTGAATGTCCACGAAGGGCACGGTGCTCTGGGCGGCATCCTTGTCCAGGCCCGTGTTGGTGAAGTCGATGCACTGATTGTGGCGCGACAGAGGTATCGAGTGGGTGATTGTCCGCGTGGACACGTCCGCGTTATCCAGGCGCAGTTTCTCCCTGAAAGTGAAGATTAGTTTCAGTTGGTTTCGGTGGAAGTAAGAATCTATATATATATATACCTGCGTGCCCCGCTGACATCGGTATTATCGTTGGACTTCCAATAGCTGTTGCTCTCCGGCTGGATGAGCTGGCCCGTCTTGAAGTCGAACTCGCTGTAGTAGGCCTCCAAATTTAGATGAGTGCCAATCACACGGAACCGCACGCCGGTGATCACAAAGCTATTGTCATCCGTGTCCACGTCGTCCAGATCGATGGAGCGACTCTCGTAGCTGAGCATGTGATAGTCGACGCCCTTTTTCACGTCCCGATCGAAGAAGTTGTACGTCTCCACGGGCTTCCACTCCAGAGTGCTCTGATTGACGGCGCCGCGAGGCAGGAGTTCGCCCTCCTGGATTTGCAGGTGAAAGATGCGGTTTTTCTTCACGAAACGCAGGCCAGTCACGATTCTAAACGATACGTAGTGATTAGTTTTGTGATCTTTCAAGATTTAGTAAGCACAGAAAAAAAATGGTAATGGTAATTTTGATATTTTTTAAAGATCAAGTTGTTAATATCATTTTGATATGCATTTGCTCAAAAAATACTACATTTGGTATTTTTTATGATATGATAAAATATCATGTTGATATGTTTGAAACTTCATTGATATGAAATAAGGTAGAAATAATCCTATTTCATATCGGTTTTTTTTTTTTCTGTGAGTAACCCACCTGTTGCGCTTCACATCGGCGATCGTGTCGCGTAGGTTGAAGAAGCGATCCGACTTGAGACCCTGCTCATCGCACAGGCAGAAGCAGTAGCTGCAGTGCCAGAGGAGGTATCGCCACCAGCTGTCCACCTTGGTGGTGCCCCTGGTGCACTTGCCGCGCTGCCCAAGGACGCGTCCGTTCTCGTACTCGATGAACTCGTAGCGCCGGACGCTGTTCTGCGGCGACGGACACACCCACATGTCGGAGTCGACGAACTGGCAGTTGTACAGGCGACCCGTGCACTTTGGCTGGCGGGAACAGTAGAGATCCTTGAAGCAGCCCTCGCTGCGGGTGGACTGATAGAAGCCGCAGGTCTCGCGGCACGTCTCCTCGTTATTCAGATCCACCTCGTTCTCGATGTAGCCCTGCAGGAGTCGCGTGACCTCGTCGTAGGTTACACCTGCTACATGCTTCGCCGGATCGCAGCGATAGACAATACGATCCGCTCGCAGCATTACATCCTTGAGCACTTTTAGTGTGCGTTCCGTCCGCTTCTCGTAATCCGATCGCATGAGATCCGCCTCCTGGGTGTAGTTGCCCTTGCCGTAGACCCGCAACATCATCCACGAGAACTCCATCATGGTGTAGGCTTTCAGTTCGGTGAGGGCTATGTCGGCATATAGCGAGTATATGAACTGCTGGGCCGATTGCATCGTATTGCAAATCTGATTGGTGGACACCTGCAAGCGGGAGTTATGGGGAAAGTCATTAATATGGTTAATAACCAGCTGTTTTGGCATTCTTTGTGAAATGCAACTCTTGTTTTTAGCTCTAATTAGCCGTCCACATCTGGCTGTAAAAATCTCTGGCATTCCCTTGTAGTAGAATGTACATATAACACGGTAATTACGGATCGCGTGGGGCTGTAAGATTAGCCTTCGTTACAATAGAAATTCGATAAATTAAAGATTATTTGAATCGGTTTCGGGATTGTGTAACAAAGAAAAAGGGAACTTCTTCTTTGTGTTTAAAAGATACCCTAACTATTTATAAACCCCTGAATGATCTTTTATGATACTTTTTGTTGAGAAGGGTCAACTAACTATCATGGCCCGGTAGTAGAGGGTCTGGGCAACCATCACTCGTTCGATTTCCTGCAGGATGCGTGGTATCGAGGCGGTGTTATCGTTTTGCAGGATGGCCCTGGCGAGATTTAAAACGGCCAGTTCATCCAGTTGACCGCTGTTGTTCTGCTTGACAAAGGTGTCCTATGTGATATAGTAAAGAGATTTGAGTTATTATGATCTCTCAGCCCAGTTTAGAAGGCAGAAAATACCTTGTAGGCCTCGTATAGCTTGCTGATATAGATGAGATCCTTTTCCAGCAGTGTCCATTCATAGTGATTGAGGATCTCGTAGCGATGCTCCTCAAAGTTGCGACCCATGAGCGTCTTCGAATCGAAATCCCGATGCGAATCGTACACTTTCCTTATCTGCGTCTCCTTATTATTCTGGCTATTGGCCGTTTTGGCCAGATAATCCCACAGGGAGCGTTCCAGGGCAATATACTCGGTGCGCAGGGCGTCCACTTCCAGTGTGGGAACGCGTGGATGCATCCATTTCTCGGCCGATGCCGATTTCGTATTTCCACAAAACACAAGTGCAACAACAACAACAAACAGAGCGATAGGCGCCGCCATATTTACTCGCCCGATAAGTTATATCCGCCCAGCGAATATCAAAAAACGGGGACTTCCTTGTATTTCCAAATAGTTTAGCCTTGAGCTTCTTCTTCTTCTCAACTGCTAGATTTTAGTAGTGACTTTCCAGTGGAAAGGGCAAGCTAGCTTTCCACACTTCCTTGAACTGGAAACTGGAAACAAAGAGGCCGAATCGAATCACGTTTTAGGATTCCCTTTCCCGATTAACAGATTCCACGATTTTTTATTATTTGCGATTTACTTTAATTCGCGCTCGCCTCGCCTCTCGCCATATAATTTCAGCTGGGTGTTGTTGTTCTGAGTGCTGTTCGGCTACTGTAATTTTTCAGTTTCTGTTTTAAAGCGCTCCACGCTCGGCGAGTGTTTGTGTTGGTGTGCTCGTTGGAAACACAATACAAGAAAAAAATATAAAAAAATTGCTGACTGAAGCTCTTTTTTCGTGCATTGTTGTTGTTCTTTCGACGACCAGCCGATGTGAGAAGCGTAAACACACACACACACACGCACGCCGTTTGACTGTGGGCAGCAATCACGAATTGAGCGAATTTTGTTTGATTCTTCGGTTGCACCGCACACACCAAAATAATACCCTACACTTTGAGCTTAATTATACAATCGATGGCGATCATTTTGGCACTTGTAAGCCCAGCAATCGATAACTAGAAAGTTGTAGTGGCTTTGTTTTTGTTACTCTCTCTAATTGGTATGTCAAACAGCTGTGTGAGGTGAGAGTGCGTGAGAGCTCTCTCTCTTTGACGCAATTGCACCAACAAAGAGATGGGGGCTCCTCTCTCCGTGCTCTCTTTTCGCAGCATGGGGGCAGCGCTGCTTCTGGTTTGCTGCATTGCCCTCTGACGTTTGTTTGTGGACTTTTTGTTTTGTTTAACTTGTTTCGCAGTCTTTTGTTGACACCAGACCTTTGACCTCACGCAAACACACACACAGACACAAACGCAGACCCCTCGAGAACCGCAAAAAAAGGGGGGAGAACTTATGCGTGTGTGTGTGTGCGTTTGAGGCTTTAACCGTTATTTGGCGACAAAAGAAACGGTGACTAATACACTGCACGACTTTCTTTTGCCGAAAAAAAAACCGCCACCAGAAGAGAGACTTAAGTGACGCGTCAACCGGAAAGTCGAGTTTACAACGCTTAATACCTAGAGACTATACCTATATCAAATCCCCGGCGAACATCATTTGTGAATCATCCGGTTAGCAGGCATGCAGGAAGCAATTCGCAAATTGACACCCCATTCACGATCCGTATTATTACAGTGGGACGTGCCCGAGTTCGAACCACCCTACAAAAAAAATTCCGACTTTCTTCTGGTTTTCTAGTTTTTGCAGCTAGAAAACTGTAAACCCAAAATTCGACCATAAAAGTTAGACTATATTACCTCATAGGCGGTGGTCAGTTGCTGGAGCAGATTGGTGGACGTTGTATTCGAGGTTCTATCCTCGTTTCCGAGCAGTGTGATATGCAGGCGATCCATCAGATGGTGCACCGAATGGGCATTTGGCGAAACCGTCCACTCGGCAAATGTTATGAGCGTTGTCATCTCCAACTTATCCTTGTAAGCCTCGTACTTTTGCATCTGCTGATAGCGCGATGAGATCCTATTGATTGTATCCGAGATGTCGTTCATCTTGGCCATAATGGGAGCGTTGTTGTGCATGAAACTCGTCACCGATTCGATGGCCAAGGCAACGTATTGAGCGTGCTGAAGTGGGTTTTTCGGGAGGTTAGTCGTGATTTGGGAGATGGCGAAGTTTCTATACCCTTGCAGTTAAATAATGAAATAATATAAGAGCTAACCAATGTGGTAATGCCCACTGTGAGGGTATAGAAACAGAGTTTAAGATCGGGTTTAACCCACTGCTGACTCACCTGATCTTCGGTGTGGTCTATTTGCTTGCTGACTTCTTTCAGGCGCTGCAAGACCTTCTTTTGCTTCTCCCTCATCAGGGGGAAATCAATGTTGGCCGCCAGGGGGGAGGATTGTACAATGTCCCAGGCCTTGAGGACCCCAGAGGTGACCTCCTTGACCACATGTATGATGTCCAGGACATCCTCGATCAGCCCCTCCGTTTGTGTGGGCTGTTGGAAGGCCACCAAAGTGGCCAGCAGCAGGGGAAGTCCCCATTTCACAAAGCCCATTTTGCAGCCGGCTGTGCGTGTGTGTTGTATGGTGTTACTTGAGTTTTGTGGTGTATTTATTTACTGTGGAATCCGATGATCGCTGGGGATGTTGTGCTGATGATGGGGGTGCCTTTTCTAAATATTATGATTAAATGTTATGTGCAAACACACACACACACACTGACACAGGCTGGCACGCAACTGCGCCCGCTGAAAATCAAAACGCAAATGCCATAGCCACAAAAACAGAGAGTCGAGTTTTGGCTGGGATTGGATTTAATCGGCTGCGCTGCTCTCGCTGCTCCGAGATTGATTAACAAACGTACAGATGTGGGTTTACTTGTCTTCTTTTTTTTCTTTTTACCGCTTGCAGACACCCCGTCTCGCACACACACACAAGCAGTCAGATGTGAAGAGAGCAGCTCAGTTTCTTTGTTTTGTACGGTTCTTTTTCGGTTGGAGGGGGAGGGCAGAGCGACAGCATAGGTCACAGCATAGGTGGGAGCGAGATGACAGGCTCAGAGTTGAGTTTTTGAAACGAGTTTCGATAACTCTGCGTGCGTGTCATCGATGTGTCATGGCTATCGCACTCGTGGTGTACCGTTATTTTTTTTATTTTTACTTGGCTTAAAAAATAAATTTAAAAATCTTTTTTTTTTTTTTAATTTTTGTGTCAAGTTTTTTATTTTATTTTTAAGAATTTTTTGTATTGGGTTTGCATATAAACTATTTAGCAATGTTCTATATTTCATGATTAATCGTTTTAATCTTGTTAAAAAAAATATGAATCTTTTCATTTTGGAAGCTTAAACCCTTAAAATATATTTAAATTTTATTTACTATATACATATTAAATATCTAATTTTTTTAAATATTTCTTATTACCAAATTTTAAACCATATATTTTGATCTTAATAATTTAACCAATTTTAATATGCATTCCCCCTGCTTCTTTCAGAGTTTCTTCTACGAGATCCTGGCCGGCAAATGGGTGCGCAACGGACTGCAGATCAAGGGCCAGGCGATGACGTACATCCAGGCGAACTTCTGCAACTCGATGGCGGACATGGACCTGTTCTTCCTGCAGATCTGCGCCACCAACCTGCCGCAGTACTTCTTCCTGCAGAACACCATCGAGCTCTTCGACGTGGGCCAGTGGCTGGAGACGGCGCCGCTGAAGCAGCCGCAGAAGGCGGAGCAGTCCTCGATGCTCGAGGGCTTCCTCACCTTCCTGGCCACCTTGGTGACGAGTCGCACGAACCTGGGCAACGACGAGGCCACCCAGTGCATCATCGAGATCAGCGCCCTGCTGGCCACCGAGAACAAGACGCATTCGCAGCTCCTCGAGCTGATGCCCGAGCGATCGGGCAATGTGCACACCAAGAACTTTGAGACCTTCCTGAAGAAGCTCTCCGTCTACAAGGCTCCGTCGAGTGGGAGCGAGAACCTGGAGCAGGGTCTCTTCACGCCCATCGACGAGGTGTGGGAGAAGCACTACGATCCGCTTCACGTCCTCCTGCGAGCGGTCCATCGGCGGGACTTCCAATCCTCGCTGGATCGCTTCACCAACTATGTGAAGAGCAAAGAGAAGATGCCGGCGAGTGGAAATCTCTGGCCACCGTTCCGCCTGCCGCAGGCTCTGCCCGCCACCAGCTCGTTCAGTGATCCCTGCAAGATTCTCAACTCGCGCGTCTTTCACTCCACCATTCTGTCGATATTTTTCCGTGCCGTTCACACGCGTGATGTTTCGGAACATCTGCTTGCATTGGCCGTATTTCTACTGGAGATTGCCGTGGAGACGAGTGACGATGTGGGCAGTGGTCCCGGTGATCGTGCTCCGCCTGCCCTGGCTGCCATGGTGGAGTCGTCGGGCGGACCGGGCTACCATGGCTACGGTTCGGGTCGCCAGGAGCCGCCCAAGTTGTTCCAATGCTATCCCACGGACAATCTCAGCTGCAATCTGCGGCATGTGGTCAAGAAGGTGTCGCTCAAGTCACGCGATCCGCAGGTGATCACCTCGAGCTATCGCTCCAATCCGTTCTACTCGGATCTGGACTTTGATGTCGAGGCGGATCCAGAGTCGCAATCGATGCGCATGATAGGCCACGTGGACTCCGAGGGAGATGAGGCCACCGGCGGTGGCGGTGGTGGTGGTGGCGTCGCTAATCTGGGACCGGGAACCCTCAGTCGCAGGAATGTCTCGCAGGCTTTGGTGCCGATGCGTGTGCCTGGCATGGAGGTGGCTCTGCCGCCAGATCTTTCCGTGGTCGCCGAAACGGGCGTGGTGATCCGGCAGGACAGCAATGACGATGAGCTGCTGCGCGAGGGCGATCATGCCATGGACATGAGTCCGGCGGCAGCCCTCGATTTCCATTTCCCGCTGCAGCAGATTACGCTGCCCGAAAGCGGAATGGAGGTGGCCATTCGGCGGGATCTTCTCCTCGCCGAGACCAATAATATGGGGGCCATCGGAGGGGGAGGCGGAGGCGGAGGAGCCAATCCTTCGGCCACAACACCCGGCGTGGCCTCCAACGAGATGTTCTCACCCACCACGCCCACGGGCAGCGGTATGCTGCTGCCCTTCCAGCGGGTTCAGCCCGTCGCGGTGCCCTCAAGTAGCGTCAACATGGACATTGTGCCCTCGAATGCCCTGGGCGCCGGCGGAAGCTTCACCTCGGGCGTGAGTGGCGGCGGCGGCGGCACGGGACGCAGGATGAACTACGAGACGGGCGGAGCGCGCAAGCGATCGGTGGACATTGCCATCGGCGGGAGCAACAAGGATGAGTTGCATTTGGACGAGAGCATTCTGTCGCTGCTGCTCAAGCTGCATTCCCAGCTCTCGGGCACCCTGGATAGCTTCTCGCTGAGCGACGGCGAGGAGCAGTCGCAGTCTGGCGAGGATTCTTCCTCCATGGATGTGGACTGCAACGAGGCGAGCACCTCGAGCACCGCTTTGGCCGAACGAGGACGCAGCAGGCGCAAGAACTACAAGAACATCCATGTATCCGCCTCGCGCATCGGCGACGGGCCCTTCTTCATTGGCAACCTGCTGCGCAAGATAGCCAAGCAGGATGAGCAGTGCGCCCTCAGCATCGACGACATCCGGGCGAGACTCTGGCCCAATCAGCGCGAGCGGCAGGCGGAGGCGAAGGCGCGCGAGACCAAGGAGAAGGAGGAGCGACGCAAGAAGGCGCGCGAGCGACAGCAGAAGATGATGCAGGACTTTGCCAACAAGCAGAAGCAGTTCATGCAGTCCGCCGCCGCGGCGGCCAGCAGCATGGACTACGGGCCGGAGGACGAGGATGACGAGGAGCTGCTGTACGAGGAGCAGCCGCGCGAGAAGGAGTACGATTGCATCATCTGCAATTGCACAACGCCGAGCACCGAATCGAATCCCATCGGCCTGGTGGTGCTGGTCGAGTCCAGCGGCATTGTGGGCCATCGGCGGCGGATCGCCGAGCGACTGCCGCTGCCGCTGAATGTGGAGGATGAGGATCGGCTGAGGCACAGCACCCGACTGGCCGCCGAGTTTGGTCGGCGCACCGAGCTGCTGAGCCTCAAGTTCGGCGACGAGTCGTGGTATCTGTCGAACAATATGGCCTACGACAATGGGGTGCATGTGCAGTCGTGCGGCCACCACGTTCATCTCAGCTGCCTGGAGGCGTACCTCAAGACGCTGTACACCACCCAGCGGCAGCCGGTGCAGGATCGCGGCGAGTTCTACTGTCCCGTCTGCCGGCAGCTTTCCAATTCGGTGCTGCCGCTCAGTCCGCAGCTGGACAGGCCCACGCACATTGTGCGATCGGGCAATCAGCCCTTCGAGCGCCTCGTCGCCGACCTCACCGATCTGATCAAGGAGAACGAAACGATACCGGTAGGAACAGTAACCTTTTTATATCTTTTTATACCTGTTACTTGTAGAGTAAACCGCTGAGATCTTGGAAACAACAAAAGCTAGAGGGTTGAGATTTCCTATGCCTATTCTTGGGCTTCCCAAGCAGCGCAAGTTTATTTCAGCTGAGCGCCACGCCCCCTCTAACGCCCACAATGGCCCACTAAAGATTTCCGAGAAATATATTTATACCTATCGAAATGTAGAAGCCATTTTTGAAACTTTACCTTCTTACCTTCCAGCAGCCCACAAAACTAACCGAGGCCATGGGCCATGCCATGGAGGTGATGACCAACATAGCCCAGCGCAAGGTCAAGTACGCCTCGATCACGTTCCGCAAGCTGTTCATCTTCGTCACCTCGATAGCGCGCACGAATCTCGAGGCGGAGATCATCCAGCGGGGCGGCTCGCTCTGCTCGGCGAACGCGACGCGCTACAAGCCGAAGCGGGACTGCATTGTGCCGCTGCTGCACGTGCTTTCAGTGCATGTGCGCGTCCTGGTCGAGTGGCCGCTGTGGAGCAGCTGGGCCTCGCTGGCCGGCCTGCCGGTGAGCGAAACGGAGCCGCTGCCGGCGCACTGCCTCGAGCTGATTCCCAGCCTACTGGCCGATCCCATTGCGCTGCTGCTCAAGTTTATTCTGCTGGCTCCGCTCCACTTGGATCAGGGTGAGTTTAGCTGGATTATATATACGTTAAACATTATTGTAATACCTTCCCTGCCTTACAGACTACTTCACTTGCATGGTGAAGGTGATGTACAACCTGCTGTACTACCAGATTGTCGTCCAGCTGTGCGTCACGCTCACCGACCTGGAGTGCGATCACATTCTCAAAGTTTACGGCAGCAGTGGCGCTGAATCGCAGCCAGAATCCGCTGCCGGAGCCTCGGGCAGCTCGTACAATCGTCGCCGTGCTGGCAGCCAGCAGCAGAGCTCCTCGCAGCTGGGCAAGGCCATGGCCCTGGTGCTCAGCCAGACCAACGAGCTGGCTCACCTGCGACGGGATTGCATACCCAGCACCAGCAGCTCGGCGGCGGCAGCAGCGGCAGCTGGCTCATCCTCCGCCTCGGCAACAGCTACCTCCTCCTCCTCCGCATCCTCCTCGCCGCACGAGGTCAACCTCAAGTCCATGGAGCTGCAGCTGCAGTCGCTTTGCCTGCCTTTCCTGCGCGTGGCCGCCCTGCTGCGCCAGCATCTCTATCGCCACGAGATGCCAGAGATCTCGGCGCCTGGGCTGGAGTTTGTGCGTCTGGTCTACTACTTGGAACTGGTCACCGATTCGATGGACTGGGATTGCTTCAATGCCAGCAAGGGACTGTGCTTCATACCCGGCACCGAGCAAACGCTGCCGCAGTTCTGGTGCCAGCAGCTAATGGAAGTGCGTCCGCCGGCGGATACGGTCAGGGAATTGGTGCTCATCAATCAGCACTCGCTGTGGCAGCAGCCGCGACTTCTTGAGCTGCCGCGCGAGTACGAACGCTTGTTCACGGTTGGTTTTAATGGCTTGGCTTTAATTTGAATGAGCAATAACTGAGTTTTTGTTTCTATAACGCAGTACTACCACGAACGACCGTGCCTCAACTGCTACAAAGTGCCCAAGGAGAGCTCCATCTGCCTGCTGTGCGGGACGATCGTGTGCCTCAAGCAGAACTGCTGTGCGGAGAACGACTGCTGCGAGGCTGTGCGGGTGAGTAGTCTATATATTTGCTTGAAACTTAATCTAATTTACGTTTGTATTCCTGCAAAACAGCATACGCTTTCGTGTGGCGGCGGCATTGGCATCTTCTTGGTGGTCACCTCCACGTACATCATCGTTATCCGCGGACGACGAGCCTGCCTCTGGGGTTCACTCTATCTGGACGACTTTGATGAGGAGGATCGCGATCTCAAGTGAGTGTTTGCTTATCCAGAGATTAAAAAACAAGATAGTAAACCCCTTTTATTCGATTTGCAGGCGCGGCAAGCCTTTGTATTTGAGCCAAGATCGCTTCAACCTGCTCGAGTCGCAGTGGCTGTCCCATAAGTTTGCTCACACAAAACACACCTGGGTGTTCCACCGGGATCTCTTGTGAAATATGGAAGATCTACTGCGCAGCATCCAGGAGTTGGTTGGCCAGATCTGAGATGCCCGATGGGATGCCCGGCCGCTCCTCGCCTAGTCGAACCAGTCAACCACCCGCAACTGACACAAATCCAAAATCCCACACCCCTTTTGTCCCCTTATTTTAAGCGAGTTTCGCTGTTGTTTCGGAGCTTCTTGACGCGGAGGAGGAGTAGTAGGACACCCGACCACGTTCTGTCCGCTTTCCCTTTGGGTATCCAAGTCCGTATACGCATCCGCATCCCTCCCCCAACACACAGCCCCCAACGCACCTAGAAGCAACATCGGCAATTTGCAATTAATTGATATTACACACACATTTTTATATATAAACAATACTTATAAATATGGATGCAAAACGAAAAACCACAGCTAAAAGATTATTTCTTGTTCAACTGAGAAGCGCGCCTAATAATCCAAAATCCGACTAATCTCGCGAGGATCATGAATATTTAACAAGCTATAAATATTTAAATATGCACCCGAAGACGAAGAATAAAACCCGAAGATAAATCGAAATTTAAGCACCGCGCGGGTCTCTCTAGTTGCGTTCTACCTAAACTAAGTCTTAAGTCCCTAACTTTATAGGTTTTTTTTTTTAGGAAAACAAAGGCAAGAAGGAAAATAACAATTTAACGAATGTAACACAACACACACGATATAAATAACAATTGTCTACTTTGGCCTCATGAGTTTGTGCATGTAAAAAATGAAAAAAACGATTATATAGTTAATATATATAAATACAATATACACTAAAATTAATGCTACAAAAACGACAAAAAAAAAATATTTAAAAAAAAAACCAATAAACGAAAAGCGAATTGTGAAATGCGTAGAAATTAGTTTGCAAATACCCCATTAAACATAAATATATTATGTAATTAAGTGTGGAAGCGAGAGGGAGGAAATCTGAATTGGAAACGCTAGGATCGGATGTGAATTTGTTATTAGTTTTTACAAATTGTGTGTTATGTGGGCGATGGAAATTCGGTATTGCTTCAACACAACACAAAAATTATTTTGAGCGATCAAACTGACCCACTGCAAAGATTAGATAATATTTCAAGAACTAGTATAAGGTTTTTCAAGAAATTCAAAAAGTTGAACCTGGTTGTCTAGTAATTGGTATACATATATATATATATATATATTTCCATCGAGTTATAGAGCAAATGCATGTGAGAGTTACGCAAAAAGACATTGGCAGAATGGCTGCGAACTGTAAATACACTGAAAACGAAGCTGCATCTTGTATAATTAATATATATATTAAATATCACATTTTACCTTTCCTTTTTTTTTTTGCTAGTTATACAAATCTAGATGTTTCGGTTGGCCTCCTTTAGACTAACTAAATATACTACTCTGCAAAAATACAGAAATACAGAAACACACACATGATTTAAGAGATTAAATGGCACAGCACAGCAATACACTGAAAACAAAACATATACACACACACACCCCCTAGTACTCTAGTACACCGACAAAAAGAAGATGTAATGTAAACATGCATTCTGAGTGACAAACCGAAAACCCTGAATAAAATTGAAAATCATTAAAATCATATAATATTATAATTCGAATCGGATTTCAGTGGATTTCAGTGCATTTTGCCGCATTCGGAGCAGGGCTGCTTGGTTTGGCGCAGGGCCAAGTTGAGCATCTTGTCCATCCTGTCGATGTGCTGCTCGAATTCCAGGTGGGTGGCCATGCGGATCATGTTGCGATCCTCGAGCACGTGCTGCAGTTGATCCAAAGCCCGATCGATATTCACCCCGGGCAGCGTGTCCTCGAACATAATCTCCATTTCGGACTTGCCCAAGTCGGCCACCGCATCGGCTATTAGATCGATGTCGCTATCGATCTTGAAGTGCTTGAGATACTTCTTTTTGCCGTCCTCCGATGTGCTCGCTTCGTTTCCGGCTGCCTCTTCTACTTCCGCTTCCGTTTCCGGTTCCGGTTTCGGCATCGCCGCCAATTCCGCTTCGTATTTCTCCTTCAGCAATGTCGTCTCCAATCGCAATTCCGCCAATATTGCGTCCTCCAATTCGTAGGGGTTCTCGGTGGGTTTCTTATCCTTATTCTTTTTCTTAGGGTTTTGGTTTGGTTCATCACCAAAAACTCTTAAATACAGCTGATTTAAGGTGGCCAAATCGGCTGCTAGGTTGGGATCCGGGGACTCCTCCTCGGACTCCCTGGACTCCCTGGACTCCCTGGACTCCCTGGCCTCGTGACGCATCACCCGCACAAAGCCACCCTCATTGTAGGCATCCTCGTAGTCCAGCAAATCGGTGGCGCCCGGCGGGGTCTCCGGATCCTCGGTCTCCAGGACCAGGAAGCCCTTGGGCAGCTTGGCCGACGGGCGGCGAGTGCTCTTCGGGGTTTTGAACTCCACGGAAGGGACGGATCCCGAGGTCGAGGGTGTCTCCATCAGAGGATCCTCCTCCTCCTGCTCCAAGAACTTGCCCACAAACAGTGGCGGCGTTATGGCATTGCTGTGCTGCGGCTGCGGAGTGCCGTCCTTGCCGATGCTGGTCAGGAACAGAGGCTCCGGCAGGGAGCCCGGCTTGAAGACGCAGCAGGCCTCGAATCCCTTGGGCAGGAAACGCTTGGGCAGAAAGATGGGACGCTTGACGCCCTCGAGCCGGGGAAAAATGTCGCCGGGCAGCTCGAATTGCGGACACTGCTCGTCGTTCATGGTGGCCAGGGCCACGGCAGGAACATGCGGATGCAGGATCGTCGAGAGAATGGCCACCGTTAGCTTCCGCTTGAGCGGCACAAACATCACCACATTGCTGAGATCCGGCGTGTAGATGTTGTACTGCACGGGCACAATGCGCAGTGGATAGGGAGACGGTGGCTTCGGCGGTTCCGCCGGGTTGTAGACCATGGACAGGGATATCTCGTAGCGGAATAGGCGATCCTCCAGAGCGCTCACCTCGGCGGAATGATCCTGGGTGGAAAAAGGCGTGTAGTTGGCCGTGTAGCCGATCAGAACTTCCGGTTTCGGAGGAGTGGAAATGGGAGTGGGTGTGGGAACGGGAGTGGGAGTGGGTGTGGGAGTGGGCACCACTGTGGTCAGGGCAGCCGGCACCGTTTCCAGTAGCTTCTTGACCTCCGGCGGCATCTGAAAGTCCACGGAGCGCAGCCCCACGAAGAGTGGCGGCGTGGGTCCCTTGTGATTCGGCGGCATCAGTCCGGTGGGATAGAAGCGTCGTGGAATCACGCCAGGTCCAAAAACTCCGCCCGCTTCAAAGCCCACGGGAAGCAGCAGCTTGGGCATGAAGATGATCTTGTCCAGCGGCGCTCGACTCGGGAACAGGGAGCGGGGGACAGTCAGGTGGGGCGCCTCGCAGCCCTCGAAGAAGAGGGCGGCGGCGGGATTGTGCTGATGGATCTCCATCGAGAGACGGGCCGCCACGATGCGGTTGCTGTGCTCGTAGCAGATCTGCGGCATCACCAGACTGTGCAGATTGGGCAGGTACTTGGGATTCTTGATCACCACCATCTTATCCGCCGCTTCCACGCGCTTCACCTGGTGCAGCTCCAGCACCCCGGAACCGGGCTTTCCTGGAGTTACCAAAATGGGAGTCAAGTATTTTAATTGTAGGTGAGTTTAGAAAAAAATTTTTTTTGTATTATTTTATAATATTTTTCTCAAAAAGGATTGCCTCCTTCTTTATAAAAAGGATTCCCTCCTTCTTTATAAAAAAGGATTCCCTCCTTTATAAAAAGGATTTCCTCCTTCTTTATAAAAAGGATTGCCTCCTTCTTTATAAGTTACTTTTTTTTGACAGCTTGGTAGTAAAATCAAAAAATAATATAAAACTTAATTTTACATGCTAGCATTTAACTATTTTTCGCTGCTATGGAAATCGCGATGCGCTGAAGTGGAGAAGAATTCCAGCCATCTTCAGCGCTCCGCGATTTCCGGAAGATTCCTCGTTTACAGGATTATTTTTTTTTGACAGTTCGATAGGAGTCTCAAACGTCAAAAAAAGAGTAATAAAATAAAATGAAAAAAAAAACTGAATTCCACATGCTGAAACTAAAACTTTTCGGCGGAGACACGGAAATCGCGATGAGCTAAAGCTAAGAAGAATCCGATTGAGACCCCGACTGTCCTTTTTCTTACCACGGTTATTTCCACGCTTCTTCATTGTTATTTACTGTGGGAAACAATACACAAAAGCAGCAACGTAAGACCGAAAAAAAATATATGGCTATATTATTTAGTGAAAATAATTTAGAAATTGTGTTTGCAGTTGGAACGGAGTGATAGGTTTATAAACGTGAAAACTCTCGTGAATACTGAGATTTTGTGACCCGGTGTCGCTCTATATATACGGAATGACATTGACAGTAGAGAAGAGGGCTACTAGGCCAGGTTGGCTAAAATCCCAAAAACCAACTTTGACTCCGAATTCCAGGGCAGCTAAACTCCCAAAGTCAACTTGGACTCCGAATTTCAATTTTTTTAAAATCATGATTTTTGCAAAAACTTGACAAAAATTAAAATTCCCAGGTTTGAGTGCTTGGTTGATTGATTGGAAATATAATAAAAAGTTCAGAAAGGTATGACAATCCATATTTGGATCAATACTTCCATTGTTTCAGCCAAAAAAGTAATTATTTTTGCGTGGAAAAATCGGGATCCGTTTTTTTGGTAAAAATAAGAATTTTTCCTTGTTGTTTTTTGCTGTAACTCGGCCAAAAAATGTCCCACACCAAAAATACTTACTGCTTTGAACAGATAACAAGATAATACATAAATCCATGACACTTTTCGCGTTATCTTGAAAAAATGAAATTTTCGCCAATTTTCCATTTTTTTATAAGGGGGTACATCATGATTTTTTGCGAAAAATTTACAACAATTTAAATTCCTAGGTTTGAATGCCAATCGATTGGAAATTTAATAACGAGTTCAGAAAGGTATGGCAATCCATATTTGGATCAATACTTCCATTGTAACGGCCAAAAAACTAATTATTTTTGCGTGGAAAAATCGGGATCCGGTTTTTAGGTAAAAATAGGAATTTTTCCTTTTTTGTTGTAACTTGGTCAAAAATGGTCCCCGTCAGTAAGTGCAGGACGATGTTTCGTATCCTTAAATAAATCACATAAGACAACAACACACCACAGGGAAGAAAACTGCGCTTTGCTTTTGTACTTTCAATTGTTTAAATTTATTTGCTTGCATTTACAAAAAAAATCCGACCATTAAACAAACGATTTGCTTACCTAAATTAATAGAGAGACTACACAAGTGTGCGGCAAATAGGGGGCGGGACTTTGTTGGGGGCTTCATTGCAAAGGAGTCTCAGTTTCGTGGCTACGTGGCTACAATATCGGTTGCTTCAGTAAAAATATATAACTATATGTATATACAAAGTTTGTGGACTTGTTGTGCCTCCATTACAATGTGTGTGGTGTGTGTGGGGTGTGTGTGAGGTGAATGAGGATTGATTGGGATGGGATCATTCCATATGCTAAGCTAAGCCTAAGTCTTGGTTGCTATAAAACCTAGAGGTTAACAAATTTCCTTGTCATTGCTATTTAGTTTGTTTCGTTGGAGATTGGATGATTGAGTTTGAGTAGTTTGTGGTTGGTTTCTTGGTTTCTTGGTAATGTGGTGGCCGTTGGACCGTTGGGCTGTTGGGCGTCGGGCAAGCGGAAGGCACCTGGTCGTCCTCGGCTTGTTGCTGCATTCTGTTGAGTAGATATCCCGCCTCGATGTGGCTTGTCTATATAGCTAGTTTTTGGTTTCGTTATTCGCGCTGCTCCTGTTCTCCTTGTCCTCGTCCTTGTCGACCAGCTGCTCCGTTCTCGCGCCCTGATCCTGCAGCTCCTGCTGCTGCTGCTCTTGCTCAGTTAGCGTCTGTCCGGCGGCTGCCGAGGGTCCGCCGTCAGTCGCATCCTTGTGCTTCGCTCCCCAGTGCCAGTCGCGATCACGATGATGATCCTCCTTATGCCTAGCCTCTTCCTTGCCGCGCAAACTCGTCCTGCTGGTCGCCGGCGGCGTCGACTGCGTGGATTTGTCCGTCTTGCGCTCCAGCTGCAGATCGAGCTCCACGTCCGAATCCAGTTCGGTCTCCGAGAAGGACAGCGAGTTGCCGGCGCGCGGCACTTGAATGCGTCGTCGATCCTGTGCAAAGGTATAATAATTAAGTAGATTGAGTAAGCTATTATCCTGGTACACCTACCGTATTGAGCGTCGTTGGCTCCGAAATGTAGCCATCACAGTCTTCGTCCTCGCTGAAGAGCTCCGCCGTATTCACCGCGTACGTCTCCGGCAGCCGGCACACGATCTGCGCCAGATCGATGAACGTGTACTCGTTGAGCGAGGCGTGGTTGCCCCGCTTGGGTGGCTCCTTGTTGAACCACTGGTTGAAGCGGCCCAGCCGACCCGCCTTGGCCATGTTCTCGAAGTAGTTCTTCCCGAACACATAGCCCACATCGCGGATCTCGTCGAAGCTGCCGAAGGCCAGGGTCTTGTACTTGTCAATCGGCGGTCGGATGTACTCGCAATAGTCGGAGTTCTTGACCTCCTGAGGGGAATAAATAATAATCGGATAAGTGGCGATCTGATTTTCATACAAAAAAAAAACGCGAATTCTTAAGTTTTTGACAACTTCAAGTAGCTCACCTCCAGTTGGCGCACACAGGACACGTAGGCGAGACGAGATTGGATGTCCGGCAGGTCGGGCACCTTCACGGGCGACGTGAAGGGATTCCACTTCTTGTAGAGCAGCCACCAGCCGCTCAGGTCGTCGCCGTAGTTAGTGAGGTCGGTGTCGTCCTGAGATCCCACATCGATGGCGATTATGTGAGCAGCCCCCAGATTGTGCATCACATCGGCTAAATGGTGAAGTGGTGGCCAAGGAAATGGAGTGGCGAGCATGCGTGTCGTGTTTTCAATGTGGGATGCAAATGTTTGGTTAATTTTTGTTATTGGTATTACCAGTTAAAATATAAAAAAAAATCATTTTTTTAAACAGCGTTTACACTTGCGATTCTGGGAATAAAATCTTTAAAACTTTTTAAAGTAAAAAGGTATTGAAAGATTTAAAATATTAATTGAGTGGTAATTAAAACAAACTTTGAAATTCCTCAAGTTATTAGAACTCACATTTAAAAATTAAGATCGCAGTTATAAACGCTTTTTGAATAGTATTCTTGGCTTCCACAGCATTTAGGGCCTATTTCAAAGTTCTTTCCAATTTTATCTCATTTATTATTACGCGAATTCTTCAGATCTAGATTGGAAAATCTGGAAATTTATCAATTGGAATGGAAAGGGGCTTTGGAATGTGACCCTGGATGCTGGGGGACTTTCTTGGAATTCGATTCCCAAAACTGGAGCGGACGCAGGGGCGGCGCAGAGCGTTGGAAGGGGAATTGCAATTGTTGTGGATGTTGGAGCGTGGATCGTGGAACGCCGAGATGGCTGCTTTTTTATTTATTTTTTTCATTTTACCTGGCACGTTGTTCGTGTAGCAGCCATCGAGCAGCAGGTGGCCGTCGCGGTAATCACAAAATGGCGGGAAGACGCCGGCAATCGACATGCTGGCGCGGCAGTACCGCCACAGGTGTCCTGGTTTTTTTTTAGCAAACCACAGGTGGGACAAAACGACAACAAAACAACATTGTGGATTGTATTTGATGACACGGACACGTGAGTTTGTGTTTATTTTTGGGTTTATTCAGTTGTTGTGTGTGTGTGTGTGAGAGAGGTCATGTGTTTCAAAGATAAAGAGAGAGAGAGAGAGAAAGACACACTTTTATCCACGAAATAACGGTTTATTTCAGTGCTACAACTACAAATTAAATCGGGTTTACTTATACGCATACAACAAAATGGCCAACAACAACAAAAGGAGGGAAACAAACTAAAAAGCAACTCAAAAATACCATTATCGAAAACTAAATAAAACAGAGGGGAGGAAAACCAAAGAAACTTTGTGCACTCAGTCTTAGGTGTGTAGGTGTAGGTGTAAGTTCGTAACTGTGCGTGTTTGGTGTGTGGTTATGTGGGCGGGAATGAGACAGAGGGTGTAAAAAGAAATGCGATTTTACCGTTAGAAATGCAGGCCACGAAAACTATTTATCGATAGGCAGCAACAGCATTGCCAGCCCGAAAAAACTCTCAAACTTTTATACACATCTATAAGAACAAGAACAACAAATATAACAGCATCTCAAGGATCTTTGGAAACGGGTTCAAGAAACGGAGCGGAACGGAATGGAATGGAACGTGGGGAACGTGGAGCTCGGAACGCAGGCAAGCATGATCGAACAAGAGAAATTTCCAACACTCTGCGCGCTCTGTGTGCCAAAAAACTCAGCTCTAGATTGGAAATTGAAAGTGAGAATTTGGATTAACGCTCGGGGTTAAGTATTTTTTTTTGGTTTTTTTTTTGTTAAATCGTATTTGCTAGTTGCTAAGTGCTAAGTGCTAATTACCTGGCAGATTATTCACATAGCCGCCATCCAGCAAGAGGTGCCCATCTTTAGGATCGCACAACGGCGGCATATAACCACTGAGCGACATGGAGGAGCGTACGTAACGCCACAGAGATCCTGGTATTATATATCAATCAACGACAGACACATGCCAGCAATGATAAGTCGGTGGGTGTGTGTTTTTGGGTGTGTTTTTTTGTAGTGTGTTTTTCGGGGGAGGAGAAGAGAAAAATAAGAGATATTGAGAGAAAATTGCTTTGAGCTATCTTTTATTTTTTTGGTCGAGGATATGGGGAATGGGATGAAGATTATCGGGATGAGGAGCACCAATGGAGGGGGTTTTAATGGGAGCAGCGGTGGGAGGTTGTTAGGGGGGAGCAACAAGTTTAGCCTCTAGCAAAAAGCACAAGAGCCGATTTTTTTTTTTGAATTTTTGGGCACAAGCTTTCCAAACAACAACATCGACAAGAGCAACAACAATGAGATTTGATTTTATTTGCTAAATTTCAAATTCAAACATAACGGCACATTCGATTGGCAGCGCAACGGCGATAACTAGTCGATTCCACGGCAGAAAAGAACAGTTAGAAATGTGAAATGCCTCTAATAAACTGCGGGCCATGGAATGAGGCTGTGTGTGTGTGGGTGGCTGGGTGTTAGCGTGCTTGTGTGGGTGTCTCATTGTCTGGGGTTTCATTTTTGGGTACACTCAGTTCTAAGGCTACCAAAGGATCAAAAGGATCAGGAACCACAGAACGATACAAAAGCATATTGGAAAGAAGAAGGAACTAAAGGAGCATAAGTTATGGAAATCGCAGGAACGCATTGAACATAAAACAAAAGAACTCATTGACCAAAAGCAAAGAAAATAAAAAGCATATTAGAAATATTCTAATAGAGTTATCGTTAAAGCAATTAATGTTAAGTAAGCCATTGTAAAATTGTAAATGTTATAATTACTTAAATAACCAAGTAAAATTAATTTGGTAAAAGAATAAGCAAAGATTCATTAAAATTTAAAGTATTTTACATCTACTGGCTTTCAATATTTTAAGATTGATAAAAATATGAACACTAATGATTTTGATGTAAATGTAATAAAATAAAAATCTCAATGAAACCCAAATTAAATTGCAAATCATTTTCCAATAACCAAGAACCCCTATTTACCACTAAAACAGAATAGAAAGAGACAGATAATGACAGAGACAGACACATACAAAGCGAGAGAGAGAGAGAGACAGAGAGAGAGAGAAGGCAAATGCGGAGCGCGACTGACTCACCATTGGTGTGAATGCGATGGCAACTGGCGGTTATGTCGGTGGTGAGGGTGAAGTAGGGTATCCACAGGTCCTCGATGCTCACATCCCCAAAGGTGTCGTGGATCGTCTTGTTGAACTCCCGTCCGGAGAACATCGATGTGATCGGGTAGGTGAGGTCCAGTAGTTGTAGGAACCATTTCGTCATTTTCTAATGGAATAATCAAGTTATAGTTTATTTAAAATACAATTTTAGTGCCCATCCTGGTATTTATTTATGAAAATGAAGCTTCAAATATTATTGTTTTTTAGAGAATACAAAATAAATTAAATACCAAAAATACCTTTGACCACTCGCGCGCCTTTTGCGTAACCGTGGTGATGTTACGCTCCGAGCACCACAGTGCTCCCATCAAAGCACCGATGCTGACGCCGCCCACCATGTCGACGGGTATCCCCGCCTCCTGGATGGCCTTCAGCATGCCAATGTGGGCGGCACCGCGCGCCCCACCGCCGCCCAGCACAAGGCCAATCGAGTTGCCCGTCAGCCAGCGGGCCAAACGCGAGAAGTCGGAATGCATGTTCGGCTCGGAGAGCAAGACGCGACTGTAGAGATCATTCTGCAAGAAATGAGATCAATAAGTTTGATATACCAAATAAAGGGTTTCATTTTTAACCCTTCAAAGTGTTTAGTTCTGCATTAAAACACTGATCTATTTATAATCCTTATATATAATAACAAATTTGCATCATGAGTGATAACACTATCTCGAAAATTAGCATACATTTTATGAAGGGTGGCTATAAAGACCTAATCACTGGGACTATCATACTAATACTTCATACTATATGTCCATTTTATTATTTTAGTGTTAGTTGTCCAAGTTTAGATATGAGGGAAATAAAAACATTTCACGTCTTTGTGATTTCTGGTGAAAACATTTGATAATGGGTTATTTGGCCCGAAATCTGATTGCGTTATCTTTATGAAAGTGGTGCCACGGAAGTTTAATTGAATGTAGTGGCCATTGTTAAGCAATAAACTATCATGGTTCTACTATCTAAATATGAAACACTAGAGAAATCTATAAAATATGCTGTTATAGATATAAAACTAACTAAGAGTTAAGAAATATTTAGAAAATAGAATAGAGAATAAAATGGCTGAATTATCTAAACATATATATAGAACTAACCATGAGTTAGGAAATATTAAGAAAATAAAATAGAGAATACAATGGTTCAATTATCTAAGCATGACATACTAAATTGATCTATAAAATATGCTGCTATAGATATAAAACTAACTAAGTGTTGGGACATATTTAGAAAATATAAATATATATAAAACTAACCATGAGTTAGGAAAATTTTTAGAAAATAAAAAAGAAAATACAATGATTCAATTAGCTAAACATGACACCAGAAAATGTACTACTATAGATATAGAACTTAGATTTAGGAACTACATAGACAACATCCCACGACTAAAGACTTCAAGGACACATCCCCTGACTCACAATGCGGTATTGACTTTTGCGCGTAAAGATGCGCTTGACGCAGAGGACGTGGTGGTGCTTGGTCACCCAGGGCCGGGCATTCAGCCAGCTGAGAGTATTCGCCGGCCGGGCATTGGTCGTCTCCGGGTAGAGCAGGACCAGCTCCTTCTGCGTTCGCATCGCCAGCCGATCGATCTCGCGCTCGAACTTTCCAACCAAATGGGATCGATCGCCGAGGCCCACGATCAGGATGACGTCCGCCTGGCGCATGCATCGATGGGTCCAGGCGCTCAGCGAACTGTCGCACTGATACAGGGTGATGATGTTGCGATCCTCCTGCTGGGCCAGCCACGAGGTCAGCCGGTACTCGTTGGCCGCCTCGAAAATGTTCGGGCCGAGCTGCTTGCGCACCACATCGGAGGTGAGACGGAGGACGGGTCCTAACCAAGAAATAGAAGATATGCATTAGGATCAACTGGAATATGAGTGCCACAGGGCAGCAATGTGAAACGTTACCGGACTTATCCATCGTGTTTCTGAATAAATCTTGGCGGAAAAAGTGTAAAATGTTCTATTCTATATTCTATTCCTGCAACTTACTCGATAGGAATCAAGGAAAGGGAAATATAACATGCTTATCCCTTTATAAAATATACATAAATCATAAAGCTAACTGCTATCTGTAGAAACAATTATCTTTTAACCATAATTACGCACCTATGGCACAGAGCGAGTGGTAGAGCTCGTAGGTGAAGGGCGTCAGCGGCACCTCGTCGGTGATGGGAACCAGGGCCACCGTGGAGTACTTGTGCGTGACGGGATTGGCCTCGACGGGCGCGCCCGGCGCCCCGCTGCCCGAGCGCGTCTGCATCGAGCCGAGGAAGCGGTGGCTGAGGAAGCTAATCAGCTTGGTCACCACGATGGGGTAGCGCAGCTTGATGGCATTGAACAGGCCCTCGGGCAGCTTGGCCAGCTCCGAGTCGCGCACAGCCATCACCGTCGTGGTGCGCGACGTCTCTGTGATCATCTCGACGATGCCCACGAGATCTCCCTTGCCGTACTCGCCGACGATCTCCTTCTTGCCGCCGGGATGCGTGATCACCGAACGCATTCGTCCGCTCAGCACAATGTACGTGCTGTCGCTGCTCTCGTCCTGCCGATAGACAGCTCTTCCAGACTCCAGGAATATCCAGTCCAAGGCGTAGTCGCACTGCCTCACCAGCGGCGATAAACGGCGCACTACTCCATTGCCCAGATCCAAAACGATGCGCGGTCGCTGTCGCATGATTCTGAATAGTAAAGTAGTAAATACAATATATAGAATTTGAAATACCCTAGCTTCTACTCACTGATAGATGGCCGCCCTTCGGATGAAGGCTATCCTGCTGTTGTTCCGCGACCTAATCGTATACGCACTCGCCTCGCCCGTCAGCATGGCCAGGCCGCCAACGATCTCGCCGGGATGCACAAAGTGGATGAGCAGGTCGCTCTTGTTGTCCGCCTGCTTGGCCCGCGTGGCATCCTGGTTGCTCTGGTAGACGGCCAGAGTGCCGGTCATCACGAACCACACGCACACATCGTCCGCATTGCCCTCGGTGATGAGGGTTACGTTCGGTTCGAGTTCGCGCACCTCCACAAAGGGCTCAATGATGTGGGCATCCTCCTCGGGCAGGCCCAGCTCCTTGCGCAGGCTGTCCACCGCCGAGGACTGCACCAGTCGCATGTCAATCGAGGGAGGAGCTCCCGCTGCCGACTCCCTTCCCTGCGATCCCTCGGGCGTCATTTGGCCGATGGAACCGCGACGCGTGGACAGATTCCCCACCGAGTGCTGCTGCTGGTGGAAGAGATCCGCATTTGGTGCATCTCCGTGCACCTCGGTGAATAGGTTGCTCGTGCCCGGGACACTCCCGTCCGGATTGGGATTCGGATCGGACAGCGTGTGCTCCTCGCGCGAATGCCGCGATGGTGAGGCAGGTGGTCGCGTCACGGTCACCGCTACACCCGATCCCAAATTCAATTGGGTGGCCACCGCCTGGCGGGAGGAGGAGGATTGCGAGGCCTGCGGTCCGCTCATCGTGGAGACGCTCTTGTAGCGCATGTGATTCTGCACCAGCTCGGCATTCAAGCCGAGGTAGTTGCGCAGGGCGGTGAAGAGAACGCGCTGCAGCCGGATCATGATGACCTGGATGACGCGGATCATGACGTCCGGGTTGTCCTGGAACACCTCATCAAAGGCCTGTGGGTAAAGAAGGAAAAGAGAGTTGATAATACTGATTTACAATCTACATTTCGATAGGTATAAATATACACAATAGAATTGCATTTATAAAATCGTTAGTGGGCGTTAGAGGGGGCGTGGCGCTCGGATGAAATAAACTTGCGCTGCGTAGGAAGCCCAAGAATAGGCATAGGAAATCTCAACCTTCTAGCTTTTGTACTTTCCGAGATCTCAGCGTTACTTTACGAGTAAAGGGGACTAAAAACCCACCTGCATGGGCAGCCGAATCACCACCGACTTCTCAATCGCCTTGGCCGTGACCGTCTTGTAGTAGCTGGGATTCCCCGACAGCACGTCGATGAAGCTGAGCAGCGAGGTCACCGACTCGCCCTTGCGCACCGTCTTCAGGGACAGCGTGCTGCCGTCCGCATTCGAGATATACACATTGATCATGCCCGACTGCACGATATAGACACTGTCGTCCGGATCGGTGATCTTGAACAGATAGTCGCCGGCCATCAGCTCGAGGAGTTGGGTGTGCTTGCAGAGGCGCAGGAAGACGGGCTTCTCGAAGTGGCCAAAGATGCGGATGCTCTGCAGCATGTAGAGCGCATCGGGCGGCACTCTATCGCTGCCCTCGATGGTCTCCTCCAGATACTCCGCCGGCGGCTCCACCGTGCGCATCTCGAGCGGCATATTGTCCCGCCTCAGCTGAAGGATTCGGCGGGCGAATCGCATCACCGCCCGCCGCTTGTAGCCCTTCCCGCTGCTGTACATCTGACCGCTGACGTTCTTCATCTTGCGCAGCATCCGGCGGCCGTAGAAGAGCATCTTGTCCCGCTTCCGGAAGCGCAGGCCGCGCAAATCGCCGCCGGATGAGGAGGTGACGGCGCTCAGCGAGCGGGCAATCTCGTCGCGCAGCCGCAGACGCGCCAGTCGCTTGAAGTACATGAACCAGGCGATGAACAGGATGCCCAGGACGCACAGAGCGCAGTACATGTACATCTGGGGGGCAGGGAATATAAAGAAAACAGAGAATTAGTGGGGTTTTCACTGGGTCCTTACTTTAAAAACTCTCATATGTTAACTATTACAGTTCGAGGCACTAAATATTGTAACTTTTTCGATATTAAATCAAACTGTTATCGTTTTTGACATCCGGGGAATATCTATAAAATATACCAAAAGTTTTTTCTAACTTTTATATATCGAACTATATTTTTTGTTATCGATTTTGACATGCGTGAAATATCTATAACATTTTTCAAAAGTGTTTCCAAGTTTATTTAGGGTTACCTTTTCGATGTTATATCGAACTTTTATCGATTTTGAAATCCCAGTAATATATATTTTTATTTTATTTTTTTTTTGCTATACTATTCCCGTTTGTCATTTTACTATTTATTGAGATGATTTTAGGAAAACTGCGTCCAATGCGAAATGAGGTAGAATTCCAACTCAGTTGAAGAACCTATTGATTCCATGTGGTTTGCTCTGCCTTTTTCACTTAATCAATTATGCAGCACGAACACTTGCATTTTCCCAAAAGCTGATTTGCAGCAAGACTTCACGCCTCCATTAATGCGATTACTCAGCAAAACATAACTTTTGCTACAAAACTTTATAAGTGATTTAGGTGGCTCTGTAATTATAATCAGTGAAATGTCGATAGGTGAACAATTTCGTGAATTCTTTAGGTCTTTACTAGAAATATTTATGTAAACGGTGTTGTTATTTTATTACAAAATTATTATTAAAATAGTGGAATACTAAAAACATAAAGTTCTTGAGTTTTTAGAAAGAAGATTAGGAATTTTATTTTTAAAAATATCATAAAATATCAAAAAAATAATCTACATTTGTTGTTTCTTGTCACTGAGTGACACTTGATGAATTATTCAGAAGGTAGACACTTGTAATTTCCCAAAAACTCGATATCCAGCGAGTGTCACGCCCCTATAATCAGACCCATCCATCAGCTGGGTTCTGTTGTTGTTTTTCCCTATCGCAATTGTTATTGCATTCAGCATTTGGACATTGAAACGACGACGCGTCGTCGCTGCACTTGTTTTTTTTTCTTCTATTTTTTTTTGTTATTGCTTGCGGTTCTGCGAGTTGTTCTTGTTAATTGTTTTTGTTGTTGTTGTGGCAGTAGTTTCTCTGCTGGTTTGTTGTTGTTTGTTATTGTCTGCAGTTTCCGCATTTTACGTTCGCATTTGATACTACACAGGAAAAAAAATTAGATTTTTCTATATGATTTATAATTTGTTTATGTTTTATTATCATAATTTTAACCAAATTGATATGGTTGAGATTTCTATTTTTAGTGCTTTCCCATTAAATTCACATTTTTTCTCTCTGTGCGTCGGTAGTGTTACTTTTATATTACCTCTCGCAATTATTGTTTGTTTACAGTTTATTTTTACAACAGGTTTGCAAAATGTACAAGAAAAATGCCATAAATTTCAATTGACTCGGTCGGTCTAATTGGAAGCCGAAGCTACGCAGATGTCCAATTGGATTTCCTTGGATCTAAGATAAAACGATACACACATACACACGCGCACACACTTACAGTTGGCAACACGATAACGATAAAATTCGCGCAGTCACAAGGCGGCTAAATTGATTTGGCCCCAAGGGGTTAATTGAATTATTGAGAACTGATTTGGTACGCACCCCCCGCCCACAGTTGCACGTGCTTCTGATTAGCAATCGGTTATAGTTATCAGGCTGTGTGGTTTAGTTTTTTTTTTCTTTTTTTCTCGGGGTCAGGCTGCCATTATCAATAGTATTGGGTGGCCGTGTGGTCTTATCATGTGGCTACTGTAGTCAGTGGGCTTCGTGTTTTTGTTTTTCTTTCGTTTTATGTAAGGCCACAAAACAATTTCGGTTTGAAGGCGACAAATCAAAACACGGAAGTTTCCCCGTTTTCTTTTCCCCGCCTTTTACTTCCTTATCATTTAGCTGGGACCCGAACCTAGTCCTGCAATCCACATCTGGCCCTCTCTTTCTAATCTTTAGCTGGTACACAAATCCCAATCAGCTGATAAGGTTTTACAAAATTCATGGAAAATTAATCAGAAACAGCTAAAAATTCCACGATTTGTTTTACTCTTCTACTTTACAACTGCTAAATAATGATTTTGATTATTATTTGGAAAGTCAAATTCTTGATTAGGGATTGTGAGAAATGGCAGACTGACACAATTGAAGATTTCAACAGGTGTTCAGCACTTGAGTGGGTTTTCTAAGAAAGTTTGTTTTGTTTATTTTAACTGCTTAGGCTGCTTTATCGCTCATTCAGTGATTTTTATCAGGGACCCTAATCTTTATAGATGTTATCACTTCATTATGAAAATGTTAAATTATATAGAAAAGTTCTGAAGTATAAGGATGAATTTGCAGATTAAAATCTTAAATTCTCATCCTTAGCCTGGACATGAACCTCGCCCAGCTACAGCTGTTATCCTGCACACATACGATCCACACTGGGCTCTCTTTAAGCGTGGATCCAAACCCCTAACAGCTGTAGTCCTGACCCCCTCCCCCGCCAACGTTTTCCAAGCTTTCCAACGACTCTCTTCCAATTAAAACGCAACTGACTCACTCTCGCTGCCAAAACCAAAACCAAAACCAAAGCAAATGACAAACAGACAAAGAAAGGTTGAAGTGCACTTACCGTTGCTGTGATCTGCGTGGAAACGTACTGGCACCAGGCGTCCGAGAAGAGAGTATTGTAGCCGCCGTTGGCGCTGGCGCGCAGCATTTCCAGGACATCCATTGCGCTCTCTCACTCTCTGTTACGCTGCCAGCTTTAGTTTTCCAGCTCTCCCACTCTCTCTCTCCTCTCCAAACTATTCGATTTGTTGTTCTGTTGTTTTTGTTTCTCTGTCTGTTAAGACTTATGTATGTCCCGTTTATTTGGTAAATACTGTGAAGAGGGGGCGGGGGAGGGGGCCAAAAATCACAGCCCTTTGTTGTTGCCGTCACTCTTTCTCTGTCGCGCTCTGTCGCACTCACACTTACGGACACCCCCGCCCCACGGTTGTCTTGAATTTTGTGCAATTATTGTAATGCACGCACCGCACACACAGACACACACACACGCACGCACAACGCCAGAGAGCACAGTTCTTTTTATTATTTCGATTTATTCTCTTGTTGTTTTTGCCGTTACGAGAATCACCGAATTGTTGTTTTTGTTGCTGCTTCCTTCCTTGCGGAAATGGAAATCTTTCGTTTTCTTTACGTGTTGTTGTTGCTTCTTGTCCCTCTCTCTCTCGTTCTGTCTCGCTCTCTCTGCTTTCAGGCGGTGGCGGGGGTGGTTGGCTGTTACGGGTGGGGGGCGTGGCAGCGTGCAACGAGAACTTCCTTAATTTAGTGAGCCGAAAAAGACGAGCATTTTGCTATATAAACTACAACTAATAAACTCAAATGCACTCTGTTTTTGCCCAATCGATAGCATTCATTTTGAGAAGTTAATCGATACTTTTGTTATTAGTTCTAATAGCTAGAGATGGGAGTAGTCGACTTAAGAATTAAAGCCATCGATAGTCCGGCAGTCGATTACTTAACAGCTGTCTCCAGCAGTGTGCCCAGATGGGTTAAGCGGCAGAACAGATGTTGTCCAAGTTTCGGTTATTTTCAAAATAAGTTTCAAAAACAGTATTTGACATCATTATTTTAATATAGATCATTGATTGCAAACCATTTAAGAGTGGCGAAACCATTTTAAAATGGAAAGCCAGTGAGTCGAGTTTGATGGTGGAAGGCAATTTAGAAATGATTAACAGCAAAAAAACTACATTTGGATTGAGAAGAATAGAAAAATAAGTTTAGGAGAATGTAGACCAGTTTAAATAACAGCGCTGTAGGGGCGACAAACTCTGTGGACAGCGCGCGCTGTTAAAGTTTAAATTGTAAAGAAAACACAGATGATTCGAAAATGACTTGGCATGCAGTCAAACATTAATTTGCGGGCATAATTAACTCCGCTTAAGATTGCTGGCAGCCAAGGAGCCGTGAAGAGCGGAGACGGCCGCCGGTAATATTCAGTGATTAACAACTGTAAAATCTAAAATCGGTATAAATATTCATGTGTGTTGATTTAAAGGATTTTGGTGAAATCCGGACCCGAATCGGAGCGGAGGTGGAGGTCCGAAACTAACGTGCAACATCCAATAAAAGCAAGTGCAGCGCGGGTTATTAGAGCATAAAGCACCGGGGGCTCAGTCTCAATCTGAATCCGAATCTCGACTAAAGTCTCGGTCGCCAGCCAAGCAGAGCGGCCGAGACGCGTCTTTCGGGTGGCCAGCTGCAGTTTCGGATGCAGTTTCGGCTGCAGCTGCAATTAAATATGCAATGCACTTAAGTTATGCACATTTCCTTTGCCCAGGCACCGTTACGATTTCGGATTTTAAATCCCGCGCGAAAGTTAACAGGGCTGTTGGATAACAGTAACAGAGGCCGCTCTCTGTTAGCCAACAGCTTGTGCCAGTGTTGAAATATTGGCGGTTTTTCCGCTAAAACGGTTTAGGTTCTCATTTTAATTATCATGTCAAATAAAAGAAGATTACCAAACTCATTTCCATTATTTCATTATTAGTTTTATTTTTTCTTTATTACACACTTTTCTTTATGATAATTTTTCTCAAAAAAACATTTGTACTTTTCATATTAAAAGCTGCATTAGCTAAAAACCAGCCAGTGCGGCCAGAGACAATCTGGCGGAAAACCGCCGCGACCGCAACAGCGGCATCTCTGGCGGGCGATACAAATAGCGCGGCCTCGCTCGCAACGGGTTTCATTCCCACTCGAGTGCAATTCGTGAGCGGTCGTTCTCTCCTCTCTCTCTCTCGCAGCAAGGCAAAGCTACTGTGCGCGCATGCGTCTCGTCTCAGAAAAACCTGCAATCAGAAATCTCGAATCGTGAAAATCCTTTTCTGCCATACCAAAAAAAGAGCCGGACAAAGCAAAGCGTTCGATTGCCTTCTGCTGACTTCGAGCAGGGTAAAACATAAAGGGAAAATACAAATTAATTAAGCCGCCCCGAACCGTGATTTGTTTACGTTTTTTTCTTCAACTTTTTTTTGCATTGTGAGTGTGAACCGAAGCAGTTATCCCTAGATATATTCGAAATTCGAATTGGCGAAGTGAAGGGTGTGACGGCAGACGCACACACACAGGCACACGCACACGAACGCACTGAGAAAACACCGGCTAAAAGGCAGACGAAAAGGAGACGAGACGAGAGAGTGCTAAATAGAAAACGCAAAAACAGGATAATAACCAACTAACTAATACTATAAAACAAGCGACTAAGTGACATCTCGATCTCGCCGAGAAACAACAACAACAGCGGCAGCGGTAGCAACAACATCAGCAGCGGCAGCGGCAGCAACAACAGCGAAGGCAGAAAGTAAGTGGAATTCCTTGCCCAAAGATGGCTCTCCCTGGCTCTCTCATCCAGGCTAGGGATGACCCAAAGTCGTGTCACGCAGGAATATATATTCTTGGCTCTCAACAAATGTCAAAAAAAAAACAGGAAATTTAAAAAATGTTGAAAGTGAAAAAAGCAAAAAAGTTTGTTCTTTTAAAAGAATCCTTTCCAACTGCTCGAAAAACGAAACGAATAATTTCAAACTTTTTTTAAAATAAAAAGTTTACCAAAATGCGAACTCGAATTGTTAGGGATAACATTTTATTTATAAAAAATTAGGTTGGTAACATTTTTTTTTGTAATTCCTAATTTTGGTTAATTAGAATTTTTCCTAATTGGAAAAAGAGAGTAGCCTTTCGTGTCACGCAACCCTCTCTACTTCCAGACGTCTTGTGCAAATTAGACAGAGCCGGCTGCTGCTCCATTTCCAGGTGTAAAGCCAATGGCCACGGTTTTTACTCCGGGCCTCTTGCAAGTCATAAAATCTATGGCAGTTGTCAGTTCGCTTCGCTGCCCGTTTTCTGAGTTTTCTGTTTTTTCCTCCGTCTTTCCGAAACCGAAACTCCCCTCCCCGCCCCGTCCGCCTCTTTTGCTTTAGCATTTTTCACTTTAGCATTTCATTTTGAGCTCTCCTTCGGCTGCTCCACCTTGTGGCATTGTTTTTCAGTTCAGCTCAGCCGGGCCGCTGATTTTTCCAACCGGCTTTCGGCTGGCTAATTGCCTTGACATTGGCATTCCTCCTCCTCCCTGTCCTCCTCCTCCTCTCATTTCTTCGGCTCTGCACTCGTCTCGTTTCTGTTTCTTTAGCTTTTTCTGTTTCAATCATTCAAGTTCAACTATAAACAGACATAAACACGCAGTCAAGGTGCCACCGCCCCCTTTTCGTGGCCCCGCCCCCTTTCTACATAACTGTTATTTCTCTTTGCCTTGCCTTGTTTACGTTTTCTCCTGCTCCTTTCTTTTTGTTCCTTTGTTTCCAAGCTCAAAAACGCATCCAATCCAAATCCATCCGTGTTGGTGTTGGTGTTTTGGTGTGTATGTATCCGTGTCTGCTCTTCCGCTCCTGTCCGTCCGCAAGTTCCGTTTGTCCTGTTGTCCGTATGCACTGCGAAAAAAGACGGGCCCTAAAGGATCGAAAAATTACATATTTAAATGAAAAGGGAAAATCTGTGGTAATTTTTGCAATGACCAAGTTTTGATTCTATTTTAAAATAACAAAATAATCTTTTCTAAAAATTTGGTTATAAAATAAATTGCCAAACCCATTAAACTCTAAATAAATCCGAAAAGCATTCCGAAATTCCAAAACCACCACTGCCACAGAGAAGGGTATTATTTTTGTCCAGAAATTGCATTCAATTGGAAAATTGCAATTTGGCTTTGACAAACATTTTTTGGACCCGTGGTGGGCGACGAACGACGGACGACGACACGTCATGGATATTTCTTTTGTTTTCGCAGTGCGTTTCTGCCTCATTTTGCACAATCACCCCCTGGAACCCCTAGAACCCCTGGCACCGCGGCACTCCCCCCTTTTGTATCCTGCCCTACCCCAGTAAAATGGCAAATCAATAATTTTCAATGAGGATTTTGCATTTTAGCCGGCTTTTCGCTTGGGTTCTCGGGATCAATTAGTATGCCAGGAGCGAAATTCCCCTGAAAACGGATGGTGATGGTGGGAAGGTAGACTGGCAGCACATAAAACCCCACCCACTGAGTCACATTTTGTTTGTGTGACTTGGCTTGGGCTAATGGCAACGTCTCCCATATCTTATGTATATATGTATTGGTACCTTTGTATAATATATAGTCTCCCCGCTCCTTTTTCGGCTGCTTATGTGGAATGGCAATCGAATGCTTCCGCTGCTCGCCGGAAATCAGGTACACCGACAATGACAACCCCCCATCTCCACCCTCACACCACCTTCATTCATCCCACCCATCGAGCTGCTTCTTCACTTTTTCGCTTCTTGAAGTTTTCGCCCGCAGAAGCCATTGTCGCAACAGTCTGCCGAAGACCAAGTACATGAAAAACAGCTGTAGTTTCTGATAAGAAATTGTAGTTCCAAAAAAATATCTGAACGATAAATTAAAATGGATATTAAAAAAAGAAGTTACTCAAAAAGTGTGCTCAATACAACCAAATTTAAAATTTTTTTTAAAATAATTTTATTAAATATTGAAAATATTTGAAAGCTATAAAGTCTACCTTTCTACTTTATTTAATATTCAGTTGACATTTTTCTATGAAAGAAATTAGGTGAATTGGATTTTAAAATAAAAACATGTATTATTGAAACCTATTTTTTCAGAATTTTTTTTTTAAATACCTCCTACAATTGTGCCCGCCACTGTATGTATGCGCTTATTTATGGAAGTGTGCCTATGTACTTGTTTCTGTATTTCGGCTGCATATGCTCGCATTACACCCCCGTCTTGTGTCGCCTCCCCACCCCCATTTCCACCGCCAACCCCAACCCCAACCCCTTCCCCTTTGTATCTGTCATCAATTGCAGCTGTCGCCCGTCCTTGAACGCACTTTACGCACTCATTGTCAAGGGGGGTGGAAGGGCTGGAAGGGATGTTGAGGGGGTGGGGGCGGGATGGGTGTGTCTAGGGTTGAACGGAATGCCAGCCACTGGATAAGCTATTTATATCCCCTGCAGAAAGATTCCCCAAGGGGCACTTCTTGCATTTAACTCACATTTCTTTGTTCGATTTTGCATTTATTTCTTCGATGAGCCATATTTCTGGATTTTAATAATCTTTATATTTGACTCAGCATTTCCATATGTAACTCGAATTTCTTTGTGTGACTTGAACTTTATATCAGCCCGTCTATTTAAATTTATACCGCCTGCAAGTACATTTCCCTTTCATTATCGCCTCTCTCTTACTTACTTCCCATTTAGTTGGCACTTCTTTGTGCGTTTTCTGGCAATAATCGTAATCCCTGCGGGGTACAAAAGGGTTTCAGTTCCGTCTGATATCGGCTCTTTGTTAGTTTCTTGGGCAACGCAGCAGCAACTCCCCCAAGTTTTCTAGGTTTTATTG